GGTCAAAGTGTCAAGAAATTTAAGTGAGTAGTTATATTGGAGATGCACTCATGAATAGAGCTACTAAAAAGGCCTAAAACAAGGGTAAGCCCACACTGCAACACCAAAAACAAAAAAGACAAGTTATCCAAATCAGACTTAACTGCATAAGGCCTTAACACCGAATCAGACTATTGTTGTGGTAGTGATTAAGGTGCTTTACCAACCACCCCATTAACCCGAAAAAAAAAAAAAGTAAAAAAAAACCCATGTGTGTCTCGGTTCATTCAAAAATCGAGTAAACTTTTGCATTAATAATTAAGATTGTATGAGTTAGATAATTTCAATTTTGAGATTCTAAATTTTTTATAAAAAAGGATTATATGCAAATAAAATAATAAAAAAGAATCAAAGTGAATATTAAAACAAAAAGAATTTTGTTGTTTAAATTTATTTGACTTTGAATTAATATGAAAGAAAATAGAAGAAAAATGTATATTTTTTGAAAATTGATATGTAAAATAGTGTAAATTTAATTAAAGGATTTTCCCCAATTATAATGAAGCAGGTATATCTTATATATATATAGTTATCTGCACCTGAAAAATATTAAAAGTTAGTAGGTATATTTAAGCAAGCATGTTCTTAATAGTGTTGTTTTATTATTATTTTTTATATATATTTAATTTAATATTGTATTATTGTTATTATAATAAAATATTGTACTATTTTTATAACTAAAGTGTTTATCATATATATAAATTACTTTAAATTATGTTAGATTGTTTCATTGTTTATTTCTAATAAATATTGATGAATATTTATGAATAATAATATTTTTTATTCCTTAATAAATATCTACACAAGTATGAAACAAATGTTTAACATATGCAGGTACCTACTATTTTTCTTCACCTGGTTTACATCCGAACCTACACCTCCTACGTTTCTTTCTAATTTGCATGAAACAATTGCTTAGTGCAACTTTGTGTTTTTTGGGTAACTTTGGTGATGATATTTAGCTACATGCTATCTTTATCAAACTTTCTTTTACCATTAAAAATCTTTACAATTGGTACTCTTTGTAGCCTAAAAGTTAACTGTCAAGCAACATCTACGAAAGATGTTGTAGATCACACTATATATCAAGAAACATTCTCTCAGAAATTAAACTATATCACTAACTTTACCTGGAAATGATAGGATCAATCGTGCACGTTATGAATATAGTTCTTACATCATGGCCGGTGCATCTATTCTTTTTCTGTGGTGCTGAGTGCTACATGTCGTAGCTCAAAAGCTACTTCTACCCAAAGTTTATATTTATATGGAAAGGGTACGTTAAACATCACCTTCCTTGCCTGTGAATTGAACGTTAGACTTATCTAATAACTTTTGTAGAATTGTGATTCTTGTTTTGGTTAACAAAAACAGTTATCAAGAATGTAGATCTAATATTATCATTTTGTGATATGTTACGATTTTACTTAAAAATTTACTATAATTTTTATTAAATATCCTTTAGCATTCAATTAAAAAAAACAGTAAAAAAGGTACTATAAGAAGATTGATATTGCGATGCATTTTACCTTTAATGGATAGGATGTGAGTACTTAGGGACACCACTGAATGTGCTTCATCATCATCATAGGAACCTGAAGAGCAAGGAATAAGAATTTTCCTTGTCCTCCCCAAAAGGATTATGAGAGTGTTAAACTCAACAAGCTCCACTATTAAATGATTGGAGAAGTGAAAGGTTGACTAGTCGTCACATGAGAAATGTGTGAGGTTTGTTGGCCTTCAAGAAACAATAAAACTAGTGATTGTTTTGTATGATATATAAGTATTTTTTTTTGTCTGTGAAATAAATATTTTTTATTTAACTTTAATATACATAATCAAAGTTTCATAAATTAATTCTCCCACAATAAAATCTCATCTAAAAGAAGTGTAACACTTGTTGATGGGTATAAGTTACTAAAAATGTATAAATATTCAAGAAAATAAAAAATACAATATAAGTTTTTTTATTTAATTATTTTGTAGAATTTTTTTTTTGCAAACTATATAAATCAAAGATATATCATATGTTGTTTTGTTTTTGTTAATTATTAGATGGAATTTATTTTTTGATAATATATTGGATGGAATTTTGGGAGGAAGTTAATTTGAAGTATTAAAAATTTAATAAAAATTAAATATGATCAATTAAAATTAAAGAAAATAAAATTACATATAAATTAAAATACAAGAAATAAAACTATAATCAAGCTTATAAGTAATTTATAGAGACAAGTAGAAAATATAAAATAAATTTAGAAAGAAAAGACTGAAAAAATAAAAATGATTAATTGGAGAACATAAATGACTAAGATTTGACATATAATTTTTAAAAAAAATATAAAAAGAAAATTTTGAAGGTAATTAAAAATGAAGTTATAGGAATAAATCGTAACACATAAGAAAATTTTAAATACATGATTAATAATTTTACAATAAATTTGTTCAAGCTGGATACGACTGCCATGAACGGTAAAATTCTCTTTCATACAATAATGTAATGTATAAAAAATTGAAGCTAATTTAAAATTAAAATTGATTACGATTTTAATAATATTAAATTTAATTTATTTAAACAAGAAAGATATCTTTAATTTGATATGAAGTATGAAATATGAAAATAAAGGAATAAATTTTGAAAAGAATAAAATATAAAAAATGAAATACTCAAATATAGGAAAAATATATAAACTTAATAAAATAAGAAGTATTTTTTAAAAATACACTTTATTTAAAACAAGAAAATTCATATTTGTAACCTAGAACTAGATGAAATCAAGAAAAAAAAATGTGAGTCAGATTAATTAATTGTAATTTGTGAGTTTATCTCTTGGTTACCTAATGCAGAAAAATTGCAAGGATACAACTGTAGAATCTATAATGAAGGAAAGTTTATCCGTACTTTACTTTCAATAAAAGACAATTTAAAATAAGTTTAAAAATTTATGATAGGTAGATGATTTTATAGAATGAAATGAAAATAATTTCAAAATCGTAAGGCTAATTTAAAATAAATTGGCACAATTTAACTAAAATAATATAATTTAAGAAATGGTTCTTAAAAAATATATATTAGTATAGAATTATTTTAATTGATGTTAATCCAGATGACATTTTATAAGAACTCACATGAAATTATTTCTATAATAATATTATTATTATTATATTTTTACCTTTACCGTTTAATAAAATTGAGTTCTCATTAATCAGTGATACGAGGAATCGAGAGTACAGGTAGATAACTCAATCCAAATAAAAGTGTGATCCAAGAACATATCACTATTCAATTTGTCTTATTTATTTATAATATAAAAACAATTCTCATATTTTTTTAATGTAAATCATATGTGATTTAAATCAATATATTTATGTATCTTAATTGTATTTAATAATTTAAAACTAATTTACTTTAAATTAGTTTTACTCAATTTTAAATTAAAAAAAATATTAGTTTGTTTCAGTATTTGGATTTAGATCTAAACATAATATTCTTCAATTTAGTTTTTTAAAATGAAGAGAAGAAGATATACATACCATTCATTTGATATTAATTATGCTTATAAGTATTTTAATCTAAACTAATACTAAAATTTTTACTTTACACTTTTTTTATTTTAAAAAATTATTATTTTTAAACTTTTCTCAACCTATTAAATTTGACAAAACCCAACTTTTTATTATTTTATTATTTTCTATTTCACTTTTAAAATTTTCAAGTATAAATATATTCTTCCATTTTTTTTATGTGATATATATATATATATATATAATCCTTTTTTTAAAGCTTATTCAAATCAATTCAAAATCTTGACGGTTACACATAAAAACAAGGAAATCTGATTGTTCTAAAAACCCGGATAAAATGCAAAAAAATCAAATAGATTAATTAGAGTCAAATTCAAATAAAATCAAGTAAAAAATCTTAATATTTAAAGCTTTCAATGTATGACAGTTTAACTGAAAACGCACGGCGCAAAACAAATTTGAAGACCAATAGATCAGTTGGTAACAATTTTTGTGTCCACAAAACGTCAAAGGTGGAACAAGAATTGAGTAATCTGTGTGGCCGGAGACACCTTTCATTAGAAACACAGAGAAGACACAACTCAAACATTTGACTTTAAGGTTTGTGTTAAACGAAAGCATGCTGTGACAGTAGCAGCATTGAAAATTGCTTTTTGAGTTACGTAGCCATACAGATTCTGATTTCCCCCCACCTGCTCCTATAAGATTTTCCTAGAATCTCTCTCTCTCTCTCTTTCTCTCTCTTATAGAGGATGCTCTAACTCAGTTTCTTCTTATCTTTTTGGTTTCATATTTGAATTCTTCTTGATGCTTTTTCCATTAAAAGGTCATTACTTGGCAAAAGTTAAGATTTTTAGTGTGGTCATAATATGACATGCCAGGGTGAGTCTGCAGAATCTATTGTGTCGATGGATGATTTATTGCATGTTTTTCGTCACCTGGGGTGTGCAGGAATTTATTTGTATATTGGTGAAACTGTTATGAATATGGTGGACTTTTTCACTAGTGTTGTGGTAATAAATATCACGAGGACAAATATACGTGAACAAAACTTATACGTTGTTGTTTAGCTGTTATTAGTGATGTTTATCGATTACAATTATAAAAGATTTGCATTTAATGTTATCTTATATTATTGAAATAAACTCTAATTCTGAATAATAAATAACATCTACAGTACTCAAGAAGCTGTGCCTAAACTTTGTTATTCCTTACTTTCTTCTATTGTTGTTTTCTTTCCTTTATGTGTGTGCTGTGAATTTATTGCTCGAGTGGCGCTTGACACGTGGATTGTGAATCCATAGGTAGTGTTGTTTGCGATGTCAAGTGGTAGTAGACATACAAATTGAAGCCATGGATATGTTCTATCAACTCGACTAAGGTTTTGTTTGCTACCTTTTGTAGAGTTTGATTGAAAAGAATCATCAAAGGCAGAGATGGTCAACATTGAGCATCCAGCACGTCTTGAGGTTATTTATTTCTAGTTTGTTACTTTAGCTTAGGAACATAAACTTGCATTGTTTCTTCATTTCAATTCTTTGGCATTAACAGGGAAAATTTGCTGCAATAGTTGTCTGCTGGCTTCTAGGCAATGGATGTCTTTTCTCCTGGAACAGTATGCTGACTATAGAAGATTACTATGTCTACTTGTTTCCGGTAATTAATATATATTCTGATGTACTTTTCTTTTGATCTTGTTGCTTTATCCTCTGTTTTAATGGCATTACTTGGAAGCCAGTGTGTGAATTTGAAATGTGGCACAATTTCAATTTGGACCACTTCTTCAACATTCATGTTTATGTCAAATAATGCTTCACAATATAGATAAACATCACAACCTGCCAAAATTTAAGGAATTGATAACCCTGAAGTGTCTTCATCAAATTCACAAATTTTGTTTGTTTTACTGATCTTTGCACACTCCAATACATATTCCAGGATCATATTTTTACTCCAGTCCATGTGCTTATATCATTTTGTGGTTGTCGAGGCGTTGTTATTGTAATGGGATTGCTTTGAAAATAATTTTTCTAATTTCCTTTCTTCCTTGTGCAGAAATACCACCCGTCTAGGGTGCTGACTCTTGTATATCAGCCATTTGCTGTTGGAACACTTGCAATACTGTCTTACAAAGAGGATAAAATAAACACAAGGATAAGAAACCTATTTGGATATTCTCTTTTCTTCATAAGCACTTTGTTGGTGTTAGTTGTAAGTCCTGTTCACTTGCTTGTTAAATTTGATTCCTTTAGGATATGGTTTTGATTTTATATTTATTTTTCCTATTAATTCGTCATAGTTGGATTTGGCAACATCTGGTAAAGGAGGACTTGGAACTTTTATTGGTATATGTGCAATTAGTGGTGCATTTGGAATAGCAGATGCTCATACACAGGGTGGAATGGTAGGAGACCTGTCCTACATGCTTCCAGAATTCATTCAGGTCTGCCATCAGCAACGGAATTACTATGAAGTTTTGAACGATTCCTTCAGCACATGCGTATTTTTTTTCCTTATATGGTTTTGTTGCTGCAGTCTTTCCTTGCTGGTGCAGCAGCATCAGGTGCACTAACATCTGCTGTGAGGTTAATTACAAAAGCAGCATTTGAGAATTCTAAGGATGGTCTTCGCAAAGGAGCCAGTAAGTTAAACATTCCAGTGCATAACACATTTAATAATTCAGAGTTTAACTACATCAATGTTTAACATGGAAAGTTGAAAACATTTTTAGCTTCTGTACTTGTATAAGTAGCCTTATGTTCAGTCAATCTTGCTAGAAAAAACAAGTTAGTGCATGTTCAGATTCACAATTTCTTTTAACACTACTAATTATAACTTCTGCATTCTATCCACATTCTTAGATTTTTAACATGTTTCCGAACACACACTTAACAAATTGATTTTAAACTTTATTTTCACTTCATTCACGAAGATATCCATGATTATGTTTATGAAGGTTGATGACTGTCTCCTACAATATAACCGAAATTGGACTGTAGTTCTGCTATCTACTATATTTTTTTTTACTAAGTGCATGTTTAGATGAGATGTTTTTAGATGAATAATCACTAATTTTTCAAAAGTTGAACCAAACTTGCACTAAGATTGTTGAAGTAATTCTTTTAATATGATATTAACTCAACATGTGGATCCTATGAGTTTGTACTTAGATGGTTACATTGATCATAAACATAAATTTCTTCCTATGCATACAAAATTTATGATGATTGTTCCATTTCTTGTTTGGTGTAACTACATAGTTATTGAATAAATTTAAATGTCGGTATTAATAGTTTTAATTCAGCAGTTTTTGTTAGAATAAAAGGTCAAGAGTCAACAGTTATATTTTTGATAAATGGTTATAATGAGTTTTGATTGTAGTTTATGGCTATTAATAGAATTTAAGTCTTTTATTTTATAAATAGATCATTGTATTATTTGACAAAATGTGTGAGAAATATACAAACAATTTTTCTCCTCTATTGGTTTTCAATTCTACAATTTGGTATCAGAGCCTATGGCGAGTGTGACCAATAATGTGCCGCTGCCTCGACTAACGAAGGCGAATTACGAGAATTGGAGCATTCAAATGAAAGCTCTTCTTGGGTCACAAGATAGTTGAGAGGTGGTTGAAGAAGGTTTCAAAGAACCAGAAACTACCACAGGATATTCAGCGGCTCAACACAAGGCATTGAAAGAGACACGATCAAAAGATAAGGCGGCTTTGTACTTGTTGTTTCGAGCTGTTGACGAGTCAGGCTTTGAGAAGATTGCGAATGCAACAACTTCAAAAGAAGCGTGGGACATTTTGGCGAATGTGTACAAAGGAGCTGACTAGGTTAAACAAGTCTGCCTTCAAACTCTTTGTGGTGAGTTGGAAAGCATGAAGATGAAAGAGTCGGAAAGGGTCTCTAACTACATCACGCGTGTTCAAACCGTGGTGAACCAACTCAACCGAAACGGAGAAGTTTTACCTATTACACGAGTTGTAGAAAAGATTTTGAGGTCGTTAACCGACAGTTTTGAGAATGTCGTATGTGCTATAGAAGAGTCAAAAGACCTAACAATACTCACGGTCGACGAGCTCGCTGGTTCTCTCGAGGCACACGAACAACGTAAGAAGAAGAAGGAGGAGATACTTGAGCAAGCACTTCAAACCAAGGCGTCAATCAAAGACGAAAAGGCACTCTATTCTCAAAACATTCGAGGTAGAGGGCATGGTCGTGGAAATCGAGGAAATGGTCGCGGTGGTAGAGGTCGCGGTCAAGAAGGATATTATGAGGAGAAAGAACATTCAAATCAGCACAATTGGCGTGGAAGAGGACGTGGTCATTGGAGAGGTGGTCGGTCAAATTTTTCCAACATCGAGTGCTACAAGTGTGGCAAATATAGTCACTATGCGAAGGATTGCAACTCCGATAAGTGTTACAATTGTGGCAAGGTGGGGCATTTTGCGAAAGAATGTCGAGTTGAGAAAAAGGTGGAAGAGACAACCAATTTTAGTCACAGAAGATGTGGAAGCAAAAGAAGATTTTCTCTTGATAACACACAACGAAGTCAACACCAATAACAACACGGTGTGGTACCTTGACACGGGCGCAAACAATCATATGTGCGGGCACAAGCACCTATTCAAAGAGATGCAAAAGGTTGAAACTGGACATGTGTCATTTGGAGATGCGTCGAAGGTTGAAGTCAAAGGCCAAGGTACGATATGTTATTTACAAAAGGATGGCCTAGTTGGATTAATCCAAAATGTATATTACGTACCAGATCTCAAGAGCAACATTTTGAGTATGGGACATCTTATGGAGAAAGGTTATTCGGTATTTATGAAAGACCGGATATTACACTTGAAAGATAAACACGGACATTTGGTTGCTCGAGTTGAAATGGAGAGAAATCGCATGTTTAAGCTGAATTTGACAAGCGTTCGAGAAAAATGTTTGCGAGTCAACGTAGAAGACAAAGCATTGCTGTGGTATCTCCGTTTTGGTCACCTACATCATGGTGGTCTAAACAAGTTGGCAAAGAAGAACATGGTGCACAGGCTAATAGACATGGACTACGAGAACAAATTTTGTGAAGAATGTGTGCTCAGTAAGCATGCGAGAACTTCATTTCAAAAGGAGGCAAATATCGTGCTAAAGAACCTCTCGAATTGATTCATACAGACATATGTGGACCAACAATCACCCTTGAATCTTTTAGCGGTAAGAGATATTTTATTTCCTTTATTGATGATTTCTCACAAAATAATTGGGTTTATTTTCTGAAAAAAAAAATCCAAGGCATTTGAGGTGTTCAAAAAGTTCAAAGTGGTGGTGGGAAAAGCAATCAGTAGACACATCAAATCAGTACGATCCGATAGAGGTGGCGAGTATACTTCGATGGCTTTCATAAAGTATTGTGAGGCGCAAGGCATAAGGCGATTTCTAACTGCACTGTACTCACCCCAACAAAACGGTGTGGCCGAGAGGAAGAACCGAACTATTCTTGATATGGTTCGATCAAAACTCAAGAGCAAGAAGATGCCGAAGGAATTTTGGGTAAAAGCAGTACAATGCGCTATCTATGTGCAAAATCAGTGTCCACATGCGAAGCTAGATGATCAAACACCACAAGAGGCATGGAGCGGACAAAAATCAATGGTTTCTCATCTTAAAGTATTTGGTAGTGTGGCCTATGCACATGTGCTGAATCAGCGAAGAACGAAGCTCGAAGACAAAAGCAAAAAGTATATTTTTATTAGGTATGACAATAAAACAGAAGGATACAAGCTACTAGACCCAATAAGCAAGGAGGTTGTGGTGAGTTGTGATGTACAAGTTAATGAAGCAAGCGAGTGGGATTGGAGCAACTCAATAGAGGTTATCAACGAAGATGGAGAATCATCAACCGCTATACCAACAATCATACCAACAAATCCTGAAACTACTAGTGATGAAGATGAACCGCAACAACCTAGAATGTGAAGTTTGCAAGATTTGTATGATTGGACAAATGAGGTGCACATTGTATGTCTTTTGGCAGATTATGAGAATATAAGCTTTGAAGAGGCGGTGCGAGACAAGAAATGAGAAACAGCCATGGACGAGGAGATTAGAGCAATTGGCCGCAACAACACATGGGAGTTAGCGGAGTTACCGAAAGGAAGTCAGTCCATTGGTGTGAAGTGGGTGTTCAAGAGAAAGATGAATGCTCAAGGCGAGATAGAGCGGTACAAGGCGCGACTTGTTGCAAAGGGATACAAGCAAAAGGAGGGAATTGACTATGATGAGGTATTTGCTCCCGTTATAAGAATGGAGACAATTCGATTGCTCATTTCACAAGCAGCTCAATTCAATTGGCTGATATTTCAAATGGATGTCAAGTCGACATTCTTGAATGGAGTGCTCGAAGAAGAAATCTACATCGAACTACCACCCGGGTACATGAAAAGTGGAGAAGAGAAGAAGGTGCTGAAATTGAAGAAGGCACTTTACGAGTTAAAGCAAGCACTGTAGGCATGAAATTCTCGCATTGATACATACTTTAAGGAGAACGGGTTTGAACAATGTCCCTATGAATATGCCCTTTACGTGAAGAAGATTGGAGGTAATATGTTATTTGTTGCTCTGTATGTTGATGACCTCATTTTTATAGGGAACAATAGTGAAATGATACAAGAGTTTAAGAGCACAATGGCACGGGAATTCGAGATGATAGATTTGGGCTTGATGAAGTTTTTCCTTGGTCTGGAGGTAAGACAAGAAGAGACGGGTATTTTTGTGTCACAGGAAACATATGCAAAGGAGATTTTAAAAAAATACAAGATGACACATTGCAATCCTGTATCAACACTAATGGAATCGGGTGCAAAACTTTCTAAATTCGATGGAGGAGAACGAGTCGACGCAAGCAAATATTGAAGTTTGGTGGGAAGCCTTCGCTATCTCACATGCACCAGACCAGACCTTTCGTTAAGTGTTGGCATTGTAAGTCGGTTCATGGAGGAGTCAGTTTATTCACATTGGAAGGCGTTGAAGTGGATTCTAAGGCATATCCAAGGAACGATATCACTAGGGTTATTCTATTCAAAAGCGAAAGATTACAAGTTAATTGGGTACTCTGACAGTGACTGGTACGAAGACTTAGAAGATTGAAAAAGTACATCAGAGTATGTGTTCTTTATGAGTAACACAGCTTTTACTTGGCTTTCAAAGAAGCAACCAATCGTGACATTCTCAACATGTGAAGCTGAATATGTGGCAGCATCTGGGTGTGTATGTCATGCAATATGGCTTAGAAATCTGTTGGACAAATTGGAACAACAACAAATTGATGCGACTGTGATACAAGTTGACAATAAATCAGCAATTGAGTTGGCAAAGAACCCAGTGAATCATGAGAGAAGCAAACACATTGACATTCTCTTTCATTTCATTCGAGATCATGTGAAGAAAGGAAATGTGGAATTAGTGCACGTGGCAAGTCAAGATCAAATCGCAGATATTTTCACGAAACCGCTACCAACAGTATTTTTCGATAATTGCAAGAAATTGATCGGCATGAAGGATGGCAAAATCATTTAAGTTTGCAGGAGAGTTTTGTTGAATAAACTTAAATGTCGGTTTTAATAGTTTTAATTCAGCAACTTTTGTTAGAATAAAAGGTCAAAAGTCAACAGTTATATTTTTTATAAATGGTTATAATGGATTTTGATTATAGTTTATGACTATTAATAGAATTTAAGTCTTTTATTTTATAAATAGATCATTGTATTATTTGACAAAATGTGTGAGAAATATAAAAATAATTTTTCTCCTCTATGGGTTTTCAATTCTACGACAGTCATGGCTGTTATAAAATTTAGTTACTAATCATTTGTCAATATAATGAACCTGCAGTTCTGTTCTTTGCCATATCGACGTTCTTTGAGCTTATTTGTGTTCTTCTCTATGCGTTTGTCTTTCCTAAATTACCAATTGTGAAGTACTACCGTTCCAAAGCAGCATCTGAAGGATCCAAAACCGTTTCAGCCGACCTCGCCGCGGCGGGTATCCAGAAACCATCTGGAGGAGTACTGTTTCTTTTCTTTGATTTTTTCCCTTCCCAATGTGTCACAAAATGTTCCTAATTGTGCAAGATTCATTTTACAATATTAGTATATGTTTTTTCCAGGCCATGGAAGATGAACAACAACAAGAGCGCAAAGGAAATATGCAATTGTTATTGGAAAACATTGATTATGCACTTGATTTGTTCCTAATATATTCGCTAACACTGTCAATTTTCCCTGGATTCTTATCAGAAGATACAGGATCACACAGTTTGGGCGCTTGGTATGTTCATTAACAACATAGGTCTTCATTTGTTCTTTGGATCATGTCATTCTGCTGTTCCTTTAATACCAGACACCACACTGTAGGCTAGTGAGAGCTCAGATTCATGTTGTGTGTCATTATACTTGTCAATAAAACAGTTGATATTTCATATTGTTTCAGGTATGCTCTTGTTTTAATTGCTATGTATAATGTGTGTGATCTGATCGGAAGATACATTCCACTTTGGAAAACCCTGAAGTTGGAGTCCCGAAAGTTGATCACAACAGCAACTATTTGTCGCTTTTTATTTGTGCCAGCATTTTATTTCACAGCAAAATATGGTACACAGGGTTGGATGATAATGTTGACATCTTTTTTGGGGTTATCCAATGGTTACCTTACTGTTTGTGTTCTCACTTCTGCACCCAAAGGTTATAAGGTGGGTCTATTCAACAACAAATTTTTTTAAATGGTTTTAGAATTCGAGCTTATATTGATTAATCTTGTGTGTGTGCGTTTTTATGTATTTATAATATTTATTTATTTTATGTTTGCAGGGACCAGAACAAAATGCCTTAGGAAACATATTAGTGTTGTTTCTTCTTGGAGGTATTTTTGCAGGAGTAACACTTGACTGGTTGTGGTTAATAGGTAAAGGGTGGTGAGATCTTAGCTTAGCGAAATTATAGCAATGGCTGAGGCATTATTAAAAAACAATGGGTTTTGTTTTGTATACTATATCTTGTGTTCTTTTTCTGACTTATAAATATTTGAAAACGCTTTAGTCAATTTTAGTTTTTCATTCTTCTTATAGTGCTGTCCAACTTTGGTCAATTTACTTATCAGGAACAGTAAATTTACTCATTAAATTTTCTCCTTAACTTTGCATTTTAGTTAATTTAATTATTGACATCAAAGATTATATTGACTCATAATTATTAGATTTAAAATTTAAATTCGTTGATTGTGAATTTCATTGAAATAATGAGTGAAATTTTATTATTTCAACAAACTCAACTAAATAACTTTTTTATCTTATAAATTATTTTTTCTAAGACTAATAGCAAAATTTAAGTACAATTTTTAGATATTTTTTAAGCTTATTCTTAAATAAAATTAATTTTTTAATAAAAAGTTATCAAATTGAAATTTTATTTTTATTTAAAAATAACAGAAAAATACTTAAAAAGTTATACCTTAATTTTATCCTATTTTAAGAACAAAATAAGGTTTTATAGCTAACAACAGAAATACTAGGGCGCATAAGCATGTAGCTCATTTTTCTTTAGGCCCGTTTCAGCCTTTCTTTGTATACTTCTTGACAAGAAGAAGAGTTGATATTGAAATTTTTAACATATATTTAAGAATAATATTTTAAAAGATAACATACAAGAATTTATTTTTGTTTGTATCAAGAAATAAAACTATTTTTGAAGTCTATAAATATAAGTAACTTTTGGAGAAAAAAAACAATTAAATTGATCCATTTAGTTAGTAATACTAATTCGTGAAAGGTAGAAATAATTTCAAGTGAGAAAGATGGTATGCTACACGAAAAGACAATTACAAGAGACACCATTCAAAGACAATCATCAATTTCAAGAGAATATAAAAGATCTTTTTAAATTTGAGTATTTTAGCAAATATTATTTATTATTTATTTTATTTCACTAATTCTCATCTTGATTTAGGTATTTAGTAATGTATTTTATAATTTTTTAAAAAAATAATTTTTAATAATGATTAAGAAAACAATATTTTGTATAATATAATGTTATGTTAATATTATTTGTTTAAAATTAATATTTCAAAATACACCTTAAGTTTAATTTTTTATTTTTAAAATTTTATAGTTTAGTTATACTTTTTTTTTATCAGATTTCAATCAAATCATAATTGAACTTAAATAAGTACCTATTAAAATTTTGAGTTTAATAGATCCAAAATAAACTTGTATAAACTTATTTTATAAACACTTTAAATAAAGAAAATAGGAAATTTTAATTAATGGATTTAATAAATTTTAAATTAAACCACAACCAACTCCTCACTTTCATATAATTTGGACGAGAATGATCGGTACTGAAAATTGCTTCCCCAAACATGCAACACTGTTGATTATCTCACTCTAGGTTTTGTTGATTGACTTGCTAAAACACTTTACTTTATATTTGACTGCACAATTATTTATATTCTTACTCACTGGTCTTTATTATTATTATTTTTATACAAGTTTCAATAATTCATCTTAAAACACAAAAGACACCATATCCACTGTTCATCGTATGTTAAAAAATAATTCATCTTACAACATAAAAGACATCATCTCGGTTATTCGTATGTTCGAAAAACGTGTTTACAATTGTCAGAAGTCAACCTACATTTCCATACATTTAGAAGTCGAGAAACTTAAAATTTAATGTTTAATAGAACTACTGATTCAAAAAAATGTCAATCCATATCAAAATATAATAGAAAGATTCCTATTTAACATTAAAAATTTACGACTCAATCTTATTTGCGTATCAATATATGGTAAAGAAACTATAATCATATATCATGTAATTACATAAACGACCAATCTGACAATCAAGATGGAACAATGATTCAAAAGAAGGTGATAATATCTATCAACTGGATAGAGGCAAGTTACTTAAACCTTCTGAGGTCGGAACAACCCAAATAGGTGGTGGATCCAACTTATCTGTAAATGGAGTTAAGAGCTTGACACTTCCATCATGAAGAATGAAAACACCCCAATCATGACCACCATATGAATAATCCAAACCCATCTCTTCCAACCTATCATCAGTGAAATAAATTGAGTTTGCTTCACATCCTGAAATGGCTTTGGCAGGCACTGATGTAGACTCATTAGTTCCAAGAAAAAGCACTTGATCGTGCAAAGACTTCTTCTTTCCCCACCTTAGCTTTCTAAAGTCAAGTTTGTACACACCAAAATGCAATGTTCTATAAGGACGAATTTCACCATCATCAAAGTCTCCTTCACACACTGCTACACCATCAGCATTGACATTATTGCCAATAAACCTTTCCACCAACAAAAACTCTCCCTCTGATATCACCAAGTAATATCGGGTAGAAAACAAATTTTCTGGAAATTTCACATTTTCTGCCGCATCTATCTCCACTTTAAGTTCAGCATCAAAGATCTTTCTAGGGTTTTCTTGATCACCAAATTCCCACGCTTCAAGAGAGCAATTTTCACCCAAAGCATAAAGAATGTTGTTGTGGAACACAATGTCACAATAAGTATGCTTAGCATCATGGAGTTGAACCCACGTTCCATTCTTGCAAAAGGCAAGCTTACATGGATAACTATACATTATTGCAAGCGTATACTGTGAAGGAGAGGGAGAACGCATAACCACACCTTTGGACACAAAGGTTTTACGTAAGAATTGGACAAAGTAGGAATATGAAACGTACATGAATTTAGTAGGAAAATTTGGCAAGCGAATGGACTTAGTGGAAGAGGGATTCACGAGAAAAGGAGAACCGTTTGAGTCTAAGAGCATGAGAAAATCCTTAGAAGAGCCAACACACCATGCACCAAGATGACCCATGAACATGTTCTTCCACTCATAGAGCTTGTTTTCTTGCACGCCGAGGATGTAACGATGAAGGGTGTTTGTGTCCTCATCGTCGTCGTAGTCAATCTCAACAACATGTGTGTTTTCAATTCTAGGAAGAATGGCGTAGGGAACGGAGAGGTTAGCCATTGAAGTGATGTGATGTGTTCTGGTGATTAAACTGAGAAGAAGGGTTGAATTTGATGGTGCTTAAATAGACAAAAATAAAGAAAAGAAAAGAAAACAAATAAACAGTAACTTGATCAAGAAACAGATTTTTTAGACCGTGATAAAAGTTGGACGATTAAAATCTATCAAAGTTAATATGCTATATGATATTCCTTTCTTCTTTTAGACTACGAGACATGACTTTTGAAAATCATGTTTTCTTTTTTTCACATATTTTTAAAAACTTTTTCCTTTTCTAAAATTTTCAACCGGTATCCGTTATTGATTTAAATTTCATATATATCATTACCAGATTTGATTCAGTAGATAATTAGTATCTATTTAGATAGATTTTTTTTTTCCATATCTTTTTAAACAACTTTTTTTTCTAAATTCCAACCGGTATCTATCTATTATTAATTTAAATTTCAAATATATTATCATCATTATTGCTGATTTAAATTTCAAATACATCATGATCAGATTTAATTTAGTAGATAAATAATTTGTATCTATCTAGATTTTTTAAAATTTTAATTGATTATTACGTAAATTTTATAAGTTCTAGTGTGCCTAACTAAATTTTTTATTTTAAAACAAAATTTTATCGAAGTATGATAATAGTTAATTTTTCTTATTATATGATATCACAAAATATTTATTATAATATTATCTATTATTTCCATTATTTTAAATTTTTTTACAAAAATTAACGAGAATGATAAATATCTTAATAAATAGAATATTTTTATTAAACTAGTTTTTATTAATTATTTTTTATTTGCTAAAAAATAAAATAACAAAACTTAAAAAATATTTATTCATTATTTTTATAAAAATATTATATATCACTTATTTATGTAGAACTTGAATAAAATGATTAATGTACTAAAATATTAAAACATCACTTAATATTAGTTTTTAACTATAAAGGATCAAGTTATAGTAATGATATAAAATATTTAAAATTTTAATAATATCAGCATTGATATTTTTATTTTATTTTTAAAATTTCTTTCTTAAATGATTTTAAAAAAATATTAAAGTATATAAAAATTTTATTATTTAATATCACATTTAATATGATACAATGTAGTGAGTTTTTAAAAATAAAAAGACAACTACCATTATTTATAAATACTATTGTCAATATATTTTTAATTTTAAATATTAAAACATATATATATATATATTAATTTTTTTATATCCTTATGTATTGTAATATTTATATTAATAAAACAATCACCAATTATTTATACAAGTTAATATATTTATTCATTTAATATTGAGTCATTAATACGATTATTTATTAGTATGTGTATTCTTAGAATACACTATAAATTTATAATATATATAGATACTTTTTTATTAATTTTAATAAATAAATAAATTATTTTTTTATGAATAAAATTAAAAAATATATAAAACAGACGCTCAAGGAATAGTAGGATTGAAAAAAAAGAATGCATGCGATAATCTAGCTAAAGTAGTATAATGTGTAGATTATTATTCAAGGATGAAAACCATTATTATTATTATTATTATTATTATTATTATTATTATTATTATTATTGATTACCTCATATAAAAATATTATTAAATAAATTTCATTATATTGTTTTTGCACACTTTTATTTCTTTGGATTATTGTAATTGAATGTTAACTAGTTAGTATTTTGTAAAGAATACAAATATTTTATTTTAAAATAAAATTTGTTAAATTTTAAAATATATTAATGAGATAGGACAATTAAAATTAAGAAAGATGATGAGTAAATAATTAAAATTAATATGCATTATTTATAATTATATTGTTTTGTTCCTTTCTTTTGGACTCGTGTTGCTCGTTTTTATAAAATAGTAATTAGACCATGAGACAAATAAAGAAGATTGTTGCATAATTGGGTTTTCATTTGGTCTATGCATAACTGGGATTTAATTAACAATGAATTCTTTGGCAGAAGAATTTATTTATTTTTGGTAAAAGCAGATTTTTTATTTCAGCATATATTTTAAAATTCATTTTTAGTTATTATAATATTATTCATCAAAAGCAATGTAAGAATTGGGAAAGGATGCAATAGCAGAAAAGAAATGCAAATTGAGTATATATTGAAGGAATGTAATTTTTAGTGTACCTTGAAGGGTATTCTATTTATAGAAAACAATTATTATTATTATTAATTAAATTTATATCAATAGATAATGGAATTAAAAGTTTAGTTTAAAAATTTAATTTTTAAAATATTAAATATATCATTATTGTAAATTTAGAAAAGATATATTTATCATAACAAGCACTTTTAAAAAAATATTACACTTAGACGGTGATGATGAGGCAAATTATGGTAAGTATAAGGGTGAGTAGATGTGGAAAGTGCAGTTGCAAGTAAAAAGAAAAAAATAAAAAAGAAGAAGAAGTAAAATGAGAAGAGGGATGAAAAAGATGAAGGAATATAAGAGGTAAAAAGAAGTTGTGGCAGTGTAAAATACAAACGGTAATTATGAGTTAAATTGTCAATGAATTCAATATTTAATCATTTTAAAAAGAATAGTAAATTAACTAAATAAAATTATATTTAAGGACTAAAAATTTATTGATATTTACACAGACAAAACCCCGTATAAGCATATTGACATAGAACAGTTGCTTAGATACACGTAACAACGTTAAATTGGATAACTGTTAACTAATTTTATAATTAATAATAAAAATGAAAATTTAAAATATCAACAAAACTGAAAAATAACATAAAAAGACATATTGATATGTTGTTTTATTTGTTTAAAAATCATCATACACGAAATGTAAAGGAGATAAATTTTATAATGACCTAAATATTCGTTAAACTCTATTTTAATGAAAAATTAAAAAAACTAAATTGATATATACTTATTCGAAAAAGCACCGCCATCATTTGTTGGCATTGGACTGCCCAAAATGACAGACATTCAACCACAACATTCGCCATTAAACTTGCGGACAACAATTAAACATTTGAACCCGTGAATTTGGTAAGTAACATTTAAATTTTTGTTTAGTAAATTTGAAAACTCGGATGCCAATTTAGCACTGTACCTTGGTTGAAATATGTAAACTAGTGTTTTCTTCTTTGTTTTTTCTGTCTGAATTGATAACTTGCACCTTTTTCTATTTTGCCAAGTCGACCAACATACTCACCCTTGACTCGAGGACCTCTGGTGGTCCAATATTGCCCCCATCCAAGTTGATACAATTGTTTCCATTATAATATTGATTTAATACTATGATTAGGCATCAACATTAAAGTTTTGAAGATTAAGACTAAAGCAAATTGCATCAATCATTTTACCATTATAGCGTATCTAAAACTAGAAACATTATTCCACATTATGTTTTGTTTTTTTTTAAATAACAGTGACAGAGATTATATTGTCAAATGTCAACCTTCAAGGATATGATACCCCAATCATACTTATAAGCATATGCCCAAGAGTCATACAAGTGAAGCTAAAAAATTTTAAGATTAATTCAAGCATTAAAAATAATAAAAGTCTACCAAAGAAGGAAATCTTTCTCTTTTCTGATTAAGACTAAAATAAATACATAACATTACGAAAATTATAAATTGTTTACCAAACAAAAACTTTTAATTCAAACTAGAATCGGGCAATAAATTTTCTCATGCAAAACAATAATGTTAAGCTCTGCTGCGACTTCCTATAAATTCTTTTAATAATCTTTCTAATATTTTATAAAGTATTTATTTAATAAAAAAAGGTTTATTATTTTAAAAACATTATAATCAGTTAATACATTCTTCATTTAGTACTTTTAAAATACAATTAAAATTATTCATTTAACAGTTAAAACTATTCATAATGTTAAAAAAGATTGATAAACATTTAGTTTTAAAAACATAGTACACTTATAAAGTAAACTCTCCAAAATGTAAATAAGAAATTGGAGAACAAATATATCTATTTAAAATGTAAACAGGAATCTCAATTTCAAAAAAACTGTAAATATCAATTATACATATTTTTAAACATAAATTAACAAGTGTAAGATAAAATGTCAATGGTTAATATCACCAGTCATAATCCAATTTTTGGCAGAAGGAATTAAGGAAATTAAAGAGTATTTGTATTCTTGAAAGGAAATAAAGGATTGGGAAGAAAAATAGCCTCTTCATTCATTCTTTGTATGTAAGCTGGTGGCACTACCGCACTAGCAAGTAGCAATGTACATTCAGGCTTGTGAATGGGGTTCAAAATTTACAGTGAGAGCAAAAAATAGAAAAAAACTCAAAAGTCAGAAACCACCCCCGATTGCTGCTTTTGTCCAGTACCTCAGCTTCACGTGACAGGGACAAGCAAGAAACACGCCAAAGACGCAGCAGAGAGAGAAGAAGAGGACCCAACCCAAGAAAACTCAACAAAAGCCGAAAAACAAGAGAATGATTAGGGGCAAAACCGTAATCCAAAACTTGGACGGCCACGATGACGCATCCCCACTCTCGAACTGAAGCGAATCGACGGCCAGTGGCATGTTCTCCTGATCAGGACTACACTTGGATTCATGCGGATGAGCACTGTACATTATGGCACGCAACACCGCCGAAACGGTAGGTATGTACGCCGTTTTGTTCTTCGCCAGCAACCACGTCAAACCCATTAGTTGACAGTCCCTGTTAAACATCTTCTTAACCCTATCACTCCCTCCATTACCCTTCGTCTCGTTCTTGTACCCCTTCACCTATTCAAAGTAAAATCATATTAAAAGTGAAAAATGTATCTAATAATTGGTAAATGCTCGTAGAAAGTCGTTTTCGTAAGTCAACAAAAAGCATGGTTGGTTTGAGAAAAACGGCAACGAAGACTTTTCGTTTTCAATCGAGGTAGAACCTTTTGTAGGGCACCGAGGCATTTGGTGCAACCAGCGTAAGAAGAGTTGCGACAATTGTTCTCCAAGTTGCGAACGGCAGCGGTTGGAGTCGCGTTTCGGTGAGAGAGCGAGACGTTAAACGCAGCGGAACAAGTTAACGACGTTATTTGGTGGAGTCTGATGCCACAGAAGCAGAGAATAGCGTCACACGTGGCGTTTGGTTGAGGGATTCGGATGTTCCGACTCAGGAGCGAGTCTTGGAGCGAGTTCACACACTTCTGCGAGTCGTCCGGCATCATCGGAAGGTCGGCGCTGGTCGGCGCCGGAGCGGTGGAAACTTCGAGTGCGGTGCGGGCGTGGGCGGCGAAGAGCCACGCGGCGAGGACGGGGCAGCAGCGGCTCCGGTCAAGGTCTTTGCCGCAGGCGTCCTTGACGCCGCCGAAGAGTTCGTTGGAGAGGTCGAGGCGGCAGGTTTGGGCTTGGGTCTGAACGGGGAATGCGGGCACGGTGTTGGAGGATGGGTACTGACCCGGTTCGAGTGGCTGGTTCGGGTCGTTGACTGGTTGGGCTAGTAAACCAGCTTGGGATTGGAATAGTTGTAGCGTAAGAAAAGTAAGACACGCGAGAAGGGACGTGAATGATTGCATTTTTTTTTTTTTTCTGGGTCTTGTTTTGAACTAAAATTTAGAGGAAAGGTGGAAAAAGTGGGGTTGAAAAGGAAGAGTTTTGTTTTTGAGAAAGGGGTTTAGGTTTCTTGGGAATTATAGGTAGAAAGAAAGGTAGGGGGATTCAAGAGATATTCGAAAGGAGATGAAGAGGGTTGTGGAATTGCTGGTTTTATTTTCTCTCGGATTGTGAGACCCATGATTTGATTGGAGGGTTTAAGAAAACATTATCACTGCATGTTAAAAGCATAGAAAAGATGGCAAAGTGCTAAAATGAAGAGTGAGGATACAAGGTTAGTATTTTGTTGTGCTTACTCTCTCCCTCTCTGCCAGTGGGGTTTCTGTCACTTATCCGTGGTCTTTCAAGAGACAAATAATGCGGTAAGGACAATTTATAATTATTATTACACTAAAGTTTGGCAAAGTTTCCACACAGTGGATAGGTAACTATGTTAATTAATGCTTAATTTTTTAATCACATACACCCATGAAAAATGTTAATGAAATATCTTCTTAACACAATAACACTTTTTTTTATATTTAATCAGTTTTCCAAAAAGGTTAAACAATTTTTAAAATATTTAATTTACAAAATAAGTATTTTTACTTTTAAAAATAAACTAATTATAAGAATATTAAAATAATATGTAGTATTTTTCTGTATATATCTATACTCTAAAATGCTAACTAATGTCAGGATATTGAATTAAAATAAAAAAAATACAAATAGAACTAGTAAAGCGTATTAAAAACAGGTTAAAGTATATTAATACTGCTTACTAATATCCTATTAGTTATCATTTTCTTAAAATTTTATTATGAAACGTAAAACAAGTTAATCTCCTATTTAATCAGAAATACCTTTGATGAAAAAAAGTAATTATTATCCTTAAAAGTTAAACACCATTTGTAATGGGTACTTATTATAGTTAAATATTTGTTTTAGATATTAAAATTTAAATTCACAATCCACATGAGAAAAAGGCGATTTCAGTCAGAGATGACTCTAGGTTGATGCATTAAGATAATCAATTTAACATTCTGATTTGATAATTTAAATAATAAAATTGAACAGTTTTTTCACTGTTTCTGAATTTTATATGTGGACGCAACTCCGATAAACGAAAGGGCAACAGAATCCTGGTGAGAAATGGAGCGAGATTCGTTTTAGGGACACAGGAAGAGTAGGACGAAGCAGGTTGATATGAAAAAGAAAAGGCTGTCCAAGAATTTGGCAGCTTGTGCTGTCCTTTTCGTTTATCAGTTTATTATCTTTCTTTTCCCCTTCTCCTTTCTTCTTCCGTTATATTTTTGTTTTTTGCTAGGGATGGGAGAAAAAGCTTTCGGAGGGCTTGCACTGTTTTTGGACCTTGGTTTTCCCATTCTCTTCTCCTTCCATGACCAATCAATTATAAATAAATAATTATGTACCAGTGAAATACTAACCATCATCGTAATCACTCAACATATGTCATGTTCCAAATCCATTTTACATAGGAGATAGGAGATAATCCAAACCTTCATGTGTGCTATGCTGAATTGCCTTGCCAAGGTGAGCATGCAAACCGTGCATGATGCCTGACTCATTGTGCACTTCAGTAGTTAGCTTTGCCTTATCTGTTCTTCCTTGTGGTGGAATCATGCGTGACATTCAACCAACGCCATTTTTATTTTGTGCATTGTTGGAGATAACATTATTTAAGCATACGCAATTGCTCAGAGCTAATATGGACAAACATAAATCTACCGTTTCACATGGGAATGTCAGGCCTCATATACTTTTATTTTCTTCTAATGTTACTATTATACTAATCAGCCTTGTTTTGTGCCCATTTTTAACCATGGAACAAATTTTAATTACATTGTATTTATTCACATAACTGAACCAGCTAGGATCCGTTTCTGTGAATATTCCGTTTACACTAAAAGACAAAGTAACACACAGTGTGTCAAGTAGGTTCCACCATAGAGTGGAGTGAGGAGAGAGGAGAGAGTAGAAACTAGAGTTGAGTCCCAACTGGGATTGACAACAAGGGCGAGAGAGAAAGGAGCATTATTAGTTTAAAGGACAAACACAAAGCGTCAACCAAAAGAAAATTGTTCCCTTAAAAAGTAGTACCTTTGGGAAAAGTTTCTAACACTTTTACTTCCTCCAATAATCTGGTCCCTTTGCGTCTCGGGTAGGGTCCCTTAATTCAAATCATGCGGTGGAAAAAAGAGGGACGATGCTTTTGTTGAATACTACTTACATATATATCCCATATAAGCATATTAGACAATAAAAAGAATGCATTATATATCGGATTAGGTTCTAAAAGGAGGGTGGTTAGCTCCATTGTTGGTAATTGAGCCTCAAAAGTAGAAGTAAAAAGGTGCAATCATGGTGTTGCAAATTACGAATTGAGGTTTCCGGGCCCAGATGCACCTTCCAATTCATAGAAATGCTGGGTTTTGATCGAGCCCAATTGCGCAGTAAAGCCAAGGATGCGTAAGCGTAATGAATAATGAATCATGCATGAATATCATTTTTCTTTTGGTTTCTCTTGGTCATACTCTTGTGCACGTGCAAAAGCGTTCCTCCAATTGTGTCTTGTTTATGATCCTAAACTAAAATCAAATTCGAGGGTATAGCAACTAGTGCGAGGAAAAGCTTTATTTGCATGTGCACGACCACATGAAGAAAATATACCTTTGAACTTGAACTAGTTGAACAAAACTTTTATATTTTGATCGATATCTTATTATCATTGATTTGAAGAAGAGCTGTTTCTATTCCTAAATTATTGAAATCATCAGCTACCAACCAACGAGGATCAAAGTCATGTCTTGGGGGAACACTTTTAAAATAGTTTGTGCAAATCCACCTGTACCCACTTTAACGTCTTTAACTTTAAACAAAGTTATAATAACTTTATGAATTCATGTAATTCATAGGCTCAAAGCACTTTTAGGTATCTCAGCCTATTTCTCTTTTCGCTTTTCCAATTTCGGATAGGAGTAATTATGTAACAAGTGACGTTTTGTTTTTTAAAAATCAATTAAGGAGTTCAAGGAGCAAGAGAAAAAGGGAAAATAAAAAGGAAATCACTTAGTAATACAAGAGCGCAAAGTTAATTCCCAACATAAATAAAAAGAGAAGAATGAAGATGAAAATTTGTATAATCTCCTCATAGTTTTAAGAAGAAATTAAGTCCTTATAATTTTTCTTAATTTTAATTGTGATTTATTTCTATATTTATTTAATTATTTTATAATTTGAAAATTATTAGAAATTTGTTCTCCGTGTAGGGATTAAAGTTAAAACACACTTATGTTGTAGGGACTAATTACGAGTGATTTTAAAAGTATAGGACTTCAAAACCAAACTTTTAAATTATATAAATTAAAGTTGAAAAGAAATTAAAAAAAGTAAAAGTATATTTAGCCTCCTCAACATAATATATTTGCATTTTGCTCGATAAAATGCATAATTTTCTTGCTAACCTTTTATCTTACGGAGAATTTTTATTAGAAGATGGATTTTTAAGTTATCCTTTTGCTAAGCATGAGCCTAAATCTTATTCCTTGTCTAATATTGCATTACCTCAGCTATGATGGAGTGCAGAGATAGGTGACAAGTTCATATTTTCCCATTATTACATTCTCTTTTATTATTTAGTCATGAACAAATGCTCATAATTACTAAATAATTTTAAATTATTTTTAAGGGTAATTTAATGCATTAATAATATTAAATATATAATTTTAATACAAATTTATTATTTATTAATTTTTCTTATTTGTTTTTAAGCTCACATTACGAAACTAATTAATAAATTTCAAAGTAATAAAAAATTGGTGATATTTAACGTTTTTATTTTTTTAAAATATTGAGTGAAACACTTAAAAAGATCATTAAAAACAGTTATTCCACAAAAAACTAATTAAAGAACCTTATCTCGATCCCTCTATTCCGAAAACACATTGGTTTCTTCTTCCCCCTCTCCAATATTGCTTCCAAAACAAGACCATTTGAACCGAAATATGAGTCCGTAATAGGCAACATCATTTGCAACTTACGATGATGTTGGCTTCATATGTTGTAGCTCTGGATGTGGAATTGTTGGATTCAACTGAACTCGAACAAGTGACATGGTGATTATGGAAGATTCAGTCAGTAGTGATGCATGGTGGCTAGTGACTATCATGAAATCGTGCGAGATCTACAACCGTAGCTTTTGGGGGAAGGCTGAAGTTAAGAAGATTATAAAATTATTGAATCAGTTTTAGCTTTATTTTGTAAGGTATCATTTTTAACTTCAAATTTAAAGTAGCTTTTTTTCTTGTTCACATTAGTGCGTATGTCCTTTTCAATGCATGAAACAAAGCTTGTATGGGTTGGTCATCATGAGGGACCTAAATGTATAAATGTTGAAGTGTCTTTTCATTATATATCTCTCTTATTTTATTTTAACTATAATTTTCCGATAAATGAAAAAACGTTAAAATTGCTTTAAAAATGACAGACCAAATTCTCTCTCTACAAATAAGTATGACTCGAGAGAACTTTAAATGTAGTTTATTAATCTATTATTTATTTTCGCTTAGAATTTTAGTTTATTTTACCTCGTACAGTTAATAACACTATGCTTGATTAGATTTTAGTTCATCGCAATTACGCATTCTAAGATATTTACAAATCAATTTTGGAACAATGATTTATCTTCCTTTATGTTTACATGAATTCGCACTGTGAGATGTCGGTAAAAAAAAAATCATAAAATATAGGTTTATGAATACCTTTTTTTTTTTTTTGGACTAAACAAATTGTTTTTCTTTTAACATATATCACAAAATTATGCAACTTTTTTAATTGTATTATGGAGATTATTCCTTTACGATGTTGGGCCTATCATCTTTCGTTCTTTTTCCACCAAAACAAACAAAACCTAATCAAGCCTATATGTTTTGATTTGGACCCCACCCAACAAAAAGAGACAATATTTTTTATATATTGAACATTGACAATATAAATACATACATATATGTGTAGATATTAGGAAATTATTTTTTATAAATTTTACTAATGTATTTATACGCAATTTTAGTATAATAAACACAAGAAAAAAATAAATTATAAAAATTGAAGAAAAATTAATATAAACTAAAATGATGTAATGTGTTTCATAGCACAAAAATAACTTATATTTTTATTTTATATTTTATCCTGTCTTTTTATAATTAAGACCTTAATTGCACAATTATAAGTGTCAGAAGTGAAAAACCAAATTGGCCTAATAAAAATACTTCAGTCCTAAACACCATAATTCTCTTTCAATACATACAGATTATTAAAATAAATTAATTTATTAATTAATTTTTTCCACAACACATTTAAGAATCAAACCTGAATTAAAAGATCTAACCATTTATCATTTATGTTAGACTTTATAGTGCTAAATTATCTAAACTATATCATAATCTAACACAATAAACACATAAAAATTTAATAGTTCTCAAACTCATAATAAATTGCATAATTTCATGATTTATATGAAAAATATAAAATTATTCATTCAAAATTTTTAAAAATCAAATTTATTGATGAGCAGTGTTCAAACTTACAAAATTCTACATTCCAACCAAAAATACCAATATCAACGGAGGAACGTCCTATAGTATCAACAATAAATTTAATTTAATTTACAAAACTCGAATTTACAAGTATCCCAAAAAGGCAACACAAGCCACATTTGAGATAACTATAAATAGACCAACATGTTATTAATTAGTTAGAGGGACAGAACAAAAAAATTCACTAATGTCCAAACCCTCAGGAATGTCAAACTTGAACAAGTCATTATAATAGTTGTCCCTCTCTTCCTCCATGCCACTGTTCACATACGTGGATGACGAATTCAACTGGTTTGGGTTTGATACAGGTGTAGTCAGAACCGAGTCATCATAGCCCATGTTTTGCTTAATATTGTGCATTAAGTGGACCAAATCTGGGTCCCCCAACAAGTCAACTTTGTTTTGTTGCAAAACAAGGTTCTCTCCAAGAGAGGAAGGAGTTGAATTCGGTGAAGAACTTGAACAACTCAAGTTTGCCATGTTACCCAAGAAGCCTTCTACATTGGTTGTTTGAGTAAACTCTAGTGGTGGGGCAACTTGGCTTTGTACATGATTCTGTGGAGCCAAATCTGGGTCTTCAGTGTTCTTGATTGATAAAAGAGAGGCAGCGGCAACCAGCTTTAACAACACCGGGTTCATCAAAACTTGGCCACCCAATAAACCTTGCGTATTCAAAAGGGAGGGGTTCCCCAACACTGACCTTAAGATAGAGGACATGTCAAACAGGTCTAGACGTGGAGTGTGAGTAACTGGGTCAATTCCCATTCGAAGCAACCTCTTCTTAATGTGGGTGTTCCAATAGTTCTTTATTTCATTGTCAGTTCTTCCTGGCAACCTTGCTGCAATAGCTGACCATCTATTAAACCATAAACCATATTAATTAATTAGCATATATACATATATAAAGACAATCTAATACTTATGCATTTTTAATTAGACAAATCATCATATATAAATGAAGGAAAAACATCATAGACTTATTACTTGTTTCCCAAGATACTATGCAATTGAATAATAATATCTTCTTCTTCTAAGGAGAATCTCCCTCTCTTTATATCGGGTCTTAGGTAATTTGTCCATCGAAGGCGACAACTCTTGCCACATCTTTGTAGACCTATAAGTACAGTAACATAATCAATATGTATTTTTTAAATAAACTATTATAACAATAACTTTGTAGGCAGAAAAAGAGAACCATGCATTCGGTTAGAAAATGTGAGTTAAGGAAGGGTAAAGTGAAGGAAAGAAGAGGTACCAGCAACTTTAGGAAGGGTTCGCCAATTGCCTGGTCCATGAATCTGAATATAGTTGATGAGTTTAAGGTCCTCTTCTGGTGTCCATGGACCCTTCTTGAGTCCATTCTTGTCGCAGCAAGGAACTCTTCCCATTTTCCAAAAGGGTATCTTAATGTGTCTTATTACGAAAGATAGAAGAGGGTTCTGAAACCACGAAAGTGAACAATTCGATCGATCTGTTGCTTGTCGTAATGGCTGAAACGACCAGTGTTTTTATAGCAGAGAAAAGCAAGGTTAGAAGTTCCAAGTCAAAAGGATTTGGCGCCGGCCATGTGCCACATGTCCTCTCAACGATGGTACACATGATCGTATATACGTCTGCAATACATACATACAGTACATGGCGTAAACAATTTACAGCTACACTATCCGTCGATATATATTAACAAAAATAATGCCTCATTTTTTTCAAAGAATGTAACGATCGAGTAATTTTGATTGTCTGACTCATGGTTGATGCATGCTTGTTTCAATAAAGACTTGAAATGAAACGAGGAAACATGCATAGGTAGGAGTATATTTTATGGTATTGTACGTGAGTAGCTCTACACAATTACATGCATATACCATCTACGTTTGTTGCACTGGCACGTGACATTAGGAAAGGACGAGGTTATTAATTTTTTTATATCTAAAGTATATTTTTAAAATGTGCATTGTAAATATAAAAAGTAAAAAAGATAAAATAATGAGATTCAGCAACACGCGTATTATATTAATTTTTAGTGGTGAAGATAAGTAAAATTTAAAACTGATAAGGACATGAAAGGGGTTGACTTTTCTCATTGTAAAACAAGTGAAGAGATCAGATTGAGAAAACATTTTTGAACTTTTGAGTTTGACCTTGTTTGTATACATCATGGGGAATAATGGGACGGTACGGTTGTTAAATCCCCTTAACAACATTTGGAGAAAATGTGATATACTGTTTCACTTTCATTACATATTGCTCATTTTGGGTTTTCATTTTTCTTATTCCTTCTTTGGTTCTGATATGTGCCTGAGGTTGTCTGTCAAATGTCTTTTTTTCTTTTTTTTTCCTCTAAGCCATCATTTTGACAAACCATACTTACTCCTTTTTGGTCTTGTCTTGTTGCACCAATGCAGCGCTTACTTGTATTTCCTTCCACAATTTTCAAGTGCTATTTGGTATCAAATATTTCGAGTTTATCATTATCATCTAGAAAGGAAAAAGACGTGATATCATCGTCATCATTATGATAATAATAGTAATTAAAAAAGAAAAAATATATTTATATAGTTTTCTATAAGGTACATAACATACTACTTAGCTAGTGTTTGGTTTCTATAATTATGTTAATTTTAAAAATTGAGGTTTTTTAGTCTTTATCATTCGAATGGATGATGTGTCTATCAATATGGAGCCAAATTTCCATGGTAGGGAACCTTTCAAACGAATAAAATAGCATCTGTGACAGGTGTCATTACCTTTTCCACAAGTGAAGTCAGCGATTCCCTACTCTGCCATTGCATTGTCCTCCGCAGCAAGCAATAGGACTGCAGGTTGCTTCATATGCTAGCTATAGCATGCATGTATTCAAATGACTTTGAAAATCAGGTGCCAAAATCCATCCACCCTCCATCTAACACTGTATGATTTATAAGTCAAAATGCTATTTTAGTTCGTTCTTTTTTCCTTCTCGATTTTTGACGAAGAAAATATATATTATTATATTATCATTCAGAGATCACGAACGATCCTGTTTTGTAAGCTATAAATTATAAACTGCAGGAGAAAGAAAAATTGCTGCACAGTGACGTCATTTTGAAACGGTATCATTTTTCATCAAGAAACTACGGATTTTAAAAAAAAAAAAACTTATTGAATTAGTTTTGGTAAATTTTCCATTATTTTTTTAATAAAAAAATTACTATAAAAAATAATATATTAAATTTTTTGAAGAATTTAGAGCATTGAGACTTGTGGGGAGAGAAGAGATATATTTCTCAATTCTTGATTAGATTTTTAACCCCACGAGAAATGCATCTAGTAGAAAGTTTATATGTTATCTTTCTTCATATGATCGATTCCTATCGTAAGTATGTACCTATCTTTATGGTATCACTTTGATGTAAGATTGGGGTATCCACGTATTCCACATAATATTTTTCTTTTTTGCTGATAAAAAAATAATGCCACTTTAATTAACATCTCTAATTGACGGTAAAATTCTTGTACTTGATTCTTCACAAGATATAATCAAGGTTTTATACTGCAATAACTATTACCACTATAGACATATTTCAACTACATATTTGATATCGTAAAAAAATAAAATTAACTAAAGATAGTTAATGTGATAAAAATTGGGATTACAGTCGCCATTTATCTGGTTATGGAGCTATAGGAAGCAAACCTTTTACATTAAAGTATATGATTGTATAATTAATTAATGTAATTTATTTTTATATTATAAATTTAATTAAGTTTTTACTCTTAAACACAGAGGAATTTTATATATACTCTCTTTTTTCTTATGACACGTGAATTTATCATTATTTAACATTTACTTTTATATGTTTTAAAAAAAATTAAATTATTAATTTTCTTATATTTTTATGTCATCTTTTTATTCGTCTTTAAATTTCAACTTTCTCAAATTAATTAGGTCAATTTTTAAATTAAAATTCAATTTTCATCTAAAATTACTTATACTCTCAAACTTATTCTTTTTAGTTATTTTATTTTTTTCCCTAAACCTAACTTTTATATTTTTACTTATTTGTTTGAATTAATAAAAAATATTTTTCTTATAATTTTAAATGTTATTTAAATTTGAAAACATCAGCAAAGCACAAAATATTTGTTAGCTATATATGTTGATGGTTTTTATGTAGAAAAATATTGAGTCCCTCCTTCACAAGTTATTTTAATCTGCCCGTACACAAATGCAGTTGTAGAACCCAAGTTAAAACTTTGGTTGGTCCTTTTTCTACGCACACAGAACCAGCTAGATGAGTCATTTTATACTATGTACGTAGTTTGTTCTAGCATATATGGATATATTAAATACGTAAACATATATATATATATATATATATGTATATATATATATATGTATATATATATATAAGCAACTAGATTTATATGAAAAGCTAATTAATTATCTGCAATATATACTGCCATATATCTAGATAAATAGCATAGTATTTTTGGATTCTTAGATGTGCAGTGAGAAGCTGGATAAAAACGTTGCGTCACCATATCTGTACATATGTTTTTAAATTGGCCTAAATTTATATTTAGATTACCTGGCACAAAATGCAAAGCTTGATGGCAATTGGCTTCCTGAAATAGGGATCTACCATATCTCTCATGCTGACTACATTAAGTTCGTTATGTGAAATTGTGTTATATTATTGTTGTTTGGCTTCCAAAACTCCAACAAACTTGGTTTTCTTTTGTTATTTTGTTCCAAGCACACATTGCTTGGATACGTGTGCTTTTAATTAATATATATGTAGTTGAATGACAATATTAGAATTAGAAGACCAAGTTCAAATTCTTCATCTGTGTTTTCATTTTATTAATTAATATAATTTATGGGTTAAATATGAAAATAATTGTTCTATGGTGAGCATTTTTTTGTCTCTAAATTTTTCTTTTTTATTTTAATTCTTATATTTTTATTATTTTCTTTTATGTTACTCTCTTTTAATGATACGATTTAAAACTGGCACATATGATTTTTTTTATTAATCACGTTAATAATGAAAATCAGAAAACAAAAATCATAAAAATAGAAAAATTAAAACACACAAATTTTAAAAAGTTGCAAAATACTCAAACGTGGAGAGCGATTTTAACCATTTGTTTTCTGGGCATGTAAACTGCAACATGGCTTGTTTGCCGGTTGTTAAGATTTGGGACACGTGGCTGATTGGCTGTGCTGCGGGTGTATATGCTGCATTGTACACGTTTAATTTATATGGAACTCAAAATCTTTAAGATTGGAGAATTGATCATCATATGTTCATTGAACTAATTACACTTAGTATCATAATTAAAGATTGAAGATAAGCAATCGAATGTTCAAAAAATATATTTTGATGTTAAATGTAAAAATATTGCATTGTTTCTCGATGATGTGTTATTATATTATTTGACAAGTCTGGCATTACTTACTATGTTAATTTTATTGAACATTATGCTTAATTTAATTATCAATAAAACTGCATTCACTCTTTCTAATAATTAATTTTTTATCTTGAAAAATTAACTTATATAAGATGATTGGTTGATTTTAATAGAATATTTTTTTATAAAAAAAATAAATACTACAATTTTTTCTTTTAAATATATTAATTGATAAATTATTTTTATAATTTTATTTATTATAAAAATTATGTTAATAAAGTTTTTTTTATTTTTATATAAGTTAATATATTTATTTATTTCATGCACAAATCACTAATTTAATTATTTCTTATATAAATAATTTTTAAATATATTATCAATTTATTATATAAATTATTTATATATTTTTTATAAAAAAATAAATAGAGTGTTGTTTTATAAATTTAATTATAATATTCATAAGTGCAAAAATATTAAGTGAATAGAGATTCTAATATACGGAACTTTTGTTTTTAGTCACATAAGGATAGTACTGTTTTCTTTTTTTGTCAGAAGCGATAGTACGGTTTCTTGTTTTTGTGGAGAATAAGAAGGTTGAAAGGCCCAAACTTTTAGGGGCGCAGTAAATTGCCAATTTTTTTGGTCCAACGTTTTATTTATACTTTTTTTTTTTTTTATCATATTACTTATTTTTTTCCTACCTTTTTAATTTTCTCCTCTATCTCCATTTAACACTTGATTATGAAGTGGAAAAATATCAATGCTCTAAAATATTTTGCAAGCCTATGACTAACCATATGGTTTTGCGCTCATTTCCATTGCCCCAAAAATTATCCCCATAGATATAATTAGTATTTCTTAAATAATGTAATTTTGGTACACTATAGATATAATTTTTCTATTAATTATTATAAAAATTAATAATTATTATTTATATATAAATTTTTAACTGAATGATAATATATTAGTATATTTAAATTAAATTTTATCTAAGTTTGTGAAGCTATCGACAAATCTACCTACCAATACTGATAGATCATGACTTATTAGAGATATATTTGTAAGACAATTATTCACCAAATATCTTTCAGATATACTTGATTTTGGTTTAGCTTCAATAGGTTTAGGGTTCTCTGTGTTATAGTTAGAGATTTAATTTTTACACTTTCTGATGCAAAATACACATTTTGTAAAAAAAAGATATGTAATTTAGATTAATTTATAGATACATCTCAAAAATGTTAAATAATTTTAAATCAATTTTATCAAAATTAAATTTCATCAAATTTAAATAAAAAAAAAATCTTAATTTATGTTAATGGTGAAAGTCTAAGTGAAAAATATTTTTTAACATAAAAAAAAATTAATTGGTCATGAAAGCTGTATTTATAACTTATTCAGAAGTGTATAATTCTTTTTTTTTGTCAACAAACTAGTAAAACAACTTACTAAAAAAAAGTTTGAAACTTTTGAGATGGAGTTTATAATTTTTTAAATTCTAACTTATTAAAAATTATTTCAAATAACTTTTAGCTTATTAGAAGTTTCTAATAAGCTTTTACATGTTTACCTTTTTTTTTTTTTTTGGTAGTTTACATATTTACCTTTAACCTTTAAAATAATTTACAATGGTATTTAACACTATGTGTTACTTAAATAAATTTGGTATTTTTATATAATAAATGTTATTTATAGTTAAAAATTTATGTCAACAACCCTAGAAAGTAAATGACATGAAAGATCATTTATGTGTCAAAATTCTCAGCTCACGTGATTTAAAATGTTTAATTAAGATGGAATGCTTATGCAAAATCTCAAATGTCAAATAAAATTATTATAATCTTATAAAATTAAGAATATTAATTATTTTCTTAATTTTTTTAACAAAATCTTAAACTTTGAAAGAATGGGCAGAGAAGTTTTTATTATTATTATTATTATTATTATTGAAATAGTAAAGAAGAGATGCATAAATTTATTACAATTTTTTTATCTTGTACAAAATTATATACGATAAAAAAATTCAAATAAAAGTAAATTCAATAATATCAATGTATTAAATTTCATTAATCATGTAAAATTTAAATAAAATTTTACATAAATATAAAATTTTATTATGAGTAAATTTTTATCTATTAAAAAATTAATTTAATTATTATAAGAAGAATGTTAACACATTATTTAAATTTTATTTTTATCTAAATGTTAAAACTTCATATTAAAATCTAAAAAATAATCAATTTACACAATATGTATTTTTTTTTTCAAACATAATAAAATGTATTAAAAATACGTTGTTAGCATTTTTTAAAAAATAAAACTTAGATGTAGTATTATAAATACTTTGAATGTTATTTTTTTATTAAAATTAAAATTTTCACTCAAAATTTTTTTCTCTTATCTCAATTATAAAATAATTTTTTCAAATAATAAAAGCTCAAATACATTAATTACTATAATATTGATATACTTCTATTTATTATAAGACGTGTTAACATAACATTCCTTCGTTAACTATGTAAATGAATAAGTATATTTATTTATTCCATCAGTTACTAATTTGATTATTCTTTATTATTATAAATTTATAATAGATAAATATTATTATCAATTTTAACAAATTATAAAAAAGATGGAGTATATGAATGAGAGTAAAACTCCAAATTTAGATCAATAACTCTGCACCTAATGGTTGTGTGTCTGCCATTCCAGTGGGAGAGAGAACATTAACATTGGACATTCATTCGCCCACAGCAACAGCGAAAGCAACAGCAGCAGCAGCAGTGGTACCCCACTCAGATCCCAAAGGAAGAGGATACTTACCTCGTAATTCCCCCACGCGCTTGCTTTTATTGCACAGCGCAGCACACAGATCAAAGTCAACTTTTCTTCATTCCCCTTCTCATTCTCAATTCTATTTCAATTTCATTTCACTTCTCCTTTCTCATTCGATTCTGCATGTCATACAGCACCTGCATGCACCAATGGCTTCTCAGTTTCTCGACAACTTCAAGATTCCCGATTACATTCTCGTACCTGGTTCCAAGGTTGAGAATGCCGCTCATGTCCCGCTGTGTCCGGTTCTGGTTTTCGTCAACTCCAAGAGTGGGGGTCAGCTCGGTGGTGATATCTTGAAAACCTATCGCACTCTTCTTAATCAAAATCAGGTTCTTATCTCATTGTTGAATGCTCTTCAAATTCATCATCATCATCGTTAGCGTTCTAAACTTGTTGTGATTTTTCAGGTTTTTGATTTGGGGGAACATGCTCCTGATAAGGTGCTCAGAACAGTTTATGCCAATTTGGAAAGCCTCAAGCTACGTCGTGATCAGTTTGCTATAAAGATCGTCGAGAGGTTGAAGTTAATTGTAAGTTGTGATTATAATAAAAAAAATTTAATTTTTGATAAATTTATATATATTTTGTATAAGAAGTTTTATACAGGTAAGGTATGGTTTTTGTTTTGAGTTAGGTTGCAGGGGGTGATGGAACAGCAGGATGGCTTCTTGGAGTTGTTTGTGATCTCAGATTATCTCATTCTCCACCAATAGCCACCGTTCCCTTGGGCACAGGGAATAATCTACCTTTTGCATTTGGTTGGGTAGGAACTTATGGTCAAACACTGACTTTGAACAGCATCTAAAATATTATACTGGTTTATTTGGATTCTCTTTAGGGAGCATGTTATGATGCTGGTTTATTCCTCAACTTTTTCCACATTTTTTTAACTGTGTACTAGGTTTCAAATCAAATTAGGAATCCTTTTCTGTTTACTTTATGTGAAGATTTATGCTGGAAGAAAGACATAATTTCTCCTACGAATGTGATGATAAAGAATTTATCAGAAGAGTAAAAAAGAAAATTGACGAAATAAATAATTTTGCTGTTTTACAGGGGAAGAAAAACCCGGGGACAGATCAAGGCTCAGTTGAGGCATTTTTAGATCAAGTCATGAAAGCAAAGGAAATGAAAATTGACAAGTAATGGGTTTTGGGCCTATTCTTTAATCTTATAATAAGGACTTTTTTCGTATTTGTCTACCTAGAATTCTGGCCTACATTTTGTCTTGAATGTCATTTATCCTAATGTACCATGCCTCTTGGGCTGCTCTTGTACATTGCTTATTGTTCTCATTGAATCTTTTGAATTTGCCCCTTTTATACTTCCCAATTCCAATCCTTAATCCATATGGCCTTTAATCCCAAGCAAATATATGAATGTTTAAGAGCTGCTTCTATTCATCTTCTTTGAATAGTTTTAGCATATATTTCTTCTACAAAATGCTGTTTGCTGATAACTTTTGTTTATTTTTCTTACCTTCAGCTGGCACATTCTCATGAGAATGAGAGCTCCTAAAGAAGGTTCCTGTGACCCAATTCCACCACTTGAGCTACCACATTCTTTGCATGCCTTCCATCGTGTGTCTGAAGCAGATGAACTTAATATGGTAAGATGTTTAATTCACTATTTTGCAATCTTCTATTAAATCTGCTTCAAAGTGAAATTTGGGAACTTCAAAGAAAATATATTTTTCAGTTTCATATGCGACCTTATCTAATAAGAAATTCTCGCAACACACTTTTAAACACATTATTTAACATACTTCCTGTTATTGGGTGGATTTCATTTGGGTCCCATTAAATAGATAGTAGGCCCAATTTACTTAAGGGGACTCTACAATCTGGCTTGACAGTTGTTCTTTTCTAATGTTTTTACGACTTTAATTTAATTTTAGCTTTTAAAAAATTTGTCTCCTTTCCTATTCACCGTACTTTCTTATGTGGTTGTTGCTAACTGCTTCTCAGGAAGGTTGCCACACATTTCGTGGGGGATTTTGGAATTACTTCAGCATGGGTAAGTAAGAGAAGTTATGGTGAAGTTCTTCTGTACCTAAACTTTAGGTTAAGGAGCATGGACCCTAAATCCATTTTCATTTAAGGAAGAATATCATTTAGTTGGAAGTTTCTTACATTATTTAAATTTGTCTGTTTCCAATCCTCTGATCTCTTATAGGTTAGTCAATATCAAATGATGGCAAAGTAAATTCCAGTATCAATAAATCTTGTCAGAAAAAACTTGCAATTTTAAACGTAAGCTGAAAAATGTGACATATGTATTGATATTATATAAGATTGTAATTCTTCCTATTAATTAAAATTCATTGACTATCAACATATTTACTGTCTCTCTTGTATAGCCTGATTACTTTTATCTTTCCTTTAGAATATTTAGGATATTACACTAGATTTGGAGGAATTGTTTTGTGTCCGCCCTACTTCAATGCTTATTAAATTATCTGTGATTACCAACTGTAGGAATGGATGCTCAAGTGTCTTATGCATTTCATTCAGAACGAAAGCAGAATCCTGAAAAATTTAAAAACCAGTTGATTAATCAGGTATGCAGTTGTTTCTTCGGTAATTATAATAATGCCTAAACAATGCCCAGTTGGTTGATAACAGTACTTGTTTTATTTTCCCACTCTTGAATCGAAAAGTCTAGAAAATTTTGGAAAAGCGAGATACATCCTCATCCACATGTCGTTCCCTATAAAGCTGATACTATGATCTTGATTTTGATCTACATGTTAGACTACTTATGCTAAGCTTGGATGCACACAAGGATGGTTTTTTGCTTCTCTGTTGCATCCTGCTGACAGGTCAGTTCCCTAGTCTTAAATATTGAAACATAATATCATCCCAATTCACAATTAGACAGTTCCTTCAGATTGTATTTCTGTTTAAATTCTAAAATCAAATATATGATGGATTGAAACAGTGCTTGGTACAGGAGACTCAGAACAGTTCTAGCAATTTAAATGTTGTGTTTCGTATGTTAGTTTACGTAGGCATGCATTTGTACCTACTAAATAAAACGTATAACTTTTCATTTGTCTACTTAAGTAAATATGATTTAATTTTCTAACGTAGGAACATAGCACAACTTGCAAAAGTAAAATTCATGAAAAGGCATGGCGAATGGCAAGACCTAGTCATACCTCCCAGGTAAATCATTTTATATACTATCTATATCCTTTGGGGAAACACACAAATGTGTAGAACAAAATTTGAAGTGACAATAAATTATTTTTCATAATCATTTCTCAGAACTAAATTGCCTTTATGGCTGTTGCTCTCCTTGATAGAATGATTATTGTCTCTTACATTGGCAACTTGTTGTATGTATGGATGTTTTATGAAGGGCCATATAAAATATAAAACAACTTACTTTTTCGTCCTCTGCTCTGCTCTGCTGTGTGTTGCCTCTGTTTACTTCTTGAACAACACCTAATAGGACTGTTTCCATTTTATGTACAGCATCCGGTCAATTATATGTCTTAACTTGCCCAGCTTTTCTGGTGGACTGAATCCATGGGGAACACCAAACAGCAAGAAGCAGCGTGATGTAATTTTCATATGCTAATTCTAGAATATTTATTCGTTTTGCAAAATACTTGTTACAGGTTGGTTTCGACTTTTGAGGTTAAATGCTAGACAAATAATGAATATCTAACTCTTCCATCCAAATTATTTTTATTTTTTCTCCCTTAGAAAACTAAAGTGTCTTGATTGAATACAGAGAGATCTGACACCGCCATTTGTCGATGATGGCCTTATAGAGGTTGTTGGTTTTAGAAATGCATGGCATGGGCTTGTTTTGCTTGCTCCAAAAGGACATGGGACTCGTCTTGCTCAGGTATGCATGATATCATAAAACTTTGGGTACATGTTTGCTTTTGTAGTTTTTTACCTTCAGACTGCATCATATTCCTTTATCTAAATCAAAATATTACTTTTTAATTATTTTCCAAAGTTGACGACTCATACGAATTTATTTTACTGTAGAGAAAATATACAATTTTATTCGTTTTCCCTTTTCCTTGTTCATTAGGCACACAGAATCCGGTTTGAATTTCACAAAGGTGCAGCAGATCATACATTCATGAGGATTGATGGGGAACCTTGGAAGCAACCTCTTCCAGTTGATGATGATACTGTTGTGGTAGAGATTTCTCACCTTGGCCAGGTTAACATGCTTGCCACTCATAATTGCAAGTCTAAAAGTGTGTACGATCCATCATCACCACATCGTGGGGACGAGGAAGACGACAGTGATGAAGAAGACTCTATAGCAGAGGAATTTCGGAAGTTTGGTGCAGCAGATACATTTAAAATCCCAGACCATGTTGAGCTTTCTCATCTTAGTTAGGTCCTTCATTATTAAGGCATTCTTTAGTGTTACTCCGTTGACATTTCCCATACTAGTTAACCCCTTCCAAATATCTGTAGCTTCTATCAAGGTTGCAGCTAATTTGCTCATTTCTAGCAGTATTATGCCTCAAACATGATAACTGTATTTAGATACAATAATTGGTTTTTTCTCAACATATTTTCCGGTTATCATACTTAGATTTGAAGCAATTCTCACGACCTTAGCATTCTGCTTCAGTTCTTGGTAGACAGGAAAATTTAGTTTTGTTTGTGTGAGATTTTGAAAGAATTGCGAGTAAAACGTTAGCCAAGTGTGAGTATAGCGGCATAATGCATACACTTTCACAAAAACAACAGATTAATGAGAGCAGATTTTAACATAAAATTTGCGTTTAAAAGGTGTGCTAACAAATGTTGATCAGAAGAAGAAAATTCAGTCAGTCCCCGGTCCTCGTACTTCGCACAGGCTACAATTGCACCTGTAATTGTATATAGGAAGGAACTATGTGATAACTTTCAATTCAGCTATGATTTGAAGTACCATAACAACTTAACAAAATTGTTAGCAAGGCGCGTCGCAAACACTACTGATACATTATGCAAATATTGGTGTTCAATATTCAAATAAAACCATTTTGCGTTGTAAATTTGCAGTAAAAATATGTTAGGCGACTATTCAATATACCATGGGGTTCATATTTTCTGGTCAAGTGTAACCATAGTCCAAGAAGTTAAAAAGAGAAAATAAGGTCTTGTTAACGAATCTAAAGTACATGCATTATATACTCAAATTTTGGTTGAGAAACTATACTATTACCCGAGTTTATTCAATTCATTGATGAAAATTGCCTGCCTTTTTTTGGTCGCTACCTACTCAAATTTTGAGACGGGTGGATACCAAACATATATCACTGAAATTGGTAGATGCTGAGATATGAAGAAATTCAATAACCAGAATATATGCCTTCAGGCAAGCATTTGAGAACTACAAAATACAATTGCGACTGTGTGGAGGAAAAAATACAATAAGATTACAGAAGACTGTGTTGGAGGTGTAAATTAATTGTGGTAGAGCAGAAACAAGGATTTAGCTGGATCACCATGGCAGAAGAAACATCAAATACAGTGTGCAAAACCATGATGATAAGAGGGGCCCCACTCTGATTACCCAACGCCTCGGGACCAACCAAAAAAAGCAAGTAAAAAAATACCAAATCCTCACAGGGTGATGATCATTTCAGAAGATGGCCCCATAACTACATGCCAGAAAATTGCTGTTGTCCCAAAGATTTCGTAAAGGCTTCATTAGCCTTTTGCGGTTCAGCCCTTTCTTCTCTTTTCTTCTTCTCCCTAAAGCAAAAATTATGTCAAAGAATAAAGATCTTGCTGAGGAAAAAAAGTAAGGTAACTATAACATCAACTGGAACAGCAATTCAGGTTTAGGCATCCAAAGACTTTGACTGCCAACAAGATAAGGGTATCAAATGCAGGCTGCTGGAAGCATTATTGAGTAAATGGGATCTCAGATCGATATCGGTATTAAAATAACCTGACTACAATATATTTACTACAAAGTTCAAAAGTCAGTTTGATACTAATGTTGTCAATAAATTACTAGAAAGTTTGTAATTTAATCTTCTCTGGAAAGGATATTTTGAGTAGAATGTTGAATCTGGCTTAAAACGGAAGAGCTTAGTAAATAGGCTATGTAAAACCACCTCAAATTTCATGTAGAAGTACATTGCTCTGAAATTTGTGATCCTGTTTTTTTTTTTTTTAAAGAACATTTATAATATTGTGGGAATCTTGAACTTAATGGACTAAAAAAATAGTAGATTTACAGCTGCATACTTAAAGCTCATTTGGTGGACATGATACAATATGAAAGTTGGATAAAAACATGATATGATAAGAGTAAAATAAAATCTTATCCTATCCAACATTTGATATAAACCAAGATAACAAATTAGATAACATTGTGTCGTTCTATTTTCTAACCCATTCCTCCTACTACAGAATAAAATTTACACTAAAAATTTAATTAAACACTGAAAATAAGATTAGATAGGAAAAGTTATTTGATACCCTTCTCTTATCTTATCCACAAATTTATTAAATTATACGCTGTAGATTATATCATGGATGAAAACTTAGGAGAAGGGAGAACAACTAAACAGCATTGCAAGATCCGCTATTTACCTGTCAACATATTCCTTTAGCAGCTCTTTAGCTTGAACCAGCTTAGAAAGCATATTACGGTACACATCCAAATCCCGATCCACACTTCTTTTGTTGACATTCAAAACTGCACACAGCTGTTGGATTGACACCAGATATTGATTGATAAATAATCCTATACAAGAAAGTTATTAAGCAGCAGAAAATAAATACTTTTACGATATTGACCTTAAGTGCATCCTTTGCAATGCCATTGTCATATCTTCTCCTAGGATCAATATCATTGGTTTTATCTATGATTTTGGTTTCTATAATGTCATTGTCCTAAATGTTTATTACAAAAGAATGGAGTTTTCTTCTTCACAAGTGTTAAAGTAATGAATCATTTCGACACAAAATAGTGAAATCAACTTTGAACATAGATTAAAGAAAATGACAGGAGACTAGTAACCCTATCAATGAGGGCTGAACTTGGTTGAAGAGAGATCAAGACGTCAAGGCCATTTTATCACTTTTGCTAACCTGAACAGGCCCAATAGAGGACATCTAAAATCTTGAACGAGTAGTTTTCTAGACCTGATATAAATGAAAACTAACTGGGTAGTTTCAAATTGTAAAACAAAATATATAAATAAAATAAGTATTTGAATAAATTCAAATCAATATATCATGATGCCAAAAATGAATTGGGTAACCTTTTCCAAAATTATTGGTTCCATTGCATTTGCCAACTCAAGAAGACGAAAGAGGCCTATTGCGAAGAAACGACTATAACTGAAATCCCCCTTTCCTCCTGCTCTTTCTACAATATCCTTTAATATCCCCTCAACTTCTCCCTCTCTGGATGAAAACTCAACTAGTGAAGTTGAGTTTTGAGCCCGAGCCCACTCTTCCAATTTCTTTGCATCTAATCTGTAGGGTGAAATATAAAAGATCATCAACAAAATTGCAATTTATTCAAATCCGTTGATATAACTAGAAAGTCCACAGACAATGCTAATTGCACTTTCGTTAAAAGATTTTTTTATTCAGCTGGATTTCCTAAGATGAAACTAAGTATTCAACTGGTCTTAGGAAAAATAATTCTCTCTTCAATTCATCAACATGCAGATAAAGTTCAGAACTTCTATTTTCATTTCACAACAATCATCATTCATCTAGGACATTAATGATGCCTGGAATCTGGATGGTTACTTACTGTACCTCCCAATTGCAATTAAATTGAAAACAGCAAAAGAATCCATCAGAATTAATTATTCAAGTAAGAAGTCATTTGATTGTACCACCATCCTCTTCAAATAATACTTTAGGCAACTGGTATGGGTATCAACTGGACACTAGAGAAAACCAAACATGATTCCCAAATCCCAAAATCATGACCGGCAGACTCTACAATTTGCAGCATCTGCCTAAAACTTGATTTTGGGTGCCAAAGTCATGTTTGGAATCTGCTGAATGTCCCGCAAGCACAGCATTAGAGTCTTGGCAAGTTGATGTTGCAGTCTCGAGTGGCTGTAATCTCAATCATAGAGTTGAAGGTTTGGAGTAGGAACCAAAAAAAGTGGGGGAAGGGGATAAAGCAAAAGTCAAATTATTCATTGTTCTAACCTGTATTGGTCAGGATCTTCATTCAATGCATTAATGTATGCTTGGAAGATGGCATCTCGGTCCTCATCACTAGGATACCCTTCCATGAGTTGCTCATATACAGTGACAAAGCCAAGAGCAAATACAGGGTCATAACAGTATGACCTCTTGTATCTCATCAAATGTTGCTGGACAATAAGCTCCTGCAGTACCGAGTTGTAGATACTAGGAATTGGTCGCTTATATGCCTTGAGAAAATTTGACTTTGTCTCAGAAACAGTTGGAGGGTCTGCAGATCAAATACGTAGACAACCCATAACCAACTATTGATAACAATTAACAATATTCCATTTCTTCTTTTATTTCCTTTTCCCTTTTGGCACTATGAACCTTGGAACGACGAAGGAACTTAATTTGGAACTAATCACACCAGTTGACACACTTTGATCACAAGTTCACAACACATGTATTCAGATATCTAAAAGGAGACACTTATTAACAGAATTAATCCCTCAATATGTAATTCTAGGTACAGATTCCTTTTTAAAACCAAATCACATGCTGATTATATTAAAATTGCATTCAGCTATGCAAGAAACTAAGAAAGTGTTCCAGTTAGGTACTCACTCAAAAGATCCTCAGGAACACGACAAGGTGACATCAATACAGAACAATTTCTAATCAAATAATATGTTGCCCACATTACACATAAGCCCGAAAGCAATTACATCCATTGATTACAAAAGAAACTGTAAAATAAGGTTCAAACTTGAGCAGCAACAGTTCCAATTGCAACATTATCCTCATAAAATAAACTCTCTCTCAATGATCAAGTTGCAACACCAAAATCTCCCTCTGACTCAAAATTCCAAAACCCAAATTCGAAAACGGAGATGAAAAATTCACAATCATTTTACTTGAAATCAAAATATTCATTTTCCGGGTGGAGTGGGGGCTCTGTTTCAATTCAAACCTTTAAGAAAATATGAAAACTACCCAGTTCTCAGAATAGTTAAAAGAGTTCAGAACTGATAAAAAGTCGTTCCCTTTTTTTTTTCCCCACAGTTTATGGGGAACCAAACAAACCTGACACGGAAGAGGAGCAGCGAACAACAAATTTGGAAGCGGAATTCGAAGCTCGAACTCCAACATAGTGGCAGGAGAAACCGAGGTTGAAGCGAAAGGCGCGTGAATTGGAATCAGGAAAGCGAGTGGAAGAGGGAGTGAGGTTCCTCTGCGAAGATTGAGTGAGCGTAGAGAAAGAGAACGAAGAAGTAACAGCGGCCATTGGAAGAGAGAAAGAGAGAGTGTGGTGGCCGGAATCAGAAGCTTTCCGGCATAGAATATTCAGAGGGAGAGTTGCAGTTGCATTGCTTTGTGACTCCCAGAAAGTGAGGCTTTTGTGAGTTTCAACGAAAACAAGCTTATCCACTGCGATGTAGAATTTTTTCTGCGTTTTTCCAAGGACCCAATGGTATAATGACACGTGGAATATGCTCTTGTTTATTTTATTTTCATTTCCCAATTCACAGAAATTAAATATTTTGTTTTTTTTTAAAAAAAAATTACGGGTATTTTTTATGGTTTGTTAATATCAATTCTCAGAATTAATTTTAAGTAGTTGAAATTCAAAAAACAAAATCTAAAATGTTTATGATAACTTTTGTGTTATAAATATATTTTTAATAATTGTTATTTAATTATTTAAATTTTATTTAAAAATTGTGATGTTAACAAAAAAAAAAAAACAATTGACAAGATTTTTGTTGAATAATCCGATCCCGTATATATTAAATTTTATTTGATAATAAAAAAAATGTTGATTATTATGTTAATAGATAATAACATTTATCAATTGTCCTGATTTTCAAGGTTAATTGAAAAGTTTAATTTTACAACATTTTCAAATTATCAAGTTATTCTTCTACTTAGTAAGTAAGGAGTTGATTTCTAATGGGGTCATTAAGTGCCAAGGTAACACACACATTAGTACGATTACTAAACACAAGATTTCAAGTTATAGATTAAAATTTTGATTTCGATTTTTTGCTGGCAACACTGTATGATAACCCTCCATTAATTATTAATTTCGAGTGCCATTTCTTTGATTATACCCATATTTTTTTTAAAAATGGTGCTTTGATCTTTTGTTCAGAAAAAAGGTGTAATTTATCCATTTCTTTATTTTAAAAAATAAGCATAAAAATATATGATCTTAACGTATGTATTCAAGATTCGGGTAAAAGTTATTTATTATTCATTCTTAAATAACTAAAAATATAGTCAATAATTTTTTAAACTTCTAAAACATTAAATATTTTACTGTTAATGTAATGAATTTTATTTTAGTTCCTTAATGCGTTCCCTAAGTGCAATATGTCATAACAAAATCCAAACAACTCGGTACTGCAGGAGCTTATATATTTTATAAAAAAATATATAATTATTATATTAAAGTTATAAAAATATAATAAATATTTATTATTTTTTTAATAAAATTTTATCATTATTAACTGTTTATTCTTAATCAAAGGCTGACATTAACAAAAAAAAAAATTATAAAAAAGATTTCTTAATTTTAAAAATGAATCTCATTCTTATTTTTATTATAACTTTCAATAATAAACGGTTTCACGATTATTTATGAAATCATGAAACGTTACAAATCATACAAAATTTGATTGCAATAACAAGTGTTTATCAATTTAGCAAGGACCAAGCTACATTCAAATTCAAAGGTAAAGAAAAGAAAAGAAGATTGTTGCTTTCCTCGCACTAAACAAACTCTGTTACTAGATCATAATAAATCATAATTTCTGGCCCATAAAATTTTTAGTGGAATGAGAATGACACTGCTCAGTTATACTCATCCCATTGAAAGCTAAAGCATAACCGCCAAAAAATCAAATTCAGACAAAGTCACAGATCAGTAGCCGTGCAAGGCATTGCTTAGTTGTTTCACTGAAACAAGCAAGATGTTTTCATTAACTTTGAAGAGTAGCTACCAAAGCGTATTCCAAGTCATTCTTCCAGTTCTACAAGTTTGAATAGCCTTTCTGAATGTGAACTTTTGGATCTAATCTTCACCTTAAAACCCCAAGAATGGCCAAAATGAGGAATCAAAGACTCAAGTGGGAAATAAATAAATAAAAGAACGACATCTATGATAAAAAAAAAATTAAAAAAACATACATTTCCTATCATATATCACTAATGAAAAGCTTTTACCAATAAAACACTCACCTTAGATGTTGTGACAATGTTCTATACATTTTATACCATTTAATTACTTGCTTTGTTGAAAAGCTTTGTTTATATACTACTGGGGCTCATGATCTATCACCAGTTTTTCTTTTCTTTTTCAATGGCTTTTTTCTTCTTTGCAGGGTTTGTGAGATTTTACAAAAAGTAAACACACTTTTCATGTGTTAAACAGTTAGTTAATTATAGATTTCATCTCACATTACTTCTTTTTCCTCTATCTTTTAGATTTTATTATTGAGTTAACCTTGTTCAACAAAGCAATTTAATTTATTGAGGAGTTGTGAATTTTTGTGAAGAAAGAAGTCTCATATCAGCTCACATTCAACCAGACGTGTTTTGTAACAAATTGTAAATTCTTAGAGAAATAATATTCTTACAACCTATTTTTACAAACTAGTAAGGAAATAGAAAGAAAAAAAATAAGAAGAGAGGAAAGATGAATAAAATAAGCAACATGATAGAGAAAAAAAAGAGTTATAAAAAATGATGTAAACATAAATTGTAAGAATGTCATTGCTTAAAATCTTATAAGAAAACCTTCTTCACAGATTCCACAACCCCTCAACCAATTAAATTGAACCGTTGAGCAATTGTAATTCAAGAATAAAATTCAAAAGATAAAAAGGTTGTAAAAAGAAGTTAGGTGAGATGGAATCTACAATTAACTAGCTCCTTAACATATGAAAAATGCGTTTATTTTCTTTAAAAATCTCACAAACCCACTGCAAAGGCAGAAAAAAAAGAATGGAAATAGTTCATAAGCCCAAGAGTATTTGTGGATGCCAGTGTTGGAGCTATGAGAAGCCTCAAAGGATAAGGGGTGTTTGGAGGTGGAACTAAGCTGTAAGATAAGCTTTGCAGGACCTCAAAGCTCGAGGATTGTCATGAACATAAGTTGGTGTGGTTGAAAAGAAAATTGCAGAAGGTAAAAAAAAACGATTATAGAATATATGGTAATTGCAATGTCAAACAGTGACACTACTCAATGAAGAAAATCGTGTGTGGAATTGGGATGAAAGCGGAGTATTTTATATATACAAGTTTTCTACTGAACCTACGTTCCTTCAAATCACAAGTTCCAGTGAATGGCGTTACTCCATCCCAAAAGCAATGGTATTACTTAATTATTTGTATTAAAAAATAAAACATAGATATAAACACAGGGATTAGCATTAATTTTCATGAATATTTAGAATAATTTAATGGGGCAAGGACAAAAGAAACGGTTTCATTGATACGATAAAATGCAAGGTGTGAATTTCCAGGTAAGAAAAGAACCAGAAACAGGGTTGGTCGGTTGGACTCGTGAAGTGAGAGACAGGGATGTGGTCCCACAAACGTAGGATCCATCGTGATTCGTGATTCCTGAGGATTCAATGCACTTCCCCCACCAACAAAAAACCACTCGCTTTCATTGCCACTGGTTTCTAAAAAATTTTGACATTTACTTGAAACTCTATCAGTGAGAATTGCACACTACCCCACAGGGCACTCGCAAGCATTCATTGTACGCTTAGCCTCCTTTCTGAAAAACTTTATGCTTAATATCATTCTCTAATAATTGAAGTATTAAGAATAAAAATTTTCATTTTATTAAATTTTTAATATAATATGACCATGATAAATTATAAAAAAACTAATTTTTCATTTTTATTTGTAAATTAATTATTTGTTTAGAAAATAAAAATAAACTAAAATGCGCTAATATTTTTTTTTATCTATAAGATTTTTAAAAAATTATGTTATTTTAAAATGGATTTTGTAATCACAATAACACAATTTTAAAAATGTTTGTCAAGACAAAATTATTTAAAAACTAATAATGAAAACATTTAGTAGTGTGAGAAAATGTTAAGACACGTAACACATGTTAATATGGGACAAATATTTTAATTTTTAATTTCTTTGTCACTTTGACAAAAAATTATCATTAAACTTTGAATTTTAATTTCTTTCTTGTTTTATTAAAATTAAATTCAAAATTTTGTCAACATGAAACAAAAATAAATTTTTTAATTTAAATCAATATAAAAAAAACATAATTTTAATTTTAAACTTTAATAACATAACTACATTCATTGAAATTTAAATTTGAGAGTAAGAATTAAACTAAAACAACTCTTTCCTAGTTAGTCCACATGTTTGGTGATATTAAATTTATATATTTTGATAATTAATTTTTAAATAATATTATTTTAATAAATATTTTTAAATTTATATTATTATAATAAAAAATTCTCTTAAATTAAAACAACTATTTTCAGATGGTCCACTTGTTCAGTAGTATTGAATTCATATATTTTAATAATTAATTTTTAAATAATATTATTTTAATAAATAATTTTAAATTTATATTACTATAATAAAAAATTTCTTCAATTGAAATAATTCTCTTCTAGTTTTCGCATGTTGATGATATTGAATTTATATATTTTCATAATTAATTTTAAAATAATACTATTTTAATAAATAATTTTAAATTTATATTATTTTAATAAAAATTTCTCTTCAATAAGCTATTTATTTTATAAATGCAATTAAAGTTATACGTTAATTGGCTAATACCAAATAATATTAAATGGTATCTTTAAGAACTTTTTTTTAACTGATTTAAAAAATTAATTCACGCTGAACGCACTTTTAAAGATTGTCAAAATATTGATTGTAAATTACCACAAGTCCATCGGCATTATTATTCTCACTCATTTCCTCGTATGTCACTCACGTTACCAAATGAGTTTGAAATAGAAAATAAGGAACGATTTATTAAAAATTTATAAATTATAAAAACAATTTATAACCTTCGTTGTGTGGAGTTTTTTACCGTAAAATAACTAAAAATAAATAAATAAAATTTATATAGACCCATTGTTAATTTTATTACACGAATGGATCTATTTTTGTTGTAATTTAGAGCTAGGGACCGAATTCTGAATTGTAACAAAAATAGATATATTTGTGTAATAAAATTAGCGATAGATTTATACGAGGAATTTTATTTTATTTTTTGTCATTTTATGGTAAAAAAGTCTCGTTGTGTGTGTATAGTTTAAAAATTTTCAATAAATAAATGAAAGATATTAAATTTTATAAAATCTAAAAATTATTTCCCTTAAACAAATTTATTTTAATAAAAAAAATGTGTATTCTTGATTTTAATTTATATCCTGGGATGCAAACTATGTGCTGGAATTGTCTACAAGTGAAGCCAGAGTTTGCAGTTGTAATTTGAGGCTATCCAAATCCAAATCCAAATGATGGACACTTCAGCCAAGTGACACTACCATGTGGTCCCACCAATACAAAAACCACTGCCTTCACTTCCCACTGTTTTCTCCAAATATTCGGCTTTCATTTCAGAAGTTTGGACCCTTTTTATATGTAACCCCTTCTCTCAATTTCTTTCATCAAACCCTTCAATTAAATCTCCCAGTTTTCTTCTCACCCATCATCAACTTTGGTTGCATTCTGTTATTCAGAAATAAGCAAAGATGAGTTCAACAAGCAAAGCATGGATTGTGGCAGCTAGTGTTGGAGTTGTGGAGGCCTTGAAGGACCAGGGCGTATGCAGGTGGAATCACGCTTTGAAATCAGCTCAACAACATCTCAAAAACCATGTTGGATCTTTGTCACAGGCAAAGAAGCTTTCCTCTTCTGCCATGGTTTCTAGTTCTACCAGATTGAAGGGGAAGCAATCAGAAGAGTCCTTAAGAACTGTTATGTACTTAAGTTGTTGGGGTCCCAACTAGAGAACAATCCCAATAGATCTACAAATTTTGTTCTTTCAAGCTAGGCCACAAAGACAATTATGGCCTCGTGAGATTTCTGTTGTGATTGCTGTAAATATGATAAATGGAAACTTAAATTTTCCCATATTGATAGTTTGAGAACTCCAAATTCAGTTTAGTGATTTAACGCCGCACTCATGCTTATAAATGCAAAATTATAAAGGAAACGGGCAAGTGCAAAACTACAAACTGCTTACATAGACATTAGAAGTACCTGAGAAAAAGGATTAAGAAAATTCTTTTCATTTTCAATATACTGCGCTGTGAAAAAATAGGATTTTGACGCAGGCTTGAAATTATCTACTGAAAGATATAAAAAATTGTAAATTTAGTTCAACAAATGATCATTGATCAATGTTAGAAGAAAACAATATGATTAATTTAAAGAAAGTTAAACCTTTCAAATTTTCCAGATGTTCACTAGCATGTGAGAAATTAAGAGGTTAACATTTTGGTTTGTGGAATCTTTCGTATCACAACAACAATTTGGAGGAAAAGATTTGTGTATCTTTCTCTTTAGTTCATTCATCTATATTTGAAAACCTAGCCTTATGGCCTTGTACAAAACGCCGAATTTGTTCACACTGTTAAAGCAACTTTATTTGTACCCATACATGGTTTTGACATTCTTGCCTACGACTCATAAAAATGGATAAAGTTTTACTCTTACCACAATATTAAATGCATTCATTAGCAAATTGTCAAGAATTTTTTTAATTCCTGATTATCAGTGTTTACTATCAAGTTGTAAAAATTTTAATGTAACAAAAAAATATATCATAATTTAAAGTTTTTAACCCTTTGTAGGATCAATTCCAGTTGGATATCATATATTTCTGTGAATCAGAAAGTGTTGATGATAGAAGTACTTCAACCACGAATCATAGATGGAGCTACCTTATACATGGATAACTTGTACAAGCATTGATTTTTTAATATCTAGAGCTTGATCTTTTTTAATCATAAACAAAGCTCTATGTGAATACCAATTTATTTATTTATTATTATTATTATTTTTTACCTCACAGGGATTATCTCCAAAATTAAAAAATAAAATAAAAAAAATTATTTTATAGAAAAATAAAAATTTTTGAAAAAAATAAGTTTGGCTCACAAAAATAGAAACATCAAAAACTGATTTAAACATAAAAAGAAAAAAACTCAGATTTTTATCATTTTGTATAAATCTTAAATAACCCATATAAATACAGGAGTAAAATTCAGAGAAAGGAAGGTTTTTTTTTTTTTTTGAAAATAAAGAGAGGGAGACAACAGCTAGTTTTGCAAAAGAGTAGAGCAATTTTTTTTAAAGAAGGTGATCTGGGATCAAAAAGGGCGACGGAAGATAAGAAGGAAAGTTTTCAAGAAATAAAAAAATGAGAAACAAATATTTTTAGAAAGGAAGAATATTAAAAAAAAAAGAAAAATCAGTGCTATTTGACCACCACAAGAGCTTCCATTAGCCTTAGTCACCACATTTGCTGCACCTCGCCAAGGTAAGTCTTACTTCACATATCCCTTGCTCTCATTAATGTATCTGTAATACAAAATGTATGAACAAAGGAGTTATATGTTAAAAGATACGAAATAACCAAGTGATAAAAAATGACTCTCGATTTCTTTTGGCATTTTACTTTATTTTTTTTATCAAGTAATAGTACATTGTTTTTTTTTTTTTTTTAATGTTGTGAAATGAAAGGTAATCTTATCTCACGGTCATACGCAAGGCTTGATGAATAGGAATTAAATCCAGTTTTTGACTTTCGCTGTATTGCTTCATGCTTTTTCTTTTCTTTTTTATTCTTTTATTAGATATAGTACACTAATTGCTACACTCTTTTGGATTGTGATTTGATCTAAGTTGCTTTATCCACGGTTGACAGATTTGTGGATCTTTTTATTAATTTTTTTATTTTTAAGTTTTCTTTTCATTTTAGAGTATTCTAATTTAATTCAATAAAAATAAAAGTAGTTCACCTTTTATCTTTTTTTAAAAATTTAGCTGTTTTAATTTTATTTATCAATTAAATAATAATAACAATAATAATAATAAATGATCAAATTTGGTTTATGTGATCTACAAATTTTCATAATATATTTAGTCTCACTTTTTTTTATTTAATTTCTTAGTTTGTGTTCTATATTTTTTTTTATAATTTTTGTTACATTAGTTTTTTTAAATTGTATTGTATAATCTTATATGTTGGTATAATTTAATTTTCTATTCATATTATACATTTTATTATCTTTTAATTACTATTTTATTAATCAATCAATCAATTTAAATTTAAATTATTTTATTAACATAATAATTTATAATGCTAATGTGTAGCAACTCTACCTTTACGTGTTATAAATTATTAGAACCTATATGTACCAACGTTACCTTAGGTTCTATATAACATAAATTTATCAAACAAAGTTTTAATTTTTTTTAATCAATTCAAATACATTTATTCATTTTCATTAAATAGAATTAATATCATATTTTAAATTTTCTTAAGTCGCATTTCTAATTTTTAAAAATTAAAATAACCAATTATTTCTTCATTTTATTAGACAAATTTCTATAGTATCGATGTAATTTACATTGTCTTCGATTGTTCAATAAATTATAAGAGATTTATGTATAACTTATGCTATCTTAAATTCTCTTTCAACATTAATCATAATCAAAATTAAAATTCAAATACTTCATTTACGAATAAAATATTTTTTTACGATTTACAGTATAGTTATGTGATTTTCCTTCACTTTCTGTAGGATACATGTATAACTGCATTATCTTGTATCCTAAACATTATAATTTTACAAAAATAATTTTAATTTGAAAGTAAATTTTCTCTTACTAAACTTAATTATAATCAACTAATTTCATAATTTTTAGATAGAATTACGTGGCTTTGAGTTCCTCATTGCACCTGGAGATACGTACGAGCGGGAATCGGATCCGTCAAGTCAAAATAATTTTCAAAATAACTCAAACAAAATCTCAATAAATAATATTTTTTCTTCTAAAATAAAATAATTAATGTTTAAGGGTTAAATAAATATTTTTTGAAATTAGAATGAATTTGCACAATTATTTTTTTGAAATTAGAATGAATTTACACAATTATTTTTAGGTAACTGCTTTTTAAACGGACGTTGTAGGGTACTAATACCTTGCCTAAACGTAAATGACTCCCAAACTCGCTTTTAGTTTCAAAGACTATATTATTTTTAAAAAAAATTCTAAAATTTTTCTTAAAATAAACTTTAGTGGCGACTCCTCTGATATTTTTTAAAAACATTTTTCGTCGTACTGTTGCGACCGTCCGATTGCGACACTCTAATCTAATACATATCTTGAAGTGGACATCTCCATATACTGGTGATCCAACATTTAAACTGATAAACACTTATGCTGTAGTGTAAATCCAATTTAAAAATGTGTGAAAAAATAAACTTTAAATTTAGTTAACCTATTTATTGAAAAATCTTTATAAATTAAACTCACAATACTACTTTTTATATATGTAGTTATTTTATTTTTCTTTGGAGCTATCTTTCTAATGTATACTTTACTTATTTACTCATTCCTGATCTAAAGGTTAGTCATTATAATGCTTTATCAGGACAAACAAACAAACAATTTAAATTACATTCTCACCACTCACTTACTTTGAAATTCCACTTAGCTTACTCTAAAAATCACTTCGCAAAAGAAAAATTGCTCAAAGTCTTTACAAGAAGTATTCAGGTTTTATTCTGAATAGACATGCCACATTTTAACACACTTTCCTGACGTGGACATCTCCATATACTGGTGATCCAACATTTAAACTGAAAAACTCTTATACTGTAGTGTAAATCTAATTAAAAAATGTGTGAAAAAATAAACTTTAAATTTAGTTAACCTATTTATTTAAAAATCTTTATAAATTAAACTCACAATTCTACTTTTTATATATCTATTAATTTATTATTTTGTTATCTACCATCTAATACTCAACTGAAGTGACGCAGACATGTGGATGTGGTCCTACAAAGGAGAATGTAGATCCATCATGAGCCCACAATATCAATAGGTGGTTTCTCCTGCTAGTGGTTTTCCAATAGTTTGGTATCCATTTGCGTTTACCACCTTAGGAGTCCTATTTATAAGTAACACCTATCTATCTGCTTCATCAAAACATCTAATCTGCCAGTGTTCTTTTGATTACCTACCACGTTACAGTACCATAAACTTCAGTTAGTTTCTCTCATACAAAAAAAACTCTCGTCCAAAAGAGTCAATAAACACTGCAAGATGAGTTCAGCAAGGAGAGCATGGATTGTGGCAACTAGTGTTGGAATTGTAGAGGCCTTGAAGGATCAAGGTGTCTGCAGGTGGAACTACGCTTTAAGATCAGCTCAAAAACAAGTTAGAAACCATGTTGGATCTTTGTCACAGGCAAAGAAGCTTCCCTCTACATGTAGTAGACTAAGGGGAAAGCACTCAGAGGAGTCCTTAAGGACTGTTATGTACTTAAGTTGTTGGGGTCCCAACTAAGTATAGAGAGATTTTTTTTATTTTTAAGCTAGCAAGGCCACAATTATGATGAACGAGGCCTTTTTGTATAGTAAAAGAAATAATTTTTATTTGTTTTGAATGATAGCTAGTTGTCATATAACTATGATAAATGGCAATTGCATAAGTCATATTTTTCGCAATTGGAAAAGCTTTCATCCTCATTTAACTTTGGTACTAGCTACTCTGCAATTGTACTTTCATATGGACAAAGATCAATCTTTCCTATAGAAATAATTTGAAAATAAAACAGCAATTACAAACATGAGTAATAACCCTCAGCAGATATTGATACGATTCAATTCAATATCTTGTTCATTTGAGTTTGACTGTGTCTAGCTCTATAATTCAAATTAGGTCTTATCTATGGTCATTGAAGCCTACTAAAGAGATCTACTAAATCAAGTTAGTCCAAAGGATCAAAACAGCCCATTATTAATGAAATTCCTTTTAGACTCTCTGTAAAAGACCCGTTTGGGCAGGGCTTCCAATGCCTAGATTTTCTACAGAATGAAGAGGAAAGAGGGCCACTAAATTATTTCACTTTCTCGCTAGAGTTAACTATTATCGGACCGTTTCCAGCTGTTCCCAATCGCTCAATGAAGAGTTTGAAAATTTGAGAAGATCATATGCTTGAATATATCTTGATCTGATTATGATTCAATAATATATAGAATAAATTGGAATAGTAAAATTTTAATGATATAATATATAAATTTAATGATATATGTAACTAAATTATGATATTAAAAAATATACAATTAAAGTTAAAATATATATAGTTGATAACTGATATTTAAAAGCAAATTATGTTAATAAAAATATAATATTATGTCATAAAATATTATCAATTAATTTTAGAAATTTTACAATCGATATAACATTGTTAAAAATACATTTTTTTAAGAAATATGAGATACAATTTAAGTTGAATAATCAGAAGTATATATAACTAAAAGCTATCGTTTAATACGCTTTAAGATTGTTCTAGCATACTGTGTCTTGAAGGAGAATTTTATATCAATTAAAAATTATAATATTTTAATTAAAAAATATTAAATAAAAAGTGACAATAAATATTTTAAAATAAACAAGCACTCTGAACATAGCATTGCACATAAAGACCATTAATTTTATATACGGTGTTTGCCATGCACTCGTGCTCAAACTAACTGTTACAAGATAATATAAAAATACAATTTTTTAAATAAATATTTTATCTGCATTTTATATTTTATATTTATCATAAAAAGCTCCAAAACTTTTGTTGTATTATGTGGCGATTCTATCCATCTTAGCCTGATTAGATATCATGTGATAGAAACCGCGTGCGCTTTGTCCTGAAGCAATTAAACTCAATATGTTGCATAGCAAAACTATGACTCATAGGTGACGGTGACTTTATACCAGTGTCAGTGATGAATGATGACCAATCATGTAAGAATTTATCTTTTAAGCTAAAGCCCTTGGTTTATCCACACAAAACCACTACCTATCTTGTTCACTACTGCTAGTTTTTCCCATTTTCTAGCCACTTCTTTGGCTTTATTTGCAACTTCTCATGCTTCTTTCTATATAAGAACCACCCATCACTCCTCATGTATAAAAAACAAGAGTTTCAAATTCCTGACAGTGGTTTTCAACTTCAATAGTTTTCTACGCGAAACTTAGTACAAAATGAGTTCAGTAAGTAGAAGTACTTGGACTGTGGCAACCAGTGTTGGAGTTGTGGAGGCCTTGAAGGATCAAGGCTTGTGCAGGTGGAACTATGCTTTAAAATCAGCTCAGCAACATGTGAAAAGTCATGTTAGATCATTGCCTCAGGCCAAGAAACTTTCTTCTTCATCATCTTCACCTGCAATGGTTTCAAATAGATTAAAAGATGAGAAGGCAAAGAAGTCAGAGGAATCCCTTAGGACTGTTATGTACTTAAGCTGTTGGGGTCCCAATTGAAGAACTCAAATACCCTTTTTATTTTGTTTGGTTGATTCTCAATTTTTGAGGCTTCCTCAGCCCCCCATCAGACAGTGAAAAAATCTATGCTTCCTGTGTTTGAATTTTAATACAAACTTGTAAATATATTTTGTAAAATTCAGCCATGGTGAAATGTTATGGAATATTTATTAGTTTATCTTATTTGTAATTATTTTTTATTTATTGAAATGTTATTAATAAAATATTGTACAATGATACAGACGATATAGATTGTAGTTAAAAGTTAGTATTAGATCATTGTGAATTTTAAAAAGATTATTAACTTAAACTTAACTAACAAATATGCTATTTCTTTTCCTTTAAAATTTAAATTTATCTCTGTTAATTTTAGTATGGACCGAATTACTAAAAGAACTGGCACCACTCCATTGATTGCGATTTACATTTTGATAAAATATTTTCAAAAAAATAAGAATTGTAAGAGAAATCTTATTTAATAAACTAGTTTATGGAAGCACGGGCTCTTCAACAAATATAACATAGCTAGTATTATCTTATATCCCTCACCAAGTTACGTTAATCGTGAGTTTGTTTTCTTTAAAACATAAGTTACATGTGTTTTGCACAAAAGATAATTACGTTCGATAATTTATATGCTTGAGAGAAGGGGGGAAAATTCAAGGAAAAAATAAAAGGAACTTTCATTTTTTTTAAAAAAATTTAGAAGTTAATTTGTTTTTTTTTTTTTTTCTCTTTTCATCAACCCATAATATAATAGCTACTGTGTTTTTTTTTTTATTTTTCTATAAAAAAGAAAAGCGAAGCGACAATTTTGTCCTTTCAATCTCAATAATTTACAATTATTAGAGGGCAAGTTGGCACATGGTTTAATTGCATAGTGCAAACTATGTGCGCCTTGTCAAGAAACTAGCCATATAATCTATTCATAAAAGCCAATTTTCGCAAATCAAAAAATATATATATAAAGCAAACTTCTTGGAACTTTCTCTTTGCTTGCCACATCAACTTTGGCAAATACACGTGTTCTCTATAACTGAGGATGCATGAAACTTGTAACTTGTTTCTGAATCATGGCTCATTGGTTTTCCCAATACCACCAGTTTACATCCCCTGGTTTTTCCAAATACTTGGGCTATTTCCACCTACTTGCAACTTTTGGTATTCCCACGTGCTTCCCTTATATAAGGACCACCTTCATTTCATTTCATTTCATCGTTCATTCGTAAATCTCACTTGAGTGATATTCAATTTCATTCTAAAACGCAGCATTTTTGTCATCTATAAAGCTACATAATCAATAATTCGTTAGAATTACAAGATGAGTAGTTCAGGAATGAAGGCTTGGAGTGTCGCAGCTAGTGTTGGAGTTGTGGAAGCTTTGAAAGACCAAGGTATCTGCAGGTGGAATCATGCTTTAAGATCAGTTCAACAGCATGTGAAAAATCGTGTTGGGTCATTCTCTCAGGCAAAGAAGCTTTCTTCCTCCTCTTCTGCTATGGTCTCCACAAGACTAAAAGATGAAAAGGCTAAGCAATCAGAAGAGTCCTTGAGGACGGTCATGTACTTGAGTTGCTGGGGTCCAAACTAAATAACATAAGCCCAATAAAAAAGAATTTTTTTTCTTTTTAATTCTGGCTTATTCTCAAGGGAAGATGAGATTTCTGGGGTCATACTGTATATATAGTATTGAAAGATTACTTGTCTGTTGTGACAATCATGTAAATTTTGATAAATCAGAGTGTTGAGCATTGCCAAATTTTATTTGTGTTCTTTTTTGGTTCCCACTTCCATATGGCTAATATTTCCTACGAGGGTGAAAAAAATCAGTTTGAATTAAAGTTCGTCTGCTTACGCTTCTATGATTTCAAAAGTAGAGAATTAACAAAAATAAGGAGATGGAGGCAGCACCTATTTCTTTTGTGTGTTTGTGTTTAACCAATTTAAATAATAAAAGGCTCATATTAAAATTCAAGGAAGATCAATTTAATCGCGGTTGAAGGATATGGCTGGGTAGGATCTATGCATCATGATGATATTGATGAAAAGTGAACTAGATGATGGTACGGAAGTCTCTTCATCCCCTTTAATATCTCTTAATTCAATGTATTTGAGCTATTGGGGGGTCCGTGTTGGAACATGTGCTACTCTCTGTTAAAGGTGCACTATCATCCTGTAATTGATCCACTAAAGTCTTTTGTGCTATTCTCACTTTTGGAAAAACTAGGTAGAACAATGATGAACGCAATACATTGGACAGAAATATATAGCTGGAATTGGAACCTTGCTATACTCACTTGGTAGCTTGGTACAGGAATGATAACTACAAATTATATTTTAATTTCATTAGAAATAATTGTAACCTTTATATTCAAGTAAAGGAGCAAGTTTTATGAGGTTTCCGCCTTTGATGCTTCAAGCCAGCTTTAGTTTTTTCTTCATTGTGAGTTTTTGTTCATTATGATTTGTGCAATTTAGAAGTAAACAAGAAAGAGTGAAGGCAAAGAAGACTAGTGAACAGTTGGTAAAAATATTAGCAGCCAAAATTCAATCTGGACTTGGTTTGTTTCTGAAGATGGTTTGGTTAGGCCTACCCGATTGCCTTTCACATAGATAGTTAATTAACCTTAAAAAAGTGGTTTGCTTACAGTATACTCAACTCAACAAACAAACACTGGACTTCGCTTCAGAATGATTTGGTGTTTTGTATTTGACACAGCTGTTGTGTCTTGTTTTCATTCTTTAATCCCATTGGACCAGAAAAACATAAAACAAAACAAGTATTCGCATGAGTGTAGTTTAGCACAGAAGTTAACGGTAATATTTTAGATATATTTTTTAGTTTATTTATTACAATTAAAGTTTTATTTCAATGATAAGTATTTCTCGTCGTTGCAAATTATTAAAATAACTTTAATTTTACTAAAAAAAATACTAAGAATTATACTACTCAATTCTAAATAACTCATGTAGAGAGAAGGTTCCTTTTTCATTCTCAATAATAATCTTAAAAGCTTTGTTTGATTTAAAGTTTAAAAGTAATTTTAAATTATTCAATAAAGTTAAAATGTTTATTAATTAATTAAAATTATATATTTTTAACGAAAACATAATTGCCCACATAACTAACATGCATTTTAACGAAGTAATTACAGTTAGGCATGTAAATTGATTAGGTTATTCATAAACTTAACTTATTAAATACTTTTTAAAATTTATTTATTTAGTTCAATAAATACACAAGTAATCTTTATATATATAAAATTATAAATTATTATTTTATTTTACTTTACTTTTAAACGTGGAATATCTATTAAATACTAAATTAACAATAAAACTTTATTGAAAGAGAAATTTGTTAAAAAAATGATAAATTCATAGATCAAATCTGAATTTAAAATTTTAAAATTAAATTAAACTTAAACTTTAAATAGCATCCATTTTATTCGCTGAGCCCAGCCTGTATGATTTAGCCATTGTAAAATACATTCCCGATTATCAATTAACTAGGAAATGGTAGGGTCCAAACTTTGAAGGAACTGGTTCATTATGTCAGCTAGAATTGCGGTTCAAAATTTGGAAGAGAAAAATAACTTAAATTTTCTGCAAAGACTGTTTGATTATTCCCTAGCAGATTATTGATAGAGCTTGAAATAATTATCCATTCATAAATTGTTTTCAATTTTATAATTTTAACACAAAAGAGATAAAGATGCCCTTCTGCAAGAGGGCCACTTGAGAGGACCAGCTTGTTTTCCCGTGTTGTCGTTCTTAATGACACCACCAACTTGTAATGTTCTAACATCATAGCTTATCATGGCACTTTGAATTTGTATCCTATTCTAAAGAAGCCTTCTCCTATTCTTTTCAAGCACAATGAGAATCGATCAAATCCAGAGATAATTAAGATGTCAATTTGGTAAAACCATAGATCCAACCCTTTTTCTATTTTCCCCATATTTGTTCACCTTTTCTGGTTTAGATTTCAAGCAAGTCGATTATCGATATTGATTCTTTTTTTCCTTATCTTAATTGCTTTTTGTTAAAAGGGTCAAAACCATATATGTATAAAAAAGCTACCTTTTCAGTGTTACTGTTTACCAATTGAACGTGCAATTAGCAAAACAGAGAATGGAAAATAAAATAAATAAATGCATTATTATTATTATTATTATTTTTGTTGCAGTGGCTGAATCATTCGGCAGACAGTTACAGATCAATTAGAATAGCGCAGATTCTAAAGCGAATAATAACAAATAAAACAAAGATTCTCAAATAATACTTCTTTTAAAGAATATAATATATCCCATATTGTCAAATAATTAATATACTCGGCCACCATAATTTTGTATACAAACTCAGTAATTACTTTGGAAATAAAAGGGTGGGGATGCCAAATCTTATGTGAAATCTCTAAAAGAATTTAGAAATGATTGCATAGAGGGGGGCATCAAACCAACTGTAAAGCCCGGGAACCCACAAAGAGTTGAACCTCAAAGGCACATATTAAATACAAAAAACACACATCACTAAGATCCCTGTTATTCAACAACTGTTTTGGAATAAATTAGGAAATAAAATATATTATTTATAGAGAGTGTAAGGGAAAATTAGATAGGGGAAAGTGAAATGCTGCTATACCCAATATTCCGATATTAAACAAAATTAAGAGATTAGATGGCATTGAGTAAATTCCATATTCTCATGCTCTAATTACCTTCCAATACCAATTGTTATAACTAGCAACTATTCATACATTTTAAAGTAATACAGATAAAATATATAAAAGCTATAAACTGTAAAAAAAAAAATTATTTTATTGATGATAAAAAATAAATTGAAACATAAGTAAATATTTAACCTTTTAACTTTATAAACCCTAAAAATTATGTTAACCACTATTATTATTTTAATGAAAAGTTTATAAACAATTTATTATATTCCATGTTCATTAAATAAATTTAAATATTGATCATAATAATCTAGAAAATTAAAAATGTTCTATAACTGGATGACTGATAAAGAAAAAAATCATTTTAATATAAAAGAATTATAAAACATGTAACACAATAAAAAAGATACGCAATTATTTGAGAATGAAAATGCATATAGAAGTTATCGTGCTTTAAAAACAAAAACTCAAATGCGTAATTGAGACGTGAGAGGTGAATTACTGCTTTTTGCAAAAATATAAATTATTATTTAAATTTTATAAATCATTATTCATTAAAAGAAAAAATTTTATTAAAAAATAATATTGAATATTATCAATATATTTTTATTTATTTATTCTTTTAATCATTATTATAAGGACAATAATTAATCATCTTTTATAGTTAAAAAATTTACCTCATTTTCCTATGCTACCAAATTACCTGAAAATCAAATTCAATCATAAAGGTACTAAGAACCACCATTTTGGACAAAACATGAAAAAGTTGTAAATCACATACAACGAAAGGTCACGTTCAACTTCGTTTTGCTGAGGTAAACTACGTTAAATTGCTTTCATAAGCAGAGAGTAGAGACAACCCATGAAGGGTATCTGATCTGATACAAAACAAGTGCCAAATCTGTAATCATCCACAAAACAGGCAAAAGCTTAAAACTTTGCCACCAATTCGGAGACCCAGTTGCCGGAAGTCCAATTTTCCGGCGAGATTCCGGCCAAAAATGGCGGTGGACAGTGAAAAAACGGGCTCTGATGGGAAAGTTTGGAGCTTTTGTAGCATGCCATTTTGGCAAACAACTCATGCTTCTTCATCTTCTTCTTCAACATCTTCTATGCATAGTGTTCACAATCAAAGCCAGATTCTTCAGTCTCTTGATAGATCAACTCAGCAACCTTCGAACTCTGTTTCTTCAGTAGCAAAGTCTTTTCTCCCTACAAGGAGAAGATTCCGTCTTGATCCTCCCAACAAGCTCTATTTTCCATGTATGTTTCTCATCAATCTTGTTTGGATATGTTTTTTTGGCATCATTTTCTGTTTGAGTTACATTCACCAATCCATAGTGTGGTTTTTGCGTCTTGTTTTCATTTAATTGCTCGTGAATTGATTGTTCATGGTTATGATGACTAATGCATGTATCCATTTGCGAGTTCTGTATTTTTCTCTCGATTTAATGTTAATGTTCATTTTGGATAAGTTTGGTTGTCGTGGGTAGAATGGTGGGTATGGTTTGGAGTTCGTGTTAGATGTTAGCTTTGTCTATTGTCTGATATGATGTGACTTTGTTTTGAAGATGAACCAGGTAAGCAAGTTAGGAGCGCCATCGCAATTAAAAACACTTGCAAGTCTCATGTGGCTTTCAAGGTGCGGTGCATATAGCTACTCTTGTTTTATTCTTATGTTTTTGGATTAAGAAAATGGTATCTGACACATAACTTTGTCATGTTTTTGGATTAAGATAATGGTATCTGAGACATAAATTGGAGACTAATGATGCTTTGTTAGTTGGAAATTCTGAAACCCATTGTCAATGTGTGTTGACATTCTTGGGAAACATTTAGCTATGTTTCAACTTTCAAGTTTCAACCTATTTCTGCAAAATTAGGGATTTTCATTAAACCTGATTCAAAATATTAAGACTATCTTAGATGTAGGATAGGATGTGTAATTGTGTTAAACATGACCCTCTTCATATTTGGTTTCACTGCATATATTTATAGGATTTATAAGTACTACTGTTGTTATGCATTGACTTTAGTGAAATAATTCTATCAGTCTGTTGCTTGCTCTATTTATCTTCTGTTAAGATTACTACTAAAATCTCTTCTTCTTTTTTTCCTTAGTTTCAAACAACTGCACCCAAGAGTTGTTATATGCGCCCTCCAGGTGGTATTCTTGCGCCTGGTGAAAGTATAATTGCAATTGGTAATTTATCCTTCTAAACTAGTGTTAAGCAAAAGTAGTTTAATGCTTGCAAGTTGGTTAATTCTCTTACAATTTTGTCATTATCTGGCAGTGTTTAAGTTTGTGGAGCCACCAGAGAACAATGAGAAACCAATTGACCAAAAAAGCAGGGTTAAGTTTAAAATTATGAGCTTAAAAGTGAAAGGTGAAATGGACTATGTACCAGAACTGGTAATGTGTAATTGACCCTTTCCATGGTGTCTGGCATCAATCTTCATACTTCATCCATAATGTTTCTAAACACTGATCAATGATGCATCATGTAATCCTTCATGCAGTTTGAAGAGCAAAGGGATCATGTAGCAGTGGAGCAAATTTTGCGTGTGGTTTTTCTGGACCCTGAAATCCCTAGCATTGTAAGACTAATATATCTCTAAAATGTCACTTGAACTCCACTATTTTTGTGTGGAAGGATATAATTTTAAACAAAAACCCACAAACGAATAGTTTGGCCAACTAGGTTGTGCATGAACTTACCAATAAATTTGTTACTTACACCTGGTCATATTCATACTCTGTGAGAAATTAACTGTTTGTGCTAATTGTCTAATTATCTTTTATTTTTCCAATTCTAAATTTGGTTTCACAAAGGCTCTGGATAAGCTTAAACGACAACTGGCCGAGGCTGAGGCTGCATTGGAAGCAAGAAAGAAGCCCCCAGAGGAGACAGGTCCTCGAATAGCTGGGGAAGGACTTGTTATAGATGAATGGGTGAGAAATATTAATCTTGTTTTTTTCTCTCATGTTGGTCTAGCTTGTTTTGGAAATTGGATGGTCTTATTTCATTTCATCTCATTCATATTCATTGTTTTTTTGTGCAGAAAGAAAGAAGAGAAAGATACCTGGCTAGGCAACAGGTGGAAGTGGTTGATTCAATGTAAAGTATTTCTTTATTTTTTTGGTTGTGCCCTGAATTGTTCTCGTTTTATGTTCAGAAATTGAAGTCCTTGGCCACGATCTATCAAATGTGATTGAGTGACCTTGCTAAGTTCTCCAAATACATATTGTGAAAGCATTTCTTTTTTCTATTTTGGTAGCATGTTTGTGGTGTTAAGATACTTATGCGCATGTTTGTAGACGGATATCTCTTTGTCTGTTTGAAATGAAATTGATCTTCGTAGCACTGAGGTTTTGCTTTCATGCAAGTATTGCTGTTGATGGATTTGCCTGAGATTGTATGATGGTGTGCCCTCTCTTATTATCCTTTTCATCTTACAGTTATGCAGCAGTAAGTAACACTTCTAATTACTTTTAGGCAAATGCTAACTGGTTAAGGAATAACAAGTAAAAAATTTTTGTTAAAAATATTTATGTACCTCTTCGGGTCATTTTAAATGCACCTCAACATTATTTTTAATAAAAATTTTGCGCTTTCGATTCTTTAACAAATATCTGAAGATACTGATTTGCAAGGTCTTTCCTTACTTTTTAATATATAATCGTTTTTTTTTTAATGCTTGGAGACATAGTAAAAACTTATACAAGGAAAGCTTTTATTGAAAATTACATAATATAATGAATTGGTAACATTAAATACTATAATTTTTAATAAAAAATATATACTATATGTCATTGGATACGTTAAAAAGACAGATCTGTTTTCATTAGTAAAGGTAAAATTCTAATTTTTATTTTCCTCTTAGTTTCCATGTTCAAATGTAAGACGCAAGTCATGAAACATAACGGTAAAGAAATCAAAGTAGCTATGATTTCTTTCATGTCCCTCCAATTGACCAAGAATAACTCAGCAAAAGGGAAATAATACTAAAGATGAAAGAATATTGTTAACTTCGATATTTAAGGTTATGCTTAAGAATTAAGGAAGTAGTAAGTTTTAATGAGAAAGAAATCATTCATTGCATTAAAGTTATAAGAATATAATAAATATTAAAAAATATATAAAATCTTACTGTTGTTTTCTTAAAACTCATATCTAAGGGTTGGAGTGAACATTTTTTAATAAAGAAAAGGAACGTTTGCGACCTACAACCAGCAACTACTAAGTTCCCATCCACCAACCTTCCTCGCTACCAAGTAACTTCCAAATACCACTGCCACAAAGGGTTAAAGCTTATGTAAACACCAATCAAGAACCGACAACCACCACAACGATGGCGATATAGTTGAACAAGGAGAAATAAGAAATGGCATATTCGTAGATGGAATCTCGAATGTTTTTAATTTGTTCTGTTACAATTTTGGGGTTTTCTCTGTTCCCAGACACACAATTTCATCTCTGTAACAAGTTACTTGTATTTGAAACGGTTGTTTATTGGTTTTCATTTTCAAACAACTCTTGCGTGCAACTTAGTTAAGACACAATTGCATAATTAAAATGGCCAATAAGCATTCATGTTAAAGTGGCCCTAAATTCATAGCTAGTTGGCCGCTGACACTATAATCATGCATGTTCATTGTGTTATATTTTAAGAGTTATGCATTGTACGTTAAGTAGAGTTTTTTTTTTTTTTTTTCAAATTGTGATGATCGAAAGCATCTTGAAATAATATTTCTAACCTTTAATTATACAAATATAATAACAGCATGTAAATATCATATTTTTAAGATTAGAAATATTCATTGCTCATCTTGGAACTTGTCTTCATTGTACACTTCGCTGCTTGATAGTATTGTTACTCTTATTAATGCTATTCCACTTCCTCTTGTTTGGAAATGGATTGCGGATAATCATGGGAGTGTTGTTCAATATCAGGTCAATTTACCAATGGCTTCTTGATAATGATCAACCACTTAATATGAACCATATTTGGAATTGGTTGTGGAAATTGAAAATTCATGAGAAATTGAGGATTTTTCTTTGACTTATCTTGCACAAGGCTCTACCAACTAACCTTCTGAGATTTGAACGTAATCTAACTGAATCTCCAGCCTGCTCTAGATGTTCATGTCCATCAGAAGACATTGATCACATTTTGAGGTCTTGTCCCCACTCTAAGGAGGTGTGGATGAGGATTGGCATGTGTACTTATCCAAACATTTTCCAATATGACATTAAGGAGTGGTTACTTCACTTCATCAATGGTGAGCATGCTTATATTTTTATTGCTACAATCTGGTGGTGTTGGAGATGGAGAAATAACATGTGCTTAGACGAGCAAAAGTGGAAGGTTGAGGCCTCTGAAGCACTATGAAGTACCAGTACCGGTACCGGGGTACGTATCAGGTGTGGATACATCGTGGATACGTATCGGATATGTATCTAAAAAAATTTGCAAAAAAAAAAAAAAGTTAGTTATAGGAAGTGGGTATGTGGGTACAGAAAACAAAATTTTTTTAAGTAAAATTCTAGAGTTTTAGATATTTTTTTTCTAAAAAATCTAATTTAGTTATTTCTTTCTTTCCTTTAACTTCCACATATTAGTACTTCTTCTAGCCTCCATATATCCACATACTACATACTGTTATTTTTCTCCTCTCCTCTCATCTCAAACCTCAACTATCAATTTTCACTCGTGAGTGACAAACAACAAATGATAACGTTGGCAAGTTTGGTGATTATCTTTTTCAATAACAGCAAGTCACAAATATGCTAAAATTTGTGAACTTTTATTTTATATATAATTTTTTTAATATTTATTTTGTATAATTTTATGTGTCTATATATATGTTTATTATTTTTTTAATTAACGTACCCATTCCGTATTTTTTCAAAAAATGTTGTATTCCGTACCCGTATTCATACCCCGAGAACCTTAATGCAACAAAGGTACTTGAGGCTGTGATTTCAAACATAAATACAATGAACTGGAAACTACAGAATTTGCTTTCAGAACCACATTGGAATCATGAAATATCCCTTGTATGTCATTGGCCACCCCCTTCCTCGGAGTTTGTGAAGATTAATGTGGTTGGCAGTGTGGTAAATAATTCTTGCTGTATTGGCATATAGGGGGAGTTCTTCACGACTCTAAGGGTAGTTGGCTCATGGGCTTCTCTAGTCATGAGGGGGGAGATGATGTTGTCTTAGCCCAATTACTAGCCATTAAACATGGATTGTCTATTGCTTATGATCTGCTATACTCTCAATTAGTAGTTGAATGTGATGGCTTATTACACCAAGCACCATCCCACAGCACATCTCATAATTATTCTAATATCATCAGACATATTAAACAACTCCAAAAGTCTTTCTCGTTATGTTTCTTGCGGCATATTCCTCGAACTGCTGATATAGTTGCAAAGGCTCTTGCCTGGTTACAGCTCAGATAGTTTACTACTGGGTCAAGCCCCAACATTGTATGATACGTTTGTACAAGGTTGAGACTTCGATTCTTCCTCCTTAGCTTTTTCTTTCCTTTTCTGGTTGTTTCTTACTAAGTACATTAAAAACGTCATTGTATTTTGGCTTAGTTATAGTTTTAGTTTCCATACTTTATATTATTTATGGGTTTAATTTCTATAATTTTGACTATTTACATTTAATCATCATAAAATTGTAATTATTAAAACTAAGCTTCTCACCATAAATTATGATCAATAATTAACACGAATATAGTAAAAGTATAAAGTGATATAATTTGTGTATCATGGTAGGGAAATGTTGCATAAAATATTTAAATAAAAAATATAAAATGCAATAAAAACTAGTTTTTTTTTCTCAATGGAAAAACGAATACATTATTTTGTCTCACGAAAATGTTTTATGAACATTTTAAGGAGACATCTATTTGTGTGTCTTTTAATTCTACAAAATGTTTTTGAAATGTGAATATAAAAGAAATAAAAAAAAACAAAGATAAATGAAGTATATATTGTGTCAATTTTTAGATATTAAAATAACAAAGAATTGTCCATGTCAATTCATTTAGCTAAAATAATTTTTATTGGTATTTAATTTTTGAAAATATTGGTTTGGTCAATTTCTTATGTAAATGCAATTCAATTGCAATATAATATAATTTTATATATTTAATTTTGAGTGTTAATTTTTAAAAGGGAGTGTTTTTAAGAGTTATTCTATTTTCTCATTATATCACATCTCATCTCTTATACACAGAATTTTAATTTAATTTGAATTAATATAACTTATTTTTAAAATTTAAAAATATATGTATTTAATTTTTTATTTATAATAAAAAAATTTATTCATTATTAAAATTAATTATACAATGTACATTAAATTTTAATTTTAATTTAATAATTATGTGCAGTAGACAGGTAACACACTGCACTACTTTTTGTGATATACAAGCACAAACAAGGAAGGTAAAGAAGGCACATGTGCTGCAAACCTTGTCAATACGTGTTAACTTTCTGGAATTCAAACAGTGAGTTTTGAACCCTTAGTTGCAACTTACAATTATAGTATACATGCTGATGCTGGCCAATTAGAAGGTCAAGAAGCCATAATTTTAGAACTGTCTAATCCCATCCAAAGTATTGGTAAAAATAAAAATAAAAATAATATATATATATATATATATATATATATATTATAATAGAAGATATTAAAATGTAATTTTTTAAGTATAAAAATTAATTTATAAATAAATACTAATTACGAAGACGAAATATATATTTTAATAAAAATATTATATAAAAAATTACAGAGTTTATTTTTAATTCATTTTTAGTGTAATATTGTTAATGAATTAAAATATTAAATAAATATAATATTTAAATCAATCATCACAAAAATTTAATAAATTTCATTATCACTATAAATAATAATATAAAAAATTTATGTGATGAATATAATTCAATTAAAAATTCATAATTATATAACTTGTAGATACATAAGTAAAAGGGATGAATATGAGTATTGTGTTTAAAAAAAAACACAAATATAAAATTAAATATATTTTTTACTCAAACTCGAAAGATTAAAATCATCCTAGCAATTCATTGACATACTGGACAGTAATCTAGATACTTTTTGACTTTGTTACCTTAAACCTTATCCTTTACGAACATTACGATTGTTGTGGTGTTTCAATTGGCCCACTACACACTGAGTCATCAATATCTCTTCAGATAAGCCCGCCACCTGTTACTCTATGCCATATCTTCTCACGATAAACACCATTATCTCCGCTCCAACTTTTCGCTTATTTTTTTTATTCAACTCGAATAAAATTATTAAAAAATTAATTTTAACATAGTTATATTTTAATATTAAAATCTGAAATAAATTAAAATAATCTTATATCAACTGATGATATATACGCTTTTAATGGTGTATTTACTTATTCTATGAACTGTACTGTTTACGTTTCATTATAAACTTTATTCAATATTCTGATTCACTGTAGCATGAGTTTTTCATCGCTTCATAAGCAATTTTCTTATCTCCTCACACACAAAATAAAATAAAATAAAAATTGTCTAGAACTATAATAGTACATTAATTGTTAAAAAAAAAAAATATGTTCAGTATTAATATTTCTTTACATGAGACTGTTGTTTTTTATAACCTAATTTGTTTGAGGACCATAACAAGATTTCACACAATTAATAAATAATTAAATCCTTTAAAGATATTAATTAGTCACTATTGAATCCGTTACTATATACATTAAAATGATTACGACAAGAGATATTTGATCTACCTACTTGAATCATATCTTTTTTTTTTTTAAATATTACTCTTTAATTTTTTATACAAAGACAACTTTTTTGTGAAAAAAAAATTAGACTTGTAATCATGTAAGATAAAGTTAAAAAGTTCTGTTTTTTTGACAAAAATAAAATTCAATATATTATTAGTTTAAATTTTAATACTCCTAATTTATTAAAATATATGATATATATAATTTTTAAATTAATTATTTTAAAAGTTAATAAGTATATTCTAGTTACATTCAAGTTAAAATTTGTAATTATTTTCAAGATAACAGTAGAATAAAATTTCATTTTTAAAATAATATTAATTTTTATTTCATAATTTACACTTTATTAAAATTTTGTCTGATTAAATTTTTTAAATTTTCTAACATGAAATCTCTTATTATTTTTTCATGTATGATATAAATATATTATATATACTTAAAAAATAAATAATTATTTAAAAAATAAATACATAAAAAAGGAAAATATAATTAATTTATTAAAAATTTAAAGCAGAATAAATATGAAAAACATCTCACATAATTTCTTAACTACTAATAAATATATTTAGAAAGTGTATAATAATAATTCTTTTAATCTATTCAATATTATACATATAAAAAAAGTAAAACAATTAGTGATAAAACATACTATTACTTATAGTAAATTTTTAAGAAATATATATTTTAACTATTAATTAAAATTTATTAAAAATTTAAAAATTTTAATTTTAAATTAATATTTTTTATCTTATAATTTATAATAATATTTAGTCATTAATTAAAGATATACTAAAAAAGTGCCTTAACAAATAAATATTTTTTTAATATACGTAAAATGGTAAAAATTAAAAATTTATATGTAATAATTTTTATTAAAAATTATAAAAATTAATATTATTTAATGTATAATATTAAATGCGATAATTTTTACAAAAAAATATTTTATATAACTTTTAATGAAAGTTGAACAAAAGAACAGGAGGGATATGGATGCATGGAAATTGGAAATAAAGAGGGTGGGGCCCACTGCTGGGAAAACCAGCATTATTGTGAGAAAGAATAAGAAAACCACTTCACTCAACTTCACTCGCTGCCCCCAGTTTGGTCTTTAAAGACACAAACACACCACACAATCATTCACTTACAAGACATGAGTTACTTCATCCGCGTTTGGATGTCCGCCACCGCAGCCTCCACCGAGAACCGCAACCAGCAGAGGCGGAAAAGGGCCGGGGCGTCGTCGGAGCTGAGGCCCTTGTCCGGCGGCATCAGTGAGGTGGAAGATTCTCTCCGGAAAGTTATGTATTTCAATTGCTGGGGCCAGGGCTAGCTTGCTTTGCTTTTCATGTTCTTCAATTTCTAACTTTGTTCGTTCGCCCTTGGGCTTGGGCTTTTATCTTTATCTTTGTAAATTGTTGTACACAAGTATTACTAAATCACTAGTATAGCATATTTCTTTCTCATAACTGCTCTTATCTTATCTTAGAAGCGTCGCATCTCACAATATTTACGACCCAGATATTTTTTATTGGCGTAGATCCAAGAACTATGTCAAAAGCTAGTTCTTCTTCAGTTATCTCAGTTTTTACTTTCACGGGTAATTGCCCTTGTTTGATTAAAAACTCGAATCTCCTTATATTTTCGGGTGTATAAAGGGGAACCGAGGGAGATAGAAAGGAAAAAGAAGAAAAAAATAAAATAATATATATTATAAAATAAAATGAGATAAAAAAGAGGTAAATGCACAGATGTACAAATATTATTGCCGTTTTTCATTCGCTTTTGACTGTGAGAGAAAGTTACACTTTCACGGTGGTTAAATATTTTGCTTTTGATGTATATTAACTTATTTATTGATTTAATAAATTAATCATATTTGAGTACCTAATTGCTGCGCCAAATCTACGGTACTTGATGCTTAATGTAAATATACAGTGCAGCCGAATTGAAAGGACTTAATCTTAGAGAGTATTGCTATCCGGTGGCTTAATTTTATAAAATCCTCATTGATTCTTAAGTTGTCTCACAATTATAGACGCATAATGCAAGTTGAAGATGCATGACAACACTCACTTCTGAATCGTTTTGCATCTTATTTGATGGCCCAATAATGCATACACCGAGTTTAACGGCAGTGGGAAATTTATTATTTTAATGTCTAGATAGGAATTTTATAGTCTCTAGCAGACTAGCATTAAATATGCTCCCGAAAAGTCCAAGATTGATTAATTGCCATATAGCAAATAAGCTAATGTTGAGCTGTTTAGCAATCAAAACCAATTTATAACACAGGGTTATTGATCGATATAACTAATATACTATAAGGTAGGGACAAAAGGAGGGGAAAAATGATCAAGAAAATTAAACACACTTTTTTTTTTGTCTATTTTTTGTGGGCCCTCTGTGATGAGGTCGGGTTGGGGTCATTTGCTGTGTTATGCCAGGAAATCTAGCTGAAGTAGGCCTTTAATTGTAGTGCAAGCTTTCAAATAGATCTTAGATTCGACTTGAGTCCCTTCCAAATACGAATCGCCTTGCCCAGTCAGATACCACCAAAGTCCTTGTTCTCCAGCTTACTAGTTTACTGTTATGTTTTGGGAATCATTATGAAATAATATACTAACACTAAGCATTCATAATAGTTTTTCATGCTGAATAAATTACCTCGTATATACCGAATACCAGAGCCACTGGGTGCTATGACCAATTGAAATCCAATCACCTGGAAGCTGAGCTGCAGTTTGTTCTCCTCCTAGAGGAGCAAATTGTCCAAAATGCTTGTACCTTTCAATATATGAATAAAAGATTAGGCAATGAAGAACCAGGCCTTTAGTTCATCATGCACCACTTTGGTGTCACACAAAAATTAACCGAATATCAAACTGAATTAACCATATATTTTTACATGGTTAAGAACAATGTACAAACTCATTACCATTTGTTTAACTGATTTAAAAACTTCAAACCATTTATTATACTTTATGTCATATGAATTAGCATAGTCGTAGTTACTTACATTAAATACTTGAAAATTATAAATTGTTTTCTTAAACTTGACATGAAGACATAGCAAAACTTGTACATACCTGAAGGGACGAAACCTATGGCGTCCAGTTCCCCTGAACCTGAGAGGGCCTTCAGGATACGTCTCACACAACTCCATGCGGTTGAAACAGTCAGCAAGATAGGCTCCTTGTTGAGCAGCTACCTAGAATGATGCAAAATTGGAAGCCACCACCAAGCATGAGTAAAATTTTCAACTTATTTATTTTTGAAATGTAGGTAGTATGCATTGTACATGTATATGTACCTGAGCTGTTGCAGGAAGATTTTTCATCTGAGAATCTACTTTGGAAAGAGCATCTTTGAAGTATTCAATGTCCACCGTAAGAGAGCTTTCTTCAGTCTTCTTTAGCAAGCTGGCCAAATCTTTCATTTGGTTCTTCTTCAGATAAATATCCACTTGTGGGTACCTCTCAATAATGTCACCAACAACGTCTTGAAATTCTTTAAGATCTAACCTTCCTGAATTGCCCTTGTCTGCCTTGCTAAATATCACTGCTATATCTTCCTGGTAAAACCATGGTAGACAAAGGGAGGACACTTAAAAAGTTACACTAGAACTAAGCAGAAGTAACAAAGAACTGCAACACCTAAATGTGTTTAAAATGTCAATGATTTCCAGCAAAAATATCATGTCAAATGTGAATAAAATAAGAAATTTCAGCTACACAATCTTTTAAACAGATCTTTCAATACACTTCCCGTGATTAGTTTATTTTTAAAAAATTAAAAACAATCAATTTATGAGATAAATATATTAACTTTTTAAAAAATAAACCGATGTAATTGGGTGGCCACTATTTTTTTCCTTCAATAATCACATCATAGTATAGGCAAAATGAATAGTTTACACCTACCATAACTTTACGTTGATTTATAGTGGCACAATCACCTAGAGCATAGATGTTGTCACATCCTTCCACCCTTAGCCATTCGTCAGTGACCACTGCACGCCTGTTAATCTGCCACACAAAGAATTCAATGATAGCAAAATTTGAACAGTGACAGGGGCCAACTCAGCCTTTGGATTGTGAGGAACACGCAAACAAACCTGGCCAAGCTGCTTCATAAATTCAAGCATTTCAGGGCGAGCACCGATACCTGTTGACCAAACTACCATTCCATGAGGTATAGAAACAACTTTACCACTTCCCCTTTCTTTGGCAGAGATTTCATCTTCACTAACTTTGACAACCATAGATCCCAACCTCACATCAATGCCATCTCTGGAGAACTTTTCTTCAGCAAACTCTGTAATTCTCTTGTCAAACCTTCAATGAACCAAGAAATTTTATCATATCTGTACATTTGAACATCAAAATGGAAAAACTGCTAAGGGTAAAAGATAATGCTTTATTAGAGTGAAAATGTGTAGGTAGAAAATTAACACCATGAAAATTGACACTACCTAAATATGAAAATATTGTTATCATTTGTTAGGACTAGTTTTAAAATCTAAAAATAGTACATTTTTATTTTAAAAAATAAGCATTTATCATACTTTCATAACTTTAACTTAATAAATGTATTTTTTTTTAATAAATCTGTATTACTTTTAGGTGATTAAATTTAGCTCTGAAGACCCAAAGTGAACTATATCCTAATTATTCACATACTCATTTTTACTTCAATCAAAGCAGTTGCCTTTATATCCTAATAGAGCTAAAAAAAATTTACATGTTTAAGATATGATCGCCTGCCTCCAGAAGAGTTATCTTCACATATTTTTTAAGAGAAGGATATAATCTAGCAATATCCTCGTGTACGAAATCATAAAGTTCAGCTGAAAACTCCACCCCAGTTGGGCCACCACCAACAACTACAAAACTGAGAAGCTTTTTCTTCTCTTCCACTGGTAACGAAGGGAGGCTTGCTCTTTCAAAAAGGTCAACCACCTTTCGACGGATTCTTAGAGCATCATCCACTTCCTTCACAAAGAGATTCATAAGTAGTTTAGCATATCATCTAATTAAAATAGTTTTTTTTTTCATATGAATACACACACATGTGCTAATTTGGATTTTTTTTTTCGTGTAGATAATATGATCACATTAAAGAGATAAAAACAATTATATCAAATAGGGACCATCATGATTAGTTGTAGGACGCATTAATTAAATTTGATAAAAAAATATGTTTTTTTATCTTTCTATTATAATCATACCATAATATAGTCATTAAAACATAACATGTGAAAGATGTTTTTCTTTTTCTTCAGCTAGTGAAATAAAATATATGGATTTGAATCCTCTTATATTGTCATGTTAAAAAGGAAAAGATTTTTTTTTTTCAAATTAATAAGGATCCATCATAATTGGTTGCAAGACTATACTTAAATTTAGCAAAAATTTGTATTTCTTTCCTTGACATGACCATCATGTTACTGAGTTTGAAATTCAAAATATATATACCTTTAAGAAATGGGCATGCTCCTGAACACCGGGTGTGTTAAAGGTATTGGAACGGGCTCCCATAGCTATTACCAGGTAATCATAATCAACAGAAAATTCTTCTGGGGCACCCAGCTGTTTGTCATTAGCAGATTTGCAGTAAACTTTATTGTTTTTGGGATCGATCTTATAGCATTCAGCTTCACTGAATTGAATATTTACACCACTCTGTTGAACAGAATTCTCTTGTTAGTGGATGTATTGTAACTATGGTTAGACAAATATATTTTTGAAGCTGAAACATTATGCATGACCGACTTTATGTAAATGCATAGAAATGAAAAATATTAGAAATGATGATAAGGTTGCTTGATATGCATAATCAAATTCCACAAATAAAGTTGAAGATTTGAAAATAGCTTCTCAAAATCATTGTAGCTTTAGATGTTTTAGTTTATTTCAGATCATTTACCACTTAAAAACTAAGAATACATCTATTGTCATTTGATAAATCCATAAACTGAAATGAGAAGAATTAATGGACTTAGAAGGTAATATAGACAAATAAATTTATATTTCCTTTAAATTAAAATATTTAACAACTTTCTTACCCCTTACATAAAATCTAAACACAATTATTTTAAATAAGAGAGAACAACATGATTGATGGAAAAGGGAATACCTTTTGGGAAATACTGCGAATCGGTTCAACAATGCTCCGTGCTTCCACTGTGCCACAAGTGACACTTGGTAGCAAAGGAGTGAATGCAAAATAGTTGCGTGGTGAAACCACATGAATATCATAGGAGGAGCTTTTCATATTTTTCAAAAAACTGGTTGCAGCCCAACCAGTTCCAAGCACCACCACCTTCTTTTTTGCACTTTGATCAACACCATAGTCTGGTCTAGCATCACAATATGCCACTAGACCTCCACTACTGCATCCCAATAAAAAAAAAAGAAATATAGAAAAGAATGAAAAACTAAGACAAAAAAGATCAAATTAATTCCAACTCCAATCACACACTAGAAAATGTTAAGTACTAACAAAAAATTGACGTCGTTAAGATTGTTTTTGTTGATATAATTTATGTCATCTAAAAATTAAACTGCTAGTATAAATATTTTATATTTAACTTACAATATGATACATTGTTATTGTAAATATGTAATATCTGTAATAAAATTTTATTTTTTTGTTAAATTAATAATAATATCACCTAGGACAAACCCAACACCTAAACATTAGAATATGATTTCTTAATTTTTTTGCAATGACATGAAGTCCCCTCAATAATAATTTAAGTGAAAAATAAAACAAATATCGAAAAAAAAAAGAAGTAAGGTTTGAGAATATGTTAAACCTGATGACAGTGCATACAACAACAGACTTGGACCAAGACGGATTCTCATGAAAAACCCTCGAGGCTGTTTGATAGAAGGAAGACCAACGCATTGTGAAACCCCGAGCTAGATAATTTGTCTTCTTTAACTCGTATTTTTATAGGTTACTTTTGTTTCCCTTTTTGATTCCTTATGCTTTCTTTGTAAACAAAAGAAAAGACAACTGATTGCTAGCAAAAATAGAAGAGTAACCTATTGTTAACATATGGTTTTAAATACTGGGCACCGGGTGAAAGTTGTAACTGCCACGTAGCATGTACATGAATACGTTGACTTGTTAAATCAAGGGAAATAGTACACTTGCCTTTTTGTACGAGGAATCGATCTCCAATGTATTCGGAGTTTGAACAGGTTGAAAAATGCATGGCAGAAACAAAAGATGATGTTACAAAAAGGATTGAACAAGAACACTAAGAATAAGGTTGCGGATAACGTGCGAATGGAGTGGGAGCTGTCCATTGAATTGAACCGAGGACTTCATGGTTCGACCAGCATTGCGCTTTGACGGCTGCATTCTCGGATCACTGTGTAATGAATAATGCAACAAACAGCTCTAATTTTTTATTTGTCGAATATTACGGATGGCAATAGATAGAATACTCTAGTAATCATTTTCATACTCGCTATTTAAAAAAATATCCATACCCAACTCTATACTCGCATAAGTATGAATATTAATCTCCGTACTCGTAACTCTCAATACCTGCATACTTATCTTGTATCTATTATTTGCGCTTGTTTGAAAAAAAAATATTTATAAAAAAAATATGTTTATATAACTTCACATAAGTAGTATAATAATATAAAAATTTAATATGTAGTTGCGAAACAAAGTACAAACATAGATAAAAAAAAATTCAAATATCACAAGTGCTAGATGTATCTTAATATAATAATTTTCTAAACTAAAATTCTTATAAACAATAAGCGAAACTAAACACATAATTTATTTGTTGACTCTTCGTGTGGGATCACTTGTTGACCTCTCGTAGCAGCATTGACAACTAACTCTAATGAATAACGTTTCATAGTAGTTAAGTTTTTATGAGACAAATATTGAGAATGAGAGTAGAGTTAAGGTAAAAAAGTTTAAATACTAACAATAAAACGTGAATACATAAAATATTTTTTTTAACTTTTAAATTTGAAATTGTAAGAAAAATAATATATTTAATTAAAATAATATAATATAATTAATATATACTAATACTAGAATTTTTAACTCATATACTAGACGAAAGTATTTTGTCACAAAACAAATTTTTGAAAAATTATTTTAATGAATTATATATTTATAATGTATATAAATTTTAAAAAAAAGAATTTGAATAAAAGATAAATGGTCATAATAAAATTTTATAATAAAGAAATATATGTGTATATAAAAAAAATTATACTTTTTTATATGAAGAAAAAACTAACAAATAAAAATTAAAAATAATTTTTTATATTTTATATCTTTTCAAAAAAAATTTTAAACGTAAATAAATAGTAAGAATAATATTATTTAGATTCAATAGATTATAGTTATGCTTGTAATATATATGTTGCATAGAAAAATATTATTTTAAATTAAAATATAAAAACTAAAATTTAAATATTATCAATAAATAATAAGTTTACGATAATAGTAGGTGATTGTAAAATTAATAAAATATTTACAATATGTTTATTATTTATCATTTACTTTATGATTTAAACATCAAAATGATTTTATTAACAAAAATATTTGTGTGAAAAATGTTTTATGTGTGTCATATATAAATAATATTTTAAAAAAATCAATCTCATATCAATTATGTAATGATTAAATTGTATTAGTCTTATATAACTTACTTTATTATTAAATATATTTTTATATTAATCTTATATAACTTCACATAATTAATATAATAATATAAAAATTCAATACATAATTATAGAATAAAGTTTAAATATATATATATATATATATATATATATATATATATATATATATATATATATATATATATATATATATGTGTGTGTGTGTGTATGCGGGTGCAGGTATAGGGTTGGGTAGATACTTAGATACCCATACCTACATCCATCTCCATTAAAATTTACAGATTTTTATCCACACTCATACCCGTACTCATATAGCAGATAAATACTCTATCCATTGTAAGTAAATTTTGCGGGTATCCTCAAATACTTTACCCATTGTCTTCCCTATCGAAAATGGTAAACACTTGTGTTGCCCAATGTTTTATATTCAATTTTCATATCCTACACATTGGGAGTATAAGTTAACAATTTTAATATTTTTACGCTTATTTGTTCATATACTTTTTTTTTTTGTATCCTTTTTATTTTTCTCTTCTTTTACCCTTTTAGTACTTAAGAATCGAGTGTCAATGTATCATTTTTCACAAGCTACGAAGCAAAAAAAATATGATACAATAAATCATTTTTATATTATTTACGTAATAAATTTTTTATGATATGAAATTTTTTATTTTTTATCCCTTAATTTATAACTATACATGATAATGTATAAGATACAAAAACCATCTTATATTTTATGATTTCTCCATGCTAAGTTAGTCGGGTTTTATTTAATTTGTTAAAAAACAGAATCTATTTCAAGCTATTCTTTTATTATTCAGAGTATCCTAATTAAAAAACAGAATCTATTTAATTTGTTAAAAAACAGAATTTGTTAAGAAACTGATCCGTCAGATGTTGTGAGGCAACAAAGCAAGAACCTCAAAAAAAAGTTTTGAGAATTAAAAATATGTTTGATTTTTGTTTTTAAAAAAAATTCTTTTTTAAAAAATGTATTAGATTTTATTTTTAAAAAACATAAAACTGTAAAAATTAAAGATGTTCTTAACTCTCTTTTTTATTATTTTTTTTGTGGTTATAAATTTTAAGTGATTGGTTTAATTTTGAATTAAAAAAATTTGTTTCAAAAGTTATTAAATAAAAAATTATTTCAAAGCAAATCATTTCATGTAATTCCAAATTCAATATTAAACAGAATATTTAGTTTTATAGTAAAGAAAAAAAAATTGAGTATGACATCTCGTAATATGCCTCCAAGCAGGATGACAATAATGATCCCTTCGTGAGTTTTTGGATTCTTTTATGTTCATTTTCTTTTGTCATGAGAGAAAGTACAGGAATTGGCTATAATATAATCTATTTATTAGGGTATGGTCCATTAAATTTGATTCTATATTATTTCTTTCTCATAACATAGGCGGGAACGTGGAAGAAAAAGCTTGAAAAGATCCAAATTCATAAAAATTGATGCAAAATGGAAGCTGTAAACAGAAGCATTCTCAACGAAAATCCGATGACAGTCATCAAACTGTTTCCCACTGAGGGTGGAACAAAGTGTTGTTTCCTCAACTTATCATCACTATACATAAGGTACATAATTAAGAAAAATCGAAGTGCCACAGAAACATTCAGACTATGTTTGCTTGGAATGTCTACTACTGCTCCCACATGTCTATTTTCACTGCTATTTAAGAATTTTTTATGTAAAACACCCCTATAATTAATATGGTTATAAGAGAGAAAAAAGTATTTTAAACAAAAATCACATTAATGAGTGACAATAGACATACCCAATTAAACTCGACTTGAATCCCTGCCAAATATGAATCTTCTAGTCCAATCAGATATGACCAAGAACCTTGTGCGCCAGCTCACTTGCTTGCTGAATGTGGAACAGAATTAATGATTAAATAAAACTGGTTATGCACATCAATTAGTCTCCATGTGTCAAACAAGTGTGCTTTATATCACAGATCATTTACCTTGCATACACAGAATACCAAAGCCATTGAGTGCTGTGACCAATGGAAACCCAGTCTCCAGGAAGTTCTGCAGCTGCCTGCTCCCCACCAAGTGGAGCAAATTGCCCAAAATGCTTATACCTTTTGTTAACAAGAAATCAGCCTCTTGCTGATTAGTCAGGGATATAGCAAGCATAGGATATAAAACCAAAATTACGTATTATATTATTATTGTTTGATTTTGAATCATAACCATTATATGTGATGCCTTATCTTATGGCTAGATGACCTTTTCGTTTATCATTAATAAATCATATATTTAATCATGATTCAGGTCACTTTTGGCCAAATATTTTATCCTTTCACCAACATTTAACACAAAAACACCTTTGTTATATCCTGTTTGAACAGTATGACATGTATCGGACCTTAAAGTCTAACATAAGAATGTGGTTTTGTATGGAAACAAAATGCTTCATCTGAGAAGTGGAACAGGTCCTCCATAGGGACGCTAAGGCATACAACATCATTTAAAGTAATAATTTGTCATCAGTTTACAAGCCATTAGAAATTTACATGTTCAGAAGAATCTTGTTTACATAGTGGCCTAGAGTGCACACTTTGCCTAATTCGACCTCTAATCTCTTCACTTGTGTGTGTGTGCCTCGGCAGTGCTTTTTTTATCAATTTTTGTTTCCAAATTTGAAGCAATCATTCATACTGGGATGAGAGACTAATTTAACAGTTATACTGGATTTCCCTGGTATTTTATTCAGATACAGCAGATACAGCAGACAATTTTGCAATTTCCACTCCATAGACAAGAAATGCAGACAACACAACTATAACCAACATGAAGTACATGGTTTACCGGAAGGGAAGAAACTTATGTCGTCCAGATCCTCTAAATCGTCGAGGACCTTCAGGATTCTCTACAGCATGATCCATGCGGTTAAAGCACCTAGCTAGATATGCACCCTGTTGAGCAGCAACCTAAATATACCGATACATTAAAAACTTACTGCATATAAGATATTTGACAGAAAATAGTACATCCATGAGTAAGCATTCAGTTAGTGGTGAAATGATGCATACCTGTGCGGTTGCTGGCAGACTCTTCATTTGAGAATCTGCATGAGAAAGGGCCAATTTAAACGCTTCTATGTCTATTTCTTTGCAATCATTCCCTTGTAAATCTTTCCACAGAGTCGAAAAATCACGCAGATGTTTCCGCTTTAGATAGTGTTCAACTTGCGGATATCTTAAGACGATGTCATCCATCACATCCTGGAATTCCTCAACAGTTAAGGTCCCAGACTTATTTTTGTCTACAGCTTCAAATACGGCTGTGATATCATCCTAGAAACCAATGTAACGAGTTAATTATGACAGATAAATTCAATTGTGATTTACATAACTGCCATAAGGTCATATAATTCCTTAGTACTCATCTCAAGATAGAAATAATAGCAGTTGATTAAAAGTAACAACTTTGTTGAATTTATCAGAATATAATCAAATGAGAGGCACAATGAGCTCATTTTCTTAATCAAATCCAATCAGGTTGGTCACATGATTCACATCTATGTTAATTTAGATAGGATGTGCGCCAAGCTGGATTAAATAAGCTTAGAAATCAATAGAAAGCCTCAAATGATGAAGAGATACCATGATTTTACGTTGATTTATTGTAGAGCAATCTCCAATAGCATACACATCTTCGCATCCCTTCACACGTAACCATTCATCAGTTGCTAGTACATGCCTTTTAGCCTGCACATAAATCCTCGCTTATACATATATGATTACCCATATAATAGTTAATTGTGATTTTAAGCCTAGAGAAAACACTTAATACATTTTGGATCTGACATAATATAATAAAAAAGCTGGATTATCTTCCTCCATGTGCACACACACACACACAAGTAGTGAAGAAGAAAGGATAGCCAAAACTGCATTTCAGAAATGCATTGCATGTAATGTCACCTGACCAATTTGTTCCATAAAGTCCCTTATAACTGGAATAGTTGCAATACCAGTGGACCAGACAACCAACCCATGGGGAACAGAGCATATCTCTCCTGTTGATTTCACCTTCATTGTAATTTCCTTGTCATTAACACTGACAACCCGGCATCCTGTTTGAACTTCTATCCCATCTCTTGTAAATTTATTCTCAGCAAATGAACTTATTCTTTCATCAAACCTATAAGATTGAATATTACATTATATCCAAGTTGTTACTTCTTATATAGGCTGAGTTGAGAATATGAAAGATTTGAACAGATAGTAGCAATTCTGTAAGTTCAAGAAACATGTTAAAGGCGGCAGAATGCATAAACAATAGAAGGCTTAAATTATTTGGGGAATAAAGTTGTGTTCTACAATAATAAATTCTAAGTTTCCACGAAATATACTCTTCAGTGATAAATAGATCAAATACATAGGTTATAGTGACAGCTACACCATTGAGGTATCAATTACCAAGATGTAGGAGTTATGTGGGATATCATCATGTGAGTCCTTTTGGAATCAAAAGCAGTTACATGAAACAGTGAAGAATCGGTTGATAAACCTAGGGCTAAGTGATTTATGATTTTATGATGTTAGACCAATGACAAAGAAGCAGATCCTAAACACCAACCATAAAACTGAAATCAACATGCAAATGGACATATGGCTGAATTTAGCTTGCAATCAAATTTGTCATTTCAGGTAGAATTAACTAAATATAATGCTGCAGTTCCTCCATTACAGAGTTAATTTCAGATAGATAATGTATTGTCTACAGTGAAAATTTATTACAGTTGAAGGAGCAGTAGCACTAGATCTAATAATGCTGTTAGTTGTATCAAAGAGGTAGCTCTATATCCAACACAAGTAACACGGTAAATAAATAACACTTTGAGGAAGATAGCAAAGTTTCTATATTAGTTCCTAAATCATTAGAAAATAATTAAGAGTAAGACAGTTAATGATTCTTGTTTTTCTTACATGTTCAAGATGTGATCTCCGGATTGAATCAATGTTATTTTCACTTTTTTTTTAACAGTTGGATATAGTTTGATTAAATCTTCTTGGACATAATCATGCAGCTCTGCAGCAAATTCCACACCAGTTGGACCTCCTCCAACAACTACAAAATGAAGATTTGACCTTTGCTCTTCTTCAGATAGACTAGGAAGAACAGCTTTCTCAAAGCAATCAATCACTGACAGTCTGATCTTCTGAGCATCCTCAACATCCTGTGAGCGATCATAGAGCACAATTTGGATTAGTTGCAGACTGATCAACAAACAAGAGTGCAATGATAATGGTTTCTCATCACCCAGAAGTTCATAGAGTCAATGAACCTCCTGATAAAACAACAGTCATAAACAAGCGAAAAAAACAAATGGACCATTGAATGATTATACACAAAACAAACAAATTTACCTTCAGAAAATGACAGTTCTCCTTGACGCCGGGGGTGTTAAAAGTATTTACTTGTGCTCCTACTGCTACTACCAAGAAGTCGTAGTCCAAAGAAAATTCGCCACTTCCCACTAAGTTCTCAATATTGGACTGACAAAAAACCTTTTTGGTCGCAGCATCAATCTTGACACATTCTGCCTCCCAAAAATTTATTTCTCCTTTTCTCTTCAATTAAAAAGGAGAATCCCTTATTAATTCACTAATCAGAATACACTTAAAAAACAATAAAAGAAAATGGTAATAAATCCCAGGTGTGATTCTCAATCCTGTTATTAACAAATTTGACACAACAAAGTCAAGCCTACTCTAACAATCTTGTTTTATAAGTTAAGCCTCAAACAACACCTGATTTCTCATTACATTACACGTACATATGATCATTGCGATCTGACAAAAATCATACACCAATAGTTATTCTTAGATCTAGTTTTGTTTCCTCCACCCACCTTTTTAATAATGTTTCGGACTGGCTCAACAATGCTCCGCGCTTCAACTGTCCCACAAGTTACACTGGGTAGTAAGGGAGTAAATGCAAAGTAGTTCCGAGGCGAAACAACCTGAACATCATATAATGAAGCATCCAGATCCTTAAGGAAACTGGTAGCAGCCCATCCTGTTCCAAGAACCAACACTTTCTTTTTGCGGGGCTCATTAGCATCAATCCTAGGAGGTTCAGCTCCTGATTGTATTTCCGAGTATGCCACCACACCACCACCACCACTGCAATTTCCAAGGGCAGGTAGATTTGATGAAATAGAAAATATTGTTAACTAAAAGCTATTATATATAGCATAAGTACTGGTAAGAAGCAGGAAATACGGTAATTGAAGTATTCACATAGAGGCAAAAATTGGACAAGTAAGTGGATCCAGGTTGACTGTACTTTTGGGAGATTGTATTCTAACCACAATTTTTAAAGAAAGAAGGTATGAGAACAGAAAACATGACACCTGATGGAACCTAGAAGAATGAAAAGAATACACAGATAGATAGTTCTCTTTCTAAACTCTTAAAACTTTACCTTGGGTCTATAATAACAGTATCCTGGATGACATTTTTCTGGGAAGGCACTAGCAAACATTCAATAGATTTAAAGGCATGCTCTCACCCCCTTTTCTATTTACAGAAGCAATGAGATTAGTTTAGATCCAAAGGTCATTGATCAATCTTGTACTCTTTTTTTATCATCATACTTGAATTTTTTTCTTTCCTTCGCAAAATTTTTCAATGTGTTATCCTTTCAGTATTTCAAGTGAAATTGATGCATCAAGGGACCTCCACTAGTCTACACCAAATACTGGCTTTTGGTGGTGCCTCAAGTAAGATCACCATCCCTCGATCCGAAACAACATTGCAGCTAACCAAGAAACGATTATGCTACATCTCAAGATCTATAATCCTCTTGGGATGGCTTAGAAAGAAAGCAATGTATCGAATAACTCTTAATAGAGAGGCAATAGTACTCCTGGAGCATATCAGAGTAACAGGCCCAATTGCTTAAGAAGAACATTGAAAGTATAGGGATAAATGAAGTCAAATTGCTGAGATCCATTTGCAAGGCTAATCCCACATCAAGAATGATACTCATTAAATGATCTTGATCAATGATGGCAAAAGGGTCACGTGTAATAATAATACCAAAAATATCTTATCAAGCATTCTTTCTTACACATGTGGCTAGTTGTGAATGTAAGTTAATCAACCCTCTCAAGTAAAGATGCTGAAAACAGACGATAAAATCTTAAAATAGACACAACAGTTGGAAATTAAGTACCATGTCACTCCCACCACCACCATTAACTTTTTCGCTATATGGTAGCAGGCAACCCATAGCACAGAATTATGGTCAAAACTGGATCAACAAAGGGTCACTAGAAAGCACAAGAAAACATATAGAACACCTGAGAGTGCAGAGAAGCACAAGATTGGAGGTGCTGAGAACCCTTGAGGCCCTGATGAAGAAGGAATCAATGGTCATTATGACAAGAATTTGGCCTGGCAGCTTCAACTTTTGAGCTTTGAACTTTGAAGTTTCAGACAATCTAGTTGTTGGATCCTAACACATACAGTTGACATGTGGATATTGGTGTTGAAGTTCATATCCGCATTCCGAAACATTGTCACGGGTCATGCCGAGGTTACGTATTCATTTATGTACTAATAATTTATTCGACTTTTTTAATGAATACTCCCAGACATATAATAAAAATTTATACATGATATTTTTTATTAAAAATATAAGATATTATAAAATTCAAAATATTAATAATAATAACTGTTATAATTTGTAATAAAAATATTATATTTTTTATTATATATTTTTTAACATAAGTTAAAAGATTTTTTATTTTTACATAGTATTTATAAATCATATATATCAAAATATGAAATATTTTACAAAATTATACAAATATGAGAACTCAAATTTTCAATGACAATTTTTTACAGATACATAGATTCAAAGACGAAACATCTAAAAAGTATAAAGTACTAAAAATCATTGATAGCAATTTTTTTTAAAAATAATAAAAATTAAAAATTGCTATGAAAATTTAAAAAAATATATAAAAAATTACTATCAGTGATTTTTGAAAATTTTAATTTTGATAAAAATTTAACAGTGATTTTATAAAAAAATATCATATTTTGATATTTTAATTTTTTTCATATAAAAAAGCTAAGTTAAAAAAATGTATATTTTGCAACGAAGAGACTTTAAAGTAAAGAAATGTGAAATAGACATAAAAAGGCCCACTGCAGCGTTTTCTTGTTAGAAAATAATTATACATCCACAAAGTGTAAAGTAAGAGAAAGAACAAAGATAGAGAAACAAAAAGACTGGTTACAACTTTACTTGGCCTTTATCCTAATCAAGAGTTTATTCTTTCGCGACCCAAAAAATATCACAGCCGTGTAAAATGATTTATCAAATATATTTACTGTTAATTTTAATTTTTAAAACTCCATTACGCTGAGTGAATATTGAAAATAAACAGAACCTTAACATTATTAGTTTGAAATTTAATTTAAAAAAAGTAAATATAATTTTTTCTATTTCGGAAATTTATTTTTATAAATTATCCATTCCTAGTCATGCAAATAAACATCATGTTAAATAATTTTATTAATATTAATTCTTAAAATTAAATATATTTTTTAAACAAAAAACATTAGTTACTCTAAAAATAAAAAAAACATAATAAGGTATAATTGAACTAGGTTAATTTGAGTTGAAATAAAAAAAATAATCAACTTAAGTAAATTTTTATCAACAATTTCTAAACCGTCCGATCATGGTCGAATTAGTTTAGTTGGAGTAATTGAAATTGTTGATTTAAAAAATAGGAAAAATCAGAAAAAATGATTAAAAAATCAGAAAAATTGTGCAATACCTATATATTCCTATGATGATTATTAACTAATCAAAACCTTAAATCTTGATAAAAATAATTTTAATTATTATGTATCTTTAATCATTTTTAAGTTTCTACTATTGCTCTATAATTATGTTCTTTTAATCTAAAACATGCCTTTTTTTTTCAAAATTATTTAAATAAAAATAATCAAGCCGAATAATCAAATTTGTTAATTTAAAATAACATAAAATTCAATACCCAACCCAAATTTCATTAGGTACGATTTATTTTAAATTAAACCAGCGTATAAACCAAGTTCCATTTTCTTTTTTAATTTGACCTATATTTGAATCGAATTTATCAGGTCTTCGGTAACCGTGTATAACCCTTGTTACGTTAACAAAATCACATTTTAAACCAAATTATAAAAGGTAACCCCTTCTAATCTTTATTATTAATTACCCTCCTATTTGATTGATTTTTTTTCATCTATATTGGATACCCCTATTTAGTTGAATCAGAAATGATTCTATTATCTCTGTATTCACAATTCAATATACATAAATATATACCACATATATCTATTTTCGATGCCCCTACTTCCAAAATTTGTTCATGTAATTTGAAATACTCGAATGGTCGACTTTTTTTTTCATCTTAGTTTTTTTTAAACAAGCAAATTATAAAAGGTTTTTCATGTAACTTGGAATACTCGAATGGTCGACTTTTTTTTTCATCTTAATTTTTTTAAACAAGCAAATTATAAAAGGTAACCTTCTAATCTTTATCATTAATTACTATATTAATAAAATTACTAAATATTATATTAATTTAAAAACAATATCTACAAAGTTAATTAAGTAAAGAATTTTATCCCAACAAAATATCAAAATTGAAGTCAACAAAGGGAATTTTGAAATGCAACAATAAAAATATTATTGAATCGAATTGGAAGTTTACATTCTTGAATAACATGCTTTATGATATACAATTCGGTATCAAAAGAAAAAAACACAAATCCCAGAAAGGCTTTCCCTGTAATCACCGAAAACATGCACCTGCAAATGGATTATGAAGTGTGTACAATAGAAGAGGCCGCACATACAGCAGAATTACGAGGTCAAATTACAATCATGAGTTTAAAAATTAGCAAAGCAACCTCTATTCTACACGATAATAATTTAAAAATGTAGTGCTGTTATTTAACTCCTATCTCGTGGGTAAAACAAGAGATGAAGCTGATGACAACACTAAGTCTTTGAGTTTTTCAGACCATGAACCACTTGAAAAGGAACAGGGTATAGTGAAACTCATTAAAATTTGTCATAAATGATAGTTAATTACTATAACATCTAACAAAAACAGATTAAAAAGCAGCTGAAAGAGGGTGCATTAGGTGCAGTCATTAATTTGAAAGCACTGAATAAATATTGGACTGCTCCTATTTTAAAAACGGACAATCTTTTGGACAAATGGGCAAAAAATCTGAACCCTTCACAATGTTAATCCAACAATTCAGAATTATAACTGCACCAAATCCTGATCCAACCTCTAACGAACACACCTTACATATAACCTCAGATCAATCGTTGCTGTCATTGGAAATGTAGTAACACCAAGTAGGTTCTCCCTGAAAACAGGGACTTGGGTAAACTACAACCTCAAACAAGTTGGATTGAAACATCACGGGTGAGCTTATAACAGGTTTGTGTTACCACAAGCAAAGGACTAATGTTAAGGATACAAAAATGAAAATTGTAGCTGGAACTATATTAGAAATTCAGTAATTTAATTATCACGAGTAAAAAACTTACATTTTGTGGCAATAACATCAATCCTAACTGAATCACATGCAATGGCAGAGATAATGTTTTACAAAAACAAAAAATCATTAAAATTTAATAAAGAAACCTTAAAATCATTTTCTCAGCACAGTATAAAGCCTCAGTCAAACCCATTAATATCATATGAATGTAGCTTCACCAAGTAGGTTCTCCCTGAAATCAGGGACCTGGCTCCACAACACCTCATACAAGTTGGATTGAATCATCATCAGCAAACACCAACACCAAACTATCAAATCCCATTGTTAAATAGATCTAATCAATTAAAAATAACGGATTATTTAAATACACGATCTCAAAACATGAGCTTTGTAGAACATTCTTGAAAGGCTCAGAATACGTAACAGCTCTATCAATCACAGTTTTTCAGAAGCAGAACTGGCATTAAAAGCTGAATAGATATCCTCATAGCCAATTATCAGAAAAGCAATTGCATGAGTTTAAAAGATAAAAAAAATTAAACCATTTTGTAACAGAAAAAAATAATCTACCAATGGCTCATATCAAGAAATTCAACCATATTTCAACCAATTGTGCTTCATCGAGAATTCTCAGAAGCGCGGATAAGGTAAAATCATAGCCGAGAAATTCTAGAAAGAGAGAGAAAACCATAAGATTGAACTAGTTATGTGAGGGGTGTTTTCGGAGGAACAAAAGGAAGTGCCCCACAAGTGAAAACAACCGCGTTTCAATTTGCGCCTCTAGGACTAGCTTTGATTTCACTGAACACGTGGTGCTCGAAAACAAGCTGAAGGTATAGCGAGGCAAATTCGATATTTGATTGGGAGAGAGAGAGAGAGAGAGAGAAACAATGGAATGAGAATGGGATTTGGCCGTTACTTTGACACAGATCAGCCGTGAAGAACAATTAGGGCTAAACTGCAACACGAACGGCAATGATTTGGCACGTGCATTGGGGCTTTCGCTTCATGGGGATCTCGGAGAAGCCCGGGAGGCATCGTGCGGTGGAATTAGACGATAACTGAAGTGAATTTGAACGCTAAACACTCATCTCAAAATAAGCTGAATGTTCTGAATCTATGCTTTAAACCCTAGTTGCTACAAGTGTGAGAGGTTAAGAGGAGATAGAGGATTTTATAGGCACAGCAAAAGGCAAAACCCTAGAAATTTTCTCTCGCCAACGGTAACTAGATTGGTTTGCTTACCCAACCCAACAACCACATTGGGTTATGCTTATTGGGTGAGGTATCCAAATTATTTTTGTTGGTCCAATTTTCAATTTTTGCACGGATTTGTTTTACTATTAAAAAGCATTAAACTATGATTTCAATGTATATATTTTTCTCATGACTGTATTATTATTTTAGGGTTTTGAAAGCTAAATCAATTTTTTTTAACTTCGTGTTGATTGATTGGAGTTGTTTTCGGCTATTGAAAACAAATTGAAGAAAAAAATTGAAAGTATACAACAATTAGGGTTTGTTTGATTTTTTTTTTTTAAATTACATTTTAAAATAATTTTATAAAACTATTTTTAGAAAAAAATAAAAATATTTTTTGTTTGATAATTTAATTTTTAAAACTGTTTTTAGTTAAATTTTTGTTAGTTTTAATAAGAGAAACAGAAAAAAATTAAAAATATCCAAATAGTATTTCGATTTTTCAGTTTTAAAAACTATAAATAAAAAATTATTTTTATAAATAGTTCTTAAAACTTACATTAACAAACATTTTTTATTTTTAAAAACAAAAAATTATATTTAAAAAGAGAAAACAAACAAGCTTTTTTTTTTGTCCTTCTTTCATAAAAAAAAGTTTTTTTAGGTTTTTAACTTTCATTTATAAAAGCAGAGAAGTATATAAAATTCTGAATAGTGAAAATAGCTTATAATTAAAAGCTTATTGAGATTATCGTTGAATGAGAACGATTTATTTTTATTTAAAACCAAGCATGCAACTATTATACAATTTTCTTATTTATACATAATTACATTTTAGCTTATCGTTGCTTTTATGCATAATTTTAGGCTAATTTGATGCTTGTATATATTATGATTATAATGCCTTTTATTAAGATTTTGAAGAAATCTGTTGTTGACATTTAATAAGTTTTTTATTAAAAATAATAATTGGATCGAACTGGATTAAAGCATTTAAAATTGAAATTCGATGTGATTTTCAAATTCAAAGCAAATAAATTGATACCTGATATGAAAAATTGAATGGGGTGATTCAAATGATATTTTCCTTGAGTACTAAACTAGACTAAACAGTGAATACTCTTTTGACACTTTTTTGTTTTAGAAAAATGATTCAACATTTATTAAGGACCAAACTAAAAGATAATGTCAACTATTTTCTAAAAAAAATTACGTCAAATATAAGAATCAAATATATCCAATCTATAGAAACTTGGCCTTTCTTTTGCATCTTTTTCCCCTCCATTTCACTCCTTTCATTCCAAAAACATAAAATTCAACGTTGGTATAACAAATAAGATGTAGGCTGCAGTGGCCTCAAATCAAAATTGCAAAATGCATTAACTGATACAATGAGACAAGAAGCTTATATGCAAAGGCACAGCCTAGTGATTCATTTCTCCATTTTAAAACATGCGAAGAACACTACAATAATTGCAACTAGAACAGAATAATAATCTCTATCCATCAATATCATATCCTACATCAACTTTATAGACCACAAAACTTCATTCTTCTTTAGACTCTCAGCTACATTAGTTCTCTGCAGTCATACAATCATCCAAGTCAAGTGCCGGTACCCAGCCCACTTGGCGGCGATTCTCAAGCCAATAGCCAAAGCTGCAAAAAGAAGTGGAATTGGAAGCCTCACTCTTGTTTCTACTTCTTCAACTTCTTTCCCTTCTGAAAGCATTTTGGAATGCTGATATATAGCTAAGGCCGTGTATGAAACAATCACCAAAACTCTAACCCAAGGCTCCCCGACAGCAGCCAGCACGGCTGCAACAGGCATTGCAGATGAAATATCATCGCTCTTCTTAACAAATTTTGAGAAACCATACACACCAAGCAGAAGGGTCCAGAATAAAGGTTCAGAGATATAGCCTCTAACAGCAGCATATCCAATTAGACCAGACACAGTAAGAACATAAGGTTGGTTGTTTACACAGTTCGGCACAGTAGCTTCGGCAATGGCTAAAACAATTGATGCTAGCACAATGATGATGGTCAGGTCTGGTACAGGAGCATTGGCAATTATCCAAGAGTAACAAGCCCGCACTGTGTAAAATAAATCCTCTGCGCATCTAACTGAAAAAGTGATTGGACTTCCTATGAAATGGTAGACCACAGCCAAAGCATATTTCAAGAGGTATCCTATAAAACGAACAATGGCAAATGCAGCATTCCTCCAATTTGACAGTTCAAATAGAACAGCTCTCCAAGCATAGATGAGAAAAGCCATTACTGTACATTGACAAAGAATCAAAGTGTTGAGTGTGCAAGAAAAAGAGAAAAACATGTCATTAACGAAATAAAACAGTTGGAGAAAAAGTGTTATAAATGAGAACTAAAAGAGCATACAATTTTTAACTTCCAAAAGCAATGACAAGTACATATATGTATGCAGCATCAATAATACGAAGGAAAAGCCTAAAATACTACATCCCCCACAGATGCACGACAACCTATTCCAATTATTTTTTAGTATTATATTATTTATAAAAAGCTTATGAACCACTTATAATAGTTTATGACTCTCATAAGCTCATCTTTGCTTTTATTTCAATAAGCTTCTCAGCCTAACTCACAAAAATAAGTTGTTCTGAGCTTATCCCAATAAGTTTTTGTGGTTAAATTTATGGCGTAATTAAAAGCTTCTTGAATAAACACTTAATCAAGCAATTATCCAATTGCACCCAGATAAATAAATGTGTATCTAAAATGTCTGAATCAATACTCCAACAAAGGTTAAGAACTACAGCGCCACTAAAAAATCTAAATTTGGAACTGAGTTTCATTTCAACAGAAGTAAGCAATTTCATCTACCTAAATTGTATCATTTTGTGTGTGTGAAAGTCCCAGCCCTGAATGACTGTTTGACCATGTCATGAAACACAAAAACATAATGAAAAATTCATACTTAAAAAAAAAAAAAAAACAGAGAGACTTCCAAATCTCCCATTTACTCATAAAACCTCTAATCAAATGAAACATTCATAAAAAACCAACCTACACAATTCCATTATCACAACACAATTACCCTGCTGAAAATAATAATAATATTAAAAAAAAAAAAACAGTGAACGAGGGAGAGAAAAAAAAAGTCAAATTTAGTGGATAAGCAAAGAAAGGCACATAGAGAGAAATGGAACAGACCCACAAACCATGGCCACCTAAGAGGAGGAGTGGGAGCTTCTTTAGCAAGATACCGAAACCGTTCCGGCATAGTACTCTGTCCTCGAGCCTCCTTCTCTGCTTCATCCACCCCAACGACGACATCACCGCCACCCCCTTTGTCGTTTACAGCGAAACGCTTCCCCAGAGAGAATCTGGGGGGTTTGAGAGAAAACCCAATAATGTTGCGTCTGAATTGAGGCCTAAAGGCATGGACTTTGGTGGATGGGAACGAGGGTTTGAAGGACACGAGGGATGGGATTGTGGTGGACATGGCTACGACGTCGTCTTGGATTACAGAGGGATTGCCATTGCTTGGAAGTCAGAGTGGAACAAAATCCTCAATTTGCTGCACTCACTTCAGCTACGATAAACACACTCGCTTCAGCTACTGTTACTGCCCTATTTGCCTTTTGCTTCTGCCCTTTTCCGACCCGAGTTACACTTCTTTCATTCTTTTACTTAGATAGTCTTTTTGTATGTTTTTTCTTCTTATTTCAATCTTTACAATTTTTTGTAAATTACTTTTTTTTAGTTTTGATAAATTGAGACCTTAGGATTATTTTAAACACCTTAAAATATAATATTTATTTATATTTTCTAATTTTTAAAATATTACAATTCACCAGAATCAATAATATTCTAATTGAATAGAATTAATATGATCGCAAAGCTCTTTTTCCAAACAAATTTTATATATAAAAAATTATATTCTGATGAGTTGTTCTTTTAGTTGAACTCAAACTTTAAGATTAATTTTAAGCATTTGAAAATATAACATTTATTACACATTAATATTTTATAAAATAATATTTGTTTCAATAAAATGTTGACATTTTTTAGTCATTTGTCCTTTAACACGATGTTCCTCTACCAAAGACATGACACAAAAATACCGACGATCTTCAAATCGATTATGCTATTGTTAAATATAAAAATATATATAAAGACAAAAAAAATATATGTAAACGCGTTTTTTCTCTTTACTTTTTATGGGATTGGATTAGTTATATTCCTCTTGCCAGTTGCTAGATAACTTCATATGATAAAAGTTTAATAAAATAATAATTTTTTCATATGCTTGCAAACATATTATTAAACTACAATAATTTTTTAAAAAATTAGTATTTTTGAATAATTAATTTTATGATTATAAAAATTTTATAATTATATATTTAATCTTCAAACTTTCTTTTTATTTTGACTTTCAAAATTTTAAAAGCTTTAATTTTTGTTTTTTATAAGCATATATTTTTTTGAAAAAAATTAATAATTTAAATAGTTAAATACCTGAATTAGTTTGCATATAATTAATACATCTATAATTTTAAAAAAAAAGTAAATAAAACCTTAAAACTTATCTAGAGCCAAAGCATGACTCTAAGACTCATCTACAATATTTTTGAACATAATATTTGCATAAGCAACATTTGTCGAATTAAAGAAACTTTACAATAGGTACTGATTAATATAAACTATAGTTAGTGTGGATTTTTCTTTTTACCACAGTAATATAAATTTTTAAATTATTTATCAAAATAATATTATTGAAAAATTAATTATCAAATTAGGTGAATAGAAATGTTGGATAATAATAATAATAATAAGTGAGTTTTTTTGCTGGGAATAAACAAAAATTTGATATGAACTTTGTTCGACCAATTGGGGGAATTAGTATCATAATGTACGATTGATATTGGTTGCTCTCCTCCAATGGAGGAATGGGTTTGTCTTAATTCAGATGGATGGTAAAGATTTTTTTATTATTATTATTATTATCACAATCAATTTCATGATTTGTTGGCTAGCTAAACTATGTTTAATGACGTCACAGATTAAAATAAAATAAATTTTCAGTTTTGATAGTATATATATCACATTTTGATAATGTATTTGTCTATATATATTATATACATATTTTTTTTTAAATTGACACATGTTATATTCTTATTCGTGATGCCTTTTAAAGTTAAAATTTAAATTTTTGTTTTTTTTCACTTTAAGTTTGAATTTAAAATTTAGTTTTTTCCTTATACTTTGACCAATTTTATTTTTATTTATTCTGAATTTAAAGTTTAATATAGAATTTAAAATTTAAAGTTAAAATTTGGTAAAATAAAAAGGAAGAAAGATTTTAAATTTTGAGTTAAACTACATTATTATAGAAGAAAATTTAAAATCTTAAATTCAAATTTTAATAAATGTAGAAAGAAAATTTAAGTTAAAAAAAATCAATTTCAAACTTTAGTTAAAATGGATGAAAATTAAAATTTAATATTTAAAAGAATATATATGTCAAAATGAGTAATGTATTAATGTTTAATGTGTGCATTATTCAACATTTATTGAATATTATTGAATTTTTTCATTTTAATAAATAGTTTTTATATAATATTGTTTTAATAAATATTTATCAACATTGTATTATTGCGATAACTATAATGAATTTAAACATTTAAAAATAATAAAATTATATTATATTTTGATATAATAAATATTTTTATTTTAATAAAAATTATTTTATAACTTTTGTGGGACCACACACATATCTCAATTTTAATTTTTCTCTTTGATTTGTTTCCATTCTTGCCCACAATTGCGCCAAGCAATCCAAGCTTTCCGAATTTGCTATGGGACTGGGCAATCAATTTGACGCGTAAAACTTAATTGTGACGCTATTGAATTATTAAATATTTCTTAAAAATATTAATTAGTAAGTTAAAATAAATCTTAAAATATTAAATAAAGTAAGACCTTTTTTTCAATAATAAATACTTAATAAATATATTTTCAATCTCTATAAATAAGATAATTAATTCTTTTAAAAATTATTAATATTTGTCTTCATGAATTTAATTTTTAAAATAGCTATTACTATTACTTATTAATATATATATATATATATATATATATAATATTTACCATTAATAATGAGAATGCCTATGCATTTTAATTTATTCTTAATTATACATTGTTACATTAAATTTAAAAATGCCATGCAATTGATTGAAGCTTGCTAGTATCATTTTATACTTTACAGTGACTAATATTTTGCCAGGTATATCCTTCACTTGAAATACAAATTTATAATTCTTTAAATTTGAAATAAGTGAAGTCTATAACTATTAATAATATAAATATTGATTCAAAAGTACAGATAAATATAAGATATGATAGAATCTTTTACTTTTACTTTAATTCCTTAGCAATTTGCTTAAATTCCAATTATATAAGCAAATTTAGAACACCCCAAAGTCAAAGTCTCATTTAATTTTTAGTTTCCTCTTAGGCCCTTTCTTTTATGAAGTACTATCAGAGTTTGGCACCATCCCATTGAATTTACCATAAATAAACAAATAAGTTAAATAGAAGGCTCGTGCTTCTGCAGCTTTGCGCGTTACCTTGTCTCTTATTGTATTTATTTGGTTTTGGAAGAATATTACTGAGTATGTTGATTTACTTGGATAGTGAGAAAGATGACCACTGACCCCTACAACAAAATCATACATCAAAAGATAAATTAAAGCTCGCAATTATGCCTATATACTATGGATGCGATTTCACTCTCTTGTTTACTCCAAATCGATAGATTTACACCTCAAATTTTCCTATGTTAACATCCATTAGAGTTTGCAGCCTTCACTTATTTTGTTGCAGGTGCGATTTTCCTAGTGTTAATGTTGTTTTTTTTTTTATTGTTGTGGAATTGTATTTTTAAAATATGAGTTTAAGCGCATGAGCCAAGTTGATGAACTAGGTTCATTGTTGGATTGGATTATAAAAACTTTAGTTCATTCAAATTGTGGGATACTATGACTCAACTCACGGATTATATCAAGTCAATCCGTGAAAAGCTGAGATATATTTGTTTAATTTTTATTTTGGTATATATATATTTTTTATTTAATGATTGAGGAAGGAATGAAATAGAAAGAAAGTGAGAAACACTCCTGATTAGATGTAATGAAGAAAGGAAGGGTGAGAATTTTTTGTTGGCCCACCATAAAAAAATAAAAATAAAAATAAAATCCTCTAAACATTACAAGAGGGAAGTGAGAGGGGGTGGTGGGGTAGGCACAGGAATGTGTTTTTATTTTTAAAAAAATTTAAATAAAATTTTTATTAAGAAAAATTTAACAAAAAATAAAAATTTTAAATTAATTTTAAATTTTTATGAATATTTTAAATGCAATTTAATTATTTTTCACACTTTTTTATTCATCTAAATAAGTGAAATAAATTTTTTATTATTTGTTTTCTCTTATTTCAGCTCATTCAAATAAAAAATATTGTTCACTCTATTTCTCATCTCATCATCCTATTTCTTTTTTTTTTTCTCTATTTCACAACACAAATTTAATGAGTTAATCCCTGACTTGAGTTTTTCCTCGACTTACAATAAATGTGAGCTGGGTTGGGTTGAGTCGTTTAGAGGTCAGCTTGTGGTGAGCCAATTATAATTGATCCATTTTAACTGCTCTATTTACCCACAAATACATTGTGTATAGTTTGTACTGAGAAGTGATTGGAGTTTATTTTAACCATTCATGTGAGATTTAATCGACATTACCGCTTGCATAAGAGTATACTTTGGTTTCATACTGAAGAAATCATGTATTGATACTAATAGGAAAATAAGTACTAACATCTGAACTGTCTTATAAAACTGAAGATGAGATGAACTAATTACAAGGTAAGAAATACAGAATGGAAGAACTAAGGAAGTTTCAATGGGTGTGGAGATTGTTGATATTGACTTGGTTACCCTTGAAAGCCTAAAATTATTCCTAATAAACATTTGTAGCTTAATTTACGTGAAGTGGCCAATGTATATTAACAAGCACATATATAAACTTCTTACTGTATGATACCTGCGCGTGCTTACATCTTTGTTAATGTATACCCTAAATTGTTTTTGTTCATAGGTGTTATTGTTGAGAGATGGAGGATTCACTCAAGGATGATGGGCTAGTTTTATCACTCCAATATTCACAATCAGCAAATAATCATAGGGAACCTAAATTTCAGAAATTTACACCTGAGAGTCAGAACCATTCAATTTCTATTCCTCTGAGACACTGTAATTCTATATTGAATGAAAGAAGAACACTTACAGAGGCAAGTGGCAACGTTAATTGGGAAATTTATAGCCATTTTCAGCAAAATCAAGGTGCAAGTAGGAGGGAAAGCTTGGAGAAATTTCCTTCAGTAAATGGAGGTTCTGTGGAAATTGATTCTTATTCTACAACTTGCCCAAGATATGATCACACAAAAAATGAGGCAAACAAGTCAAAATTTTCACATGTACTTACTCAGGTGAATCTTGCCCTAAACTAGAATTTGATTTTTCCACTCAGATATGTTGTTCTAGAAATAAATAATACATTGCTATAATATATGTCACGTTTGAATATATGCATTTGATATTTGATTCTGAGCAGAACTTTTATGGTGGACTATTAAAGAAATAAATTAATAATTTTTAATTACTTTAATTATGTAATTTGCAGCTCCATAAAGTTCATAAAGGCTTGGTTACAAAATCATCATCATGTTTACATATTCCTGGAGTCATCAGCCCTCATGCCAAAGCCGTGCAGCAGTGGAACAGAGTTTTTGTCAGTGCTTGTCTGGTGGCAGTTTTCGTAGACCCTTTATTTTTCTTCTTGCTATCAGCAATCAAGGTACTATAATTTTTCCTTTTTTATTTTTTATCAATAAAAATAGGGAATAGAAGTTGTTATATTGACTCATTTGACTGCACATATATTGTTGGTACTTGTTTTTGTGAATAGAAATTACATTTAGCAAAGCAGAAAGATGAGGATTTCTTGAAAATGAAAATGTTAAGCCATGAGATGTTTTGGTGACAATTTACTGAACAGAACACAGAAAAAACTTGTGGGCCTATTTATAATGATAGCCTTTTCTTAATTGGGACCGTGTGAGGTGGTTCAAAGAAAATCATGATCAGAGGAATTGGTTGATAGATTGAGCACCTTTTGGATCAGAAAGCTATGTCGTTTGTAATACATCTAACCAAGTTTTCCAACTGATCTAGAGGGTATGATGAAGAAATTTGTTGCTAAGTTATGGAGGATTATAGAGGGATTCAAGTTCTATATTGTAATACATAAATGTTTCAACCAACTTTCACATTTTAAAATGGTTTGCTAAATCTTTGTTTTGCATCTGAATCTATTTATATATATGCTGCCTGCAATGAAAGAGTAAGTGTAAGAGAGTAATTTCCATAGTATAATTAGACGTTAAGTGATCCCTTTCTCTGTGCATTCATCTTGAGTTTGAGCAATTGTATCAAGCATGAATTTTAGGGATATTATCAGGAGTTGTAAAACTTCTATTTGTGAAATAGCAGTTTGGTTAATCTTATAATCCTTATTGTTAACGGCTTGAATTCTCTAATAATCTAAAGCAGCAGTTATCCTCCAATATATTTTTAGTGTAACGTTTGAGCACTGAAATTTGTGGTAAATGTTTCAACTTATTATAATACCATTGCACTAAAATCCTTTTTGATTTTTGTTTCAATGCTTCCTAACATGGCTGATATAACTTTATACGAGGGGACTTAACAGGTTTAGTATTTTTTTTCGAATCTTAAGAACATGTTTATTGTTGGAAAAGATAAAAGAAAATAGACAAAAGTTGGTAGCCAAAGATAAGTCAAATGATACTGTTCTCAAGGAATATTTCGCCACACATAAATTTTTGGATGAACTCATGCGATAGAACTAAAGAAAACAAAAAAATTTTAAACCAGTCTCAGAGAGAAGTGAAGGAAGAAAAAGGACATGAATAATAAGTGAGATAGAATTAGGAGAGTAGTGGTCTATTATAAGAAATAATATTTCACCAAGTAAAACCACTTGTAGATCAAGTCAAACTTATCCCTCCCAAGGTTTTAGATAAGATAAATATTCTCATTTTATAAAATGAAATTATTTTCATTTCTCTTCATTTAGTCAATGTGAGCCTAGTTCCCCTTAAAACTATGGAAATATTCACAAAAATATCCAACATTTCTTTCATGAACTGAGTTGTGATAATCACAAAATAAATTGAATTTATTTGTCTACTTCAGTTTTTTTTTTTAAAAATCTTCTTTTATATTTACACAGTTCTTCCATGCCTTGTTCAGGAATTGAAATGCATTGTTATTGAACCGGCCAATAGTCCCATTACAATTGCAATTGTAATTTTTAGAAGCCTGACCGATTTTATATACCTCTTGCATATTCTTCTCCAGGTAATTGCTAATTGCTTCTTCCTGTGGTTGATTTAATCGAAAAGCTGAGGACTATTGATAATATATAGAATATTATTTTAAGTTGTGTAGTAGCTAATTAGCAATATGTCTGCTTTTTCGATCAAATCAACCACATTATTAGCTAATATATTTGGATTGGATAAACTCTAATACACTAACAATATGTCAGCTTTGTCCTTGTGCAGTTTAGGTTGGCTTATGTGGCCCCGGAATCTAGAGTGGTTGGTGCAGGAGAGGTGGTCGAACATCCAAAAAAAATTGCACTCAATTACCTTAGGGGCTATCTTGTCATTGACATATTTAATGTAATGCCAGTTCCTCAGGTGAGTGTCCTAAAACATGTTATCGCTAGTAATATGTATTTTTATGTATTTTATACATATGGTAATTGAAAATTTCTTTCAGCTAAACTAATAAAATTGGCTATACCATCATACTAGATATTTTATTTGAAAATACTTTTTTTGGGTTGATTCTCACCCTTGACTTGATTGAATCTACAAGTAAATTTGGTGATCTATACTTGACATATATGCTTATTATAGTGGTGATTAGAATGGTGTCACAATTTAAAGTTCCTTCTTCCTCTAAGTCTGACCCTCACAAAAGAAAGGATGCTAAAAAATGTCCTCAATTTGACTTTGAGAATACTTTTGTTGTGTCCTTATCTGGAATTTGTTGTGTAAGGATCACTCACGAGCCAGATGCCAGCACTAACCTGGTCTGGATTCGTTCATGAACTGCGCAAAAGCATAGGATGCTTATGGATCTTACAATGCACCTGTGATCATTCTAATATACATAGATAAAATTTAACAAATAATGCACTATTTCTTGTTATTTTCTTTTGATGCTAAAATCTTGTTTGTGCATCTTAATTGTCTAGGAATCAAAACGCTCAAATATTAGTTTATTTATGTTTTCCAGGATTTTGTATTCATTCTATATTTGCATAATATTTTTTTCGTAATATTTATTTTGCAGATTATATTATTTATGCTACCAAAATTCTTTGGATCTTCTGGAGCTCAAGCTAATACTGAAAAAAATATTTTACGGGTTTCTATTCTTCTTCAAAACCTTCCCAGATTGTGTAGGTTTCTTACTCTGCTTGCTAGGCAGACTCCAAGTGGCTTCATTTTTGAGTCAGCATGGGAAAATTTCATTATAAATCTTCTCATTTTCATGTTGTCTGCCCATGTTGTGGGTTCATGTTGGTATCTCTTTGGATTACAGGTGAGTCTAGTTCATTACACTATAAAGATTCTTTTAATTGTCCATAGTGCTTAATAATTTACTATAAATACTTTCCTTTGTATAGTGATTCACATACACATTTAACATGTGTATCCTAATAGCTATTGACCTTCAAAAGTTTAGTCTTACATTATTTTTTATTAACATCAACAAGAACTGTAGGACTAATATACTTCGAGAGAATTTTTCTTCTAAAATGAACATTATTTTGATCAGTTCATATCATGACAAGGATATCTTTAGAAAGGAAAAGGATATGTTTCAGTAGAGATCCTCATAATGCTAACTGTTTTTTGGCCTGCTAATAGTACTCTTGTACTGCAAAACATTTTAATTAGTGGACATAATACACTAATACTAGAGGCTTATCATTTTAAATGTAGCAAGGTCATTGATTTCCTTACTAAACTTCTTGTGGATGATAGTAATAGCATATCCTTTAATAGGGGCTTTATTCTGGATGTTAAGTATTGGTTTCATATTGAATACAAGATATATTTAAATATAAGTTTTTCACATACATGAAGCTTAATCTTAATATGTTTTCCTCTTTCTCCTGTTCTTCATCCAGAGAGTTAACCAATGCCTTCGAGATGCCTGCCACAGCTCCAACATAGAGTCATGCATGAGGTTTATTGATTGTGGGAATGGGAATTCTGTAGACGTTTTCCTTGATCCAACGTGGAGTAGCTGGATAAATGATACGAGTTCTAGTGCTTGTTTTCAAAAAGATGGTGGTTTCAATTATGGAATCTATGCTGAAGCAGTTGGCCTTATTGCTATAAATGATAGTGTGTTTATTCAAAAATATGTTTATTCATTGTTCTGGGGGTTCCAGGTATTCATTATTTTTTCCCTTTCACTTTCCATTTTTTGCTGTTTTCACTGTATTTCAGTTATCATGTGCTGATTGATGCTCTATACATGTTATTATATTCATAATAATACTCATTTTCTCAATTTATTGAAGATCAAGAAATTGCTAATTTCTTGCAGTATTGGAAATATTTTGTGCTTTAAAATTTCATGGTTCAAATTTCAGACATAATTAAAACAAAGTAAGAGCATGGTTGTGAATTAAGTATTTGCAAAGCATGAGAAGTTAAAGACCAGAATGCAAATCTTGATGTGTTTTTTTTGTCTGTTCCCAAAGCAAATCAGCACTCTAGCTGGAAATCTAACTCCAAGCTACTTCGTTTGGGAGGTTCTTTTCACCATGGCTATTGTTGGGCTAGGCCTATTGCTCTTTGCCCTCCTCATAGGAAATATGCAGAACTTTCTTCAGGCTCTTGGACAGAGGTATGATTTTCGGAGTGGTTTCTTTTCCTTAGGATTGACATGAAATAGTCTTAGGTTGCTGCATAATGCATAGAATATCTTCAATGCATCAATAAATATGGTTGATGAAAATTATTTCATTTTGGAGAATGCTAACTAGTTAAAGAATCAGAAGTAGGAAGTTTTATCTAGAAATGTTACTCTTATTATGATTTTCAATATACCCTATCATGATTTCTATTTTTTTTTTAATGGAAAATATTAACTAGTGCCTTAAGAGTAGTGCAATAAGGAATAAAAAATAAAAATATTTTGTTAAAAAGGGTAAAAATGTACTTACATTTATGTTTTTTTAATATATTTTAACATGATTTTTAAGAAAAGTTTACTATTTATAAATTTGTTAGGGCCATTTAAAATTTTGACTTACTAATATTTCCAATGGTGCATAGATGGATATATATGTTGAGCCTTATTATTGTTTCTAATTCCTTTCTAATTGAAGATTACGTCAGCTGAATTATTTTAACAGGGTGGGGTGTTTGCTTTTAATATCAGGAGATTGGAAATGTCATTGAGACAACGAGATTATGATCGATGGATGAGCCATCGATGCTTGCCGGAAGAACTAAGAAGGTATGTTGTTTTAATTTACATATTAGAGAGCTATGAATGTACATGCGGTGATGATATTCATAGACATTGTCATCTAGATTTTATTGGTGTCTTTAAGCTTAAGTAATGCAGTTCTCAATTTTAACTCTCTTCCAAAAAATCACCAAAATGCGAAAGGAAGACAACTTTTTAAATTAATTGAACAAAATTATCCTTTATTTAATAGTTTTTATTTGACGTTCTTAAATACATAATAGTAAATTTATTTATTTTCCTTCCCTCCTCTTCTTTGGTAATTAAACAAGTGTCCTTGCCCTTTATTAAAATGTCCCTATTTTCTTGGCAACCAAACAATACGAGTGTTTTAAATTATGGTCTGCGGCTGCAATGTCAAGGATTTTAGAGTCTCTGCAACCACATTGTGACTGCAATTGCGAGACTAGGCACATTTATTTGTAATTTTTTGCATTATTAAGGATTGCGATAAATAATTGCAACCGCAATAAAACATTGCAATGGGTTGAGAGAGACATAAATGTTGTTTAAAGGGAGGAAAAAGAAATTACAGTAACACTGTTTATTGATTGATTGATTAAAATTTATTAAGAATCACAAATTTATGTATATTTCATTCCTAATTTAATGGGTCTTACTCATAATTTAATTATTTTTAATTCATTTTAATTTATAAAAGAAAATATGTTAAAAAATGCGTCATTGGCACTGCTAAAGAGAAAAAATGTATACTTTTGCTGAGTTATAAGAAAAGTACTTTTGTTTTCTTTAGCATTTTCCTCATTTAAACAGAGTAATGGGAGAGAGGCAATGTTATTTCCATGTGATGTAGGCAAGTAAGAAGCGCTGAACGGTATAACTGGGTTGCCAGCAGAGGGGTAAATGAAGAAAAGCTTTTGGAGAATCTGCCTGAAGAACTTCAAAGAGATATAAGACGTCATCTCTTCAAATTTGTGAAGAAGGTAGCAATGTTAAAGTCATATTATGTGTTAACATCTTTGTATAAATTACATAACATATTTGAGGAATGAAATCCTTTGGCAGGTTAGGATTTTTTCCATTATGGATGATCAATTAATAGATGCAATTTGTGAAAGGCTAAAGCTGAAGATATTCATTGAAGAAAGCAAAATTCTATATCCTGGTGGTGCAATTGAGAAGATTATTTTTATCATACGTGGAAAAGTGGAGAGCATAGAAGACAAAACTATAGTTTCCTTATCCGAGGGAGATGTTTGTGGCGAGGAACTTCTCACATGGTGCCTCGAACATTATTCAGTAAACAAAAGTAATATATATTATTACTTGATTATAGCCTTATAAAAATTAGCTCTTTGAACTTATGTATGAGAAAATAGTTTAATTATTTATGTCCTTTTTTCCGTTAATAATAAGGATTTGTTATTTTGTTGGATAAAACTAGTTTATAAAAATGCTGAATCTGTCACAGATGGGAGAAAAGTAAAGATTAGTGGACAGAGGGTACTTAGCAACAGAACAGTTAGATGCTTAACGAATGTAGAAGCGTTTGTGCTGCAAGTTTCAGATCTTGAAGAGGTCACTAGTCTTTATGCAAGATTTTTGCGGAATCAACGTGTTCTTGGAGCTATCAGGTTAGTGCCTGCTGCGTAGTGTGATTTGCATTTGTGTTTCTTTGTGGTATAGCTAGTTGAGAAATTGGTATTAATAATCTTTTTTGAAGGGAATTCTTAACTAGTGTCTTAAGAATATCACTCAGTGTTTCTCTCATGTTCTTATCTTGAGAATTCGTCTTAAAAATTATGATTAGATATTTAAAACCATAATAAGTTGATTGTGTATTTGATATATTTGTGGTAGGTATGAATCACCTTACTGGAGAGCTTTTGCAGCAAAATGCATTCAAGTAACTTGGAGATACCATAGGAGGCGCCGAACGCGTTACGCGGGAACATGCTCATACCCCCCTCAATCTAACCATTCATTAATAAATAGTTAATTATTTGCTGTCGTAAATTATAGCATTCACTCATCTATAATATTAATTTCTGTTGAGATTACAACGTTATTATTTATTTAGTGACTCACTTACCTTATTTTCACTACTAATAATAAATACATCACATGCGCTATTTTCTCTCTTTATACCAACACTAAACTCTTACCAAACAAGAGCTTATAGCTTCAATTTAATTATAAAATTTATTAAAATAAATTATATATCACTTTCATAAATTTCTTGTACGCTCGTCTAAATATCCCTAAAAAGACATTATCAATATTAAGATTAATTAAAAAAAACTAACTTAAAACACTGATATACCACCCAAATGTATCAGAACGATAGAATGTTTTACATAGCAATAATTTTTCAGGAGTGTTCTACATTTTTGTTATTAATTATAAATATGGAAGCTCGAGGATCCCGTGTCAAGAAAATAATTACCTAACTAACATTTAAAAAAAAAAGAAGACGTCTTGATTCAGATATGAAATTAGCAGATGGATTGTTAAGTTCGTATATATTGACATTATATTTGTGTTTATATCAATTTGCTAAAGTATCGCTATATTATTCGATCAAGGTGAGTTGCCTCTCTGCTCTAAATATGAAGCTTCTTTTTCTGATTTGTGTGAAAGCAATACAGAGCATAAAAAACGAAAGATTACAGAAGAATTGAGGAAAATGACACCGGGTGTTCAAATGAAAGTTTTATCAATTTAATTAGTTAATATATTTTTTTATAAAATAAATTCTTATTAAAATTCAAAAAATTATTTTATATTTTAATATTTTACTTTATTTTAACATATTGCATGCTATTTAAAATAAATTTTAATTAGTACCTGGTCCTCACATTTCGTTTTTCTCTAAATTTGTTACTAAGTTATCAATTAAGAGACAATTTTTTTATGATTAATTAGTTAATAATACTTTTTGACTTAAATAATGTATTTAAATTGTGTCAAATTATATATATATATATATATATATATATATATATATTCTCTAGCTGAAAAAATTATGACGAGTAATAATAAATTATAACTTGCAAATATTATTATTGGCATTACAATCCAAAATAAATATCAGACAATAAATTGACAACTAGTATATAACAAAAGATGAAAGAACCAACAAAAGAAATGTCTTTAAAAAACAAGTGTGAAGTTGAAACCTAATGTAATTAGAAAGATGTGTATAAACAAGTAATTCTTCAAAAAATAATAAATAAACTGTTCTTATCATTTTATAAGTAAGTTCACTTCATCTTTAACTCAGTATATGTTATTATATTAATTTTAAAATTAAATAAACATACAAAAAATGGATAGGGTTGAAGAATTTTTATTTCTTTCTTGAAGGAAATATACTTTTAAGATCTCTGGCAAATTACTTGCAAGTGTGGTGGACGAAATGACAGGCCCAATGGGAAGGCCCAAAGTCTTGTAGACACGACAGTACGATTTGGTCATCATCAGTGTAATTGGAAATCCCATGGTTACAGAACCACGTGGCCACGTCTGTCACAGATCTCTTTCTCTCTCTCTCTCTCTTTCAGTGATCCAGAACCTCTCTTGGTGTTTGGCATCATAAGAAACTCAAACTCAAAGATTGGTTCAAAGTTCGATTCTTTATTGGTGAAAGATCAAAACCCAGCAGGATCTCTGTGTTCTGCTGGAAGATGAGGCGAAGAGGTGCAGATTTTCGAAGGCCAGGGAGAAGGAGGCTTCAAGATGTGGTCTGGTGGGCATCTTGTAGTGTTGTCGTTATTTTCTTTATTTATATTCTTACCAAAGGCACCACCAACATTGACTCCACCCACCATTTTTCCAGGGTACAATTATCTACTTTTGTTTGTTGTTTGTGTTTCTTAATTAGCTAATACATTTCTCTTCTTTCTTCTTTCTTCTTTTTTTTTTTTTTGTGTTGGAAAAAATGTGCAAATTGATTGAATTTTAGTCTTTGATTCTTCAATTTTGGCTTTAGAATATTGTATCAGCAGGATACTATTGCGTGTGAACCTTTGTAATTGTTTAGAACAGAGAGAGGAGAGAGTGATGGAGAAACAACTGTCTTTATTTGAACACTGAGACTTAGGATGAGAAACGTTAGGAATACACTTTTTTATTGTTGACCGAAGTTTATTGGAAATTACAAAAATTAGGTGGGTTCTACTTCTAATTTAGTGACTCTGACTCATGCGTTTTATAGTTTTCAATAAATTTTTATCCATAATTAAGAGTATGAAGATTATGTTGTACATTAGAGAGGGTTCTTAGCACTTCTTGATTTAGGAATAATGGTAGGGTAAAACTTAGATGCAGTTGCTCAAGTGTTATTGGTGTTGTTTAATTGATAACTAGCACTGACAACATCTAAGTTTTGTTCACGATGGTATTGTTAACTGTTGGGATGAGATTTGTGTGTTTGCGTTTATATGTCTACTGACTACTATTATTAGGGTATGTCAGTTTTGTTGGATTCATCATTCATTAGAAATATCTGCGTGCACTTTGCAGTAATTGATAAATTTATACCATTCCAGATGTTGCACTTGTCTTAAGCTATGCTAAATATGTTTCCTTCTCACAATGCAGATAAACTTCATTGTTTTCTGTATAGATATTTTTTTTTCCGTTTTTAATGTTGGAATTGTAACAGTGAGTAGTCAAACTTGGCCAGTAAAGAGAGAGTCTTGAACATTCAAAACAATATATGAACTTGATTTAAGTTATTAGAATTCAGTTTCCATGGCATGCTTGATTTCACAACATGATGTCAAAATATTATAATGATGATAAGTTCTTGGGGGGGGAGGGCGAAAGTTAAGATCCTTATTGTTCTTTGTTTACTAATTAGTTCTTACTTCCTGTAATGCAGGGACCTTTAAGGCATGACAGGATTACAGAAGGCTTCAATGTTACTGAAGACATGTTAAGCGCTGACTCTGTGGCAAGACAGATTAATGATCAAATATCCCTTGCAAAAGCTTTTGTTGTAATTGCCAAGGAAAGTAATAATCATCAATTTGCTTGGGAATTAAGTGCTCAGATTCGCAATTCACAGATTTTCCTCTCAAATGCTGCCACCAGGCGTGCACCTTTAACAATCAAGGAATCTGAACATGCTATTCATGATATGGCATTGTTACTATATCAGGCCCAGCAGCTCCATTATGATAGTGCAACCATGATCATGAGACTAAAAGCAAAAATTCAAGCTCTTGAAGAACAGATGAATTCTGTAAGTGAGAAGAGTTCAAAATATGGACAAATAGCTGCTGAAGAAGTCCCAAAGAGCCTATACTGCCTTGGTGTTCGATTGACATCTAAATGGTTCAAAAATCTTAGCTTGCAAAAGAAATTAAAGGACAAAAGACAAGTGGAAATGAAGCTTAAGGATAATAATCTATACCACTTTTGTGTCTTCTCTGATAACATACTTGCTACTTCAGTCGTGGTCAATTCGACTGCAATAAATTCAAAAAATCCAGACATGGTTGTTTTCCACCTTGTCACTGATGAAATAAATTATGCTGCAATGAAGGCATGGTTTTCCGTAAATGATTTTCGAGGGGTGACTGTTGAAGTTCAAAAGTTTGAAGACTTCAATTGGTTAAATGCTTCGTATGTTCCTGTGCTTAAGCAGCTTCAAGACTCGGAGATACAGAACTACTACTTCAAAGGCAACAGTGATGATAGCAAGACACCTATCAAGTTTCGGAATCCTAAATATCTTTCCATGCTTAACCACCTGAGGTTCTATATCCCTCAAGTTTTTCCTGACCTGAAGAAGGTGGTGTTCTTGGATGATGATGTTGTGGTTCAAAAGGATCTTTCTGGTCTTTTTTCTATTGATTTGAATGGAAATGTTAATGGAGCTGTTGAGACATGCATGGAGACATTTCATAGATACCATAAATATTTGAACTACTCTCATCCTCTAATAAGAACACATTTTGATCCTGATGCTTGTGGATGGGCATTTGGGATGAATGTGTTTGATTTGGTTCAATGGAGGAAAAGGAATGTGACAGGCATATACCACTATTGGCAGGAAAAGAATGCAGACAGGACATTGTGGAAACTTGGTACCTTGCCACCTGGGTTGTTAACTTTTTATGGACTAACTGAACCTTTGGATCCATCATGGCATGTATTGGGTTTTGGCTATACAAATGTTGATCCTCAGTTGATAGAGAGAGGGGCTGTTCTACACTTCAATGGCAACTCCAAACCTTGGTTGAAGATTGGGATGGAAAAGTACAAGCCTCTTTGGGAAAAATACGTGGATTATTCTCACCCTTTATTGCAACAGTGTAATTTTCATTGATTTTTAACTACGTTATAGTTGTAACTCCAGATAGGCACGATGAGTAGTAGCCAATAGTTTTTAATATATTTTTAGGTTTTGGCAATGAAAAGTGGTACCATGATTCTTGATCTATTCTTAATCTTGTTGGCTTGGATTAGTTGATTGCAAAAATTTTAAAATATCCAAATCAAACTAATCCAATTAAATATTAGTTTGGATTGTATTTTACCATAACATTCAACCATATCAACACTGTGAACACACTCTTTCTTCTCTGCCGTCCCTATTTCTGTTTTTAACCATGTTGAGAATATATTTCCCCTGCTCTATGAAATATCTTACCAACACAATTTTGGAACAAGATGCCTTTTCTTAAAAAAAAAATTATATTTTTATGGTTATCGGTAAAAATTAATCACCCTGGATTATAACTGCATACATTGCAGTTTAGTTTTGGACTGTAGGGGATCCGTTTCCTTTCCAGTGAACAGTAGCAACGTAATGTTTTTTTTTTTTTTTTCATTTTATTAATAAAACAGTTTGTGGTTTTTTATTTAGTAAGTGAGTAGAACTATTTGGTGAACAAAATAAAGAGAGTTTGTAGTTTTTGAACAACTATCCACTATATTTTGTCAGTATGTTTTCCCAAACGACTATAATTTAGAAGCTTATAAATAAAACAATGCCTGAGTTGATCTTATATTCTTCCATCTTTTGCTTCTTTCACTTCACTTTGTTAGCGTAGACGTCATTGATTTCACTTTCCTATTCTGAAATGAAAAAAATTAGCCTATGCTTAGGATTACTTGACGTACTTGTGGGGTGTATGAATTACCTTATTGGGGGCTGCATCAAAGTGCATTCAAGTAATATGGAAATACTATAGGAGACTTGTGGACGCTTTTGAATCTATCCGTTGATAAAAAAAAAAAAATAGTGATTTGATGTCATTTTTACTATTAAATTGATAAATTATTGTATATTTTTATCTATAATCTTATGGTTTATTTGATAGTCAAAATTAAGAAAAAAAAATGACTGGGTAAGTTATATTATATTGACATTATATTTATGCTTATATCGATTTCGCAAAATGAATGACCAAAAAAAATATATCGACTTGCTAAGATATAGTAATATCATTGGATGTAGGTGAGTTGCCTCTCTGCTCTAACAATCGATTTCAATTCTATTATTGCTTCTCTGATTTGCATGAAAACAATATATAGCCTAAAAAAAATGAAAGATTCAGATCTCGTAAAAAGTGTAGCATAGAAGATAAAGTAAACCAATAATTATAAATTTAAAATTAAAGATTAAAGTTATACTAAAATATATAAAATGATACATGAAATTCTAAAGTTAAATTTTTAACCAATAATCTTAATTAACACCTATTATTTTATACTTTATTTTTTAAAATACACTCGGTACTTTAGAAATATAAAATCTGATAACAAAGTTTTGAATCTATATTAAAAAGACGTGCCAATTTATCCGTGAAAGTAAGGTTATAATGTGATACAATGCAAATATGATACCGTTGATGAAAGTTGAAAGAGACTTATGGCCTAAAATAAGAATCAATTCTGGCTTTGAGAAGGAAAGAATGGCAAAGGGCATTTAAGCTGAAGATACTGCAAGTACGAACTGACTTTAACTACTGATTATTGATTACGTTCCAGAGTTATAAACTGTAAGGGTATACCACTTAATGATTTAATTCGCATTATTCTCAATTCTAAAATATTACAGATGGCGTGTATTATATTTGATCAATTGTTTTGTACAAGAATAATAAGAATCAAATTCCTAATCATGCATTACTTGATTAATAATTTGAAAAGATTTGTTATGCTTATTTGATCAGAATTTCACATATACATATTCAGTGAGATGATCTTTTTAATATAAAAGTAAAAACAACAAATTTGATAATTAACTTTGTCATAAATAACTAAGATTTAAACATATAATTCATGCAAATTATTTAAAAAGTTACATGATATTTTAAGTGATTATATGACTTCTATAATAATTGTATGATTCAAATTTATGTCTCTTTCCATGTGTGCAAGCGTGTATGTGCATATAATTGTTAATGTGAGGAATGCTAAATTATAACTTACAAATGTGTTACGGAAATGACATTATGAGTGCAAAGTAATTTTTAATAATAAATTAAGGACTAATAGTATATGACATAAAAGATAAAAGAAAAACAAACTTAAGGTCTTAAGAAATAAGTTGGATGTAATAACTAAATATAACATCTTCGTCTACATTCTATTTTTAATGCTTAGCTACTACTTCTTCTTCTTCTTTTTAAATTTTTTAATCAATGTGCAGCAAGACATTAAAAATTATGCTTAATAACATATAAAGGAATACAATGGTAATAGCGATGTAAAATATGCACATTATTTTCCCAGTTCACCTATAATATATGTTTGGTCACACTTTTTTTTCAAGTCATTTTATTAGAAAAACTAGCTGATATACCAGTGCTTTCAATGCATGCATATATCATTTTTTTGACAGTAATATATATGTACCTGATATCTTACAATATAAGTTCGAAGATTTTGAAAATTTGAAAGCTTAACCAAAATGCTGTAATATTATAGCTTAGAAAGAATGTGGAAGAATGCATTTTTGTTAGTAGTTGGAGCCGTTGTGTTCAATAAGGAGATAACTGAATCATAGAACCCACTCTTCTCACATGAATCTCTATGTTTGATGTTTCTCTCTCTCATTGTGCTTCACTCAGTGATCCAGAAGCTCTTCTGGGCATCAAAAGAAACACAAAGATTGGTTTAAAGTTCGAAGCTTTATTGGTGAAAGATCGAAACCCAGCAGGATTTCTCTGTTCTGCTGGAAGATGAGGCGAAGAGGTGTAGATTTTCGAAGGCCAGGAAGGAAGAGGGTTCAAGATGTGGTGTGGTGGTTATTGTGTAGCTTTGTGCTTCTTTTCTTTATTTACATTCTCACCAGAGGAAGCACCAACATTGACCCCACCCACCACTTCTCCATGGTAAAATTATAAAATAATGTTTTTTTAATAACTGTGTGTTTTCTCAATTAGTTAATTTTTCTTATTCTTAACGTGTTGCAAAGAGTATGCAAATTGATTGGATTTTACTCTTGTTGTTTGAATTTTAGACTTTGAGTCTTAAAGTCCAAAAAAGTCGTCAATTTTGTCCTTAAGAAAGAGTATTGCTTGGGACGAGGAAGGGTTACGGTGTAAATTGAATCCAATAAGCTTGAATAACAAAAGATATAACTTTATGCGGGGTATTCCTACCAAGCTTATTGGTCTGAACATGTTCGTGCAATAACAAGTACAGTGTTGGTTCGAGATGTTGCACTTAAGCTATGTTAAATATGTTTCCTTTTCATACAACAGGAAGAACAACAATGTCTTATGCTACATAATACAATGGCAGTGGGCTCAATAAAAAATCAACATTTCAGAGATATTATATATATATATATCATGATACTGTTGGGATTGATCCATGTGTAATTTTTGACAATTTTTTTATTTCTGAGGGCCTAACACAATCTTCTTCCTTTACCCAGGCTCAGACCGGCTATAATCATAAGTGGAGTTATGTTTCCTTTTCATAATGCTGAGAAAATTAATTGGTCCCTATAAAAATATTTATGAATTTTCTTTATAATATTGTAATCGGAATAGTGAATAGTCAAACTTGGCCAGAAAGGAGAAAGCCTTGATCATCAACACAGTATATGAACTTAAGTTATTAAAATTCAGTTTCCATGGCATGCTTGATTTCATATTATCGTGTCAAAATATTATATGATATTATATTCTTAGGGGAGGGAAAGGTAAGGTCCTTCCTGTCCTTTGTGTACTAATTGGTTCCTATATCCTGTTATGCAGGGAACTTTCAAGCATGACAGTGTTACAGAAAGCTTCAATGTTACTGAAGAGATGTTAAACTATGACTCAGTGACCAGACAAATCAATGAACAAATATCCCTAGCGAAAGCTTTTGTTGTAATTGCCAAAGAAAGTAATAATCATCAATTTGCTTGGGAATTAAGTGCTCAGATCCGCAATTCACAGATTTTCCTCTCAAACGCTGCCACTAGGCGTTCTCCTTTAACCATCAAGGAATCTGAACATACTATTCGTGATATGGCATTACTGCTATATCAAGCAAATCAGCTCCATTATGACAGTGCAACCATGATCATGAGACTAAAAGCAAAAATTCAAGCTCTTGAGGAACAGATGAATTCTATAAGTGAGAAGAGTTCAAAATATGGACAAATAGCTGCTGAAGAAGTTCCAAAGAGCCTATATTGCCTAGGTGTCAGGTTAACAACTAAATGGTTCAATGATCTTAGCTTGCAAAAGAAATTGAAGGACAAAAGAGAAGTGGAGATGAAACTTAAGGATAATAATCTATACCACTTTTGTGTCTTCTCTGATAACATTCTTGCTACTTCAGTTGTGGTCAATTCAACGGCTCTAAATTCTAAAAATCCAGATATGGTTGTTTTCCACCTTGTCACTGATGAAATAAATTATGCTGCAATGAAGGCATGGTTTTCTATGAATGATTTCCAAGGGGTGACCATTGAAGTTTTAAAGTTTGAAGACTTCAGTTGGTTAAATGCTTCATATGTTCCTGTGCTTAAGCAGCTTCAAGACTTAGAGATACAGAACTATTACTTCAAGGGCAACAGTGATGATGATAGCAAGACACCCTTAAAATTTCGGAATCCTAAATATCTTTCCATGCTTAACCACCTGAGGTTCTATATCCCTCAAGTTTTTCCTGAGCTGAATAAGATAGTGTTCTTGGATGATGATGTTGTGGTTCAAAAGGATCTTTCTGGTCTTTTTTCCATTGATTTGAATGGAAGTGTTAATGGAGCTGTTGAGACATGCATGGAGACATTTCATAGATACCATAAATATTTGAACTACTCTCATCCTCTAATAAGAGCACATTTTGATCCTGATGCTTGTGGATGGGCATTTGGGATGAATGTGTTTGATTTGGTTCAATGGAGGAAAAGGAATGTGACAGGCATATACCACTATTGGCAGGAAAAGAATGCAGACAGGACATTGTGGAAACTTGGTACCTTGCCACCTGGGTTGTTAACTTTTTATGGACTAACTGAACCTTTGGATCCATCATGGCATGTATTGGGTTTTGGCTACAAAAATGTTGATCCTCAGTTGATAGAGAAAGGGGCTGTTCTACATTTCAATGGCAACTCCAAACCTTGGTTGAAGATTGGGATGGAAAAGTACAAGCCTCTTTGGGAAAAATATGTGGATTATTCTCACCCTTTATTGCAAGAGTGTAATTTTCATTGATATTTAACTCTTATACTTGGAACTTCTAAAGATTAAGCATGAGAAGTTAATAACCAATGTAATGAAAAAGTATTGACCATAAATTGTTTGGTGAACATCCAGATTAACATGGCATCAAAGTTTTGAAGATTTGTGCCAATGTCTATTGAGTTTGGAACTCATTAGCTCTTAACAATTTTTCTTAGTTTTACAAAGGATGATCAAGTGAAAAACTATGAAGCTTTTGCTCCAATCATTTATTTTTGCCACCGTTCAATTTTATGAAGATTGAGTATAAGAAATTAAAATTAAGTATTCTGTTCCATAAGACTTTGTTTTGAGAAGCTAGAAAATCGTATTCCTCTTTCAAAGAATACGTTGATAATTTCATCTGACACACTTTCTAATTAGTTTGTGTGAATCTTAACTTTTCTGAAGGAAGTAAAAGTAAAAATAGAATTAAAAAAAATATAAGAGTAATAAACGTGCTCAAATCATCATGCTATTATGTTTTCATTAAGTAGATCTTCTCATATGCTTAATGGCACAACTTCTACTCCCCAAAATTTGTTATTCGTAGCTCCACCACAATGAACAAAATTTTACATACTATAACAACAATTATTTATGTTAAGAGTCATGTTCTAAATAAAAATATGAACTATTAAACATTTCATTTATCACTTGAGATTTTCGTGTTCTGATACTTGTTTTAATCCCACATATTTCTATTAAGTCCTTTGAAATTCCGAAGTTAGAAACAGTTGCAGGTAGCCGTTGCCCTTCAATCTGCCGGCGTTGCACAAACGGGCGGAATTATCACAAAATCACTTCCACTTGTGTTGTCGGCTAATACTTCACCACTTCGTTAAAACAAAACATCACTTTCCTTATTAGCCTCATCCTCAACCAACCCTTCTAACTTACTAGAGATTTTAATTGTACTCTTTTATTGTCCCTTTAAAGCTACAATATCAGCTGTGTCCATCGTTATTATCTATGACTACATTATCAACAAAGATTAACACAATTAAAATTATCCTACTTCAACTTAAACATTCAAATATTTATATCATACTTTTTGAATATTATTGTAACGTTATAATCTTCAAGTTAGATAATCTCTCAATTTTTTCAAAAAATAAAACTAATTATGGTTACAGATCATGATTACTTACAACATTCAATTAAATGCAAGAGGAGAAATTTCCTTATAATGCATAACACACAAAAAAGGACATTTGAATAATTAAATTTAAATTAAAAAACAAACGAACAAACACATCCTGATGCGCCGGCGCACATCTCTGTATTAATATTTTGCCGCGCCATTTTCATGTGCCTACTGTTACGTTACATTCACATATATTAAAAGCTCCTCTGTTTCGTTCCCCTGTTACCTCTGCTATGTTCCATTCTGTTCTGTTCTGTTTTCAAACACAATCCCATCATTATCTTTCATTATCTTCCCATGAAGAGCGATTCCCATGACTCAGTCTCCACTCATTCTCCCAAAATCAGAACTCGTCAAGTAAGTTCCCGGTTCATGTCTCCGAACCCAACCGGTTCACCAGAACGCGGTTCAGCTTCTGCCACTAATTCCCCGTTTCGCCGGTTCCCCTCCCGTGGCCACCGTTGGCCTTCGACGGCGAAGAGAAACTCCACCACTCTCGCCGATCACATCGGCGACGAAAGACTCAGAGAAAGGGAACATCACAACCACCACCATAATCAGAATCAGAAAGCCACTAACAGAACAAACTCTGTTTTTTCTTCTCTCACAAAACAGAGAAGCTGCAGGGAGTTAAGCAACAACAACAATAACAGCAATGGCTTCGAAGAAAACGACCAACCCATTATTGGTAGGTCGATGAGGTACAGTTTCCCTGGAAAATCATCTTCTTTGGGGAAGAAACAGAGTTATCATATGGTTCCTGGAAGACTCTCTCTGGATGAAAATGCCCTTCAGAGGAACTCCGATTATTCTAGGAACTCAATTGATTCAGAATCAGATAATACGAGCTTCAATTATCTGCCACGAACTTGGAGTTATAGAAAAGTGGGTAAAGATGTTCAATCTAAGTACATGGCAACAAGTTCTCTAAGAGGAAGAGCTTCTGATTCGGATATCTCAAACTCGAAGCCTTTGTCTTCTGATGAATCGTGGGTGATGAAGAAGTTGATTTCTGAGAAAGCGATGAAGAAGGCTAATTCGCTTATTGGGTACATGAGTTCTAAGTCTCAGTGGGCATTGTCTCCTGGGAGGTCAGGGTCACCCCCTATGTCTTTGGAAAGCAAGGATAAGCCTTTGTCTTTTTCGAGTTTGAGGCCTCAAAACAAGAGTGTAGAGAAGATTCTGAGCATGGGTTTTGATCTCTTTAGGAGTAAAAAGTCTTCAACGAGTGTTGGGTTAGCTAACTCTGAGGCTGTTCATCAATTGCGCCTGCTTGATAACCGGTTGATCCAATGGCGGTTTGCCAATGCTAGAGCTCATGCTGTGAATGATAACATGTCTCTTCAGGCTGAGGTATTGCTCACATTTTTTATCTGAGAAATGATAACAACACAATCTTTTGAACATACTTAAAAAAAAAATAAAAAATACAGTATTTGCCTTTTAATATGACTTTTTTTACTTTCTGAATAGCTGATTAATCACAAGAAATGTGTTAAAAGAGTGTGTTGTTAACCTTTTTCTTTTTATTTTACTTATAGATGTGCATGTTTTGAATTTGATGTTTGGTGGAGTTTATTTTAGAGAAACAATCGTTTGTTTGTGTTAGTTTTTAGAAATAATTTTTGAAAAATAAGCGATTATTTTGCTTGAGGAATGTTGGTAATATAAATCGTTATGTGTCGTTGTCTAATATCTTAAGTTTTTGGGATTGTTGATTCATGAAATGGTTTTATATTGCATCTCTAATGGGATTAATGTTTTGGTGATTTGTTGTGTTTGTTTAGAGCAATTTGATATGTGCTTTGGATGGTATTGCCAAGTTGCAACGTTCAGTGGTCCAAAAAAAGATAGAGCTTGAGAGAGAAAAGCTTGAGATGAAGTTAAATTTTGTACTGCATTCTCAAGTGAGTGTGGTAGTGCATTTCACTTAGTTAAGATTAGATTGTTGCAAATGGATTCTACTTATGGAATATGCATTCGGAGATTTAATTCTATGTCTCCTTTTGAGTTTATTTTGGGTTGGTAGATGAAGCTATTGGAAACATGGGCAAGTATGGAAAGGCAACATCTAGCTGCAATTTCCCTAATGAAACAGTGTTTGCATTCTGTTATATGCAAAGTTCCTCTTTTGGAAGGTGCAAAGGTAAGTCCAATTAGTGATAATTAAGCCTTTTCTTAGTATTGGAAAAAACTGCATTTACAGAATTCTTGTTATGCTTGCAGGTGGATATACAATGGATGTCCATTGCTCAGAGGCATGCATCTGATCTCACAGCTTCCATCAAGTCAGTGTTATCTTGTTTCTCACCCTTGGTATGTTTGGTAACTAGTCCTTTTTTTTATCTCGCGAAGACTTGGTCCATGTTTAGAATCTCTTATTTCTAGCAAAATAATCACTTATTTTTCAAAACTCTTTCAAGAAGCTGGAAAAAAATGTTATTTTAAGTTGAATTAAACGTACGCTTAAAATTGAAATTGAAGCTGAAACTGAACTTTCTTCACCACCAGGCTGACAAGAATGCTGAGTTGCTATCAGAATTAGCAAAAATTGTTGCACAAGAAAAGTTGCTCTTACAGGAATTCAATGATCTTTTCCAGACCATGTGTGTCCTTGAGGTAATTAAACATCGTTTCAATGCCTCTTGATATTTTTGTTGTTATCCTCTTAATATATATTTTTTTATGGTGTTCCTCTTTTTTATGGAAAAAAATATAAGCAAACAAGGATACTACTTAGTTAAGCTTCCATTTATGTCGACCAAACCAAAGTTCTGTGGTCAATTTTTGAAAATTACAGGAATTATTTTCATGTCTTACTTCGACATGAAATGTTTTGCTTATTTATTTATTAATTTTTACTATTTGTTGGCAGCTTAAAGAAAGGAGCCTGAAGTGCAGTTTCATTCAGCTCAAGTGCTGAGAACGAAAATATCAGAAGTTGCAATTAAGATCACTTTGTAGGTATTCATGTAAATAGTAGTCAACAAAACTAACAGATACCTATATATCCATATATAAACAATAAACTACAAATGAAATTCAGTGAGATTGAAGAATTCGTATATAAAGATTGCTAACATGCATCTATTTACATAACGCTTCAAGGTAGAGTCTTTTTTTGGGTAAACTTGTGCAGGGAAAGGTGAACTTCGTTATGCAGTGTATTCGTGTCAGTTCATTCTTCTAACATTTGTGTTTTTGTTATTTCTTTATGGTGAATGTGATGCTCTCTTGTATGACTCTTATTTAAGAAATTTTACATAAAATATCTCTATTATTAATATATTTATAAGAGTGAAAAAAATATACTTTAAACAAAAATTACTTAAATAAGAGTAACAAAAAATATATACAGATTATATAGACGATACATCTGCAAATGGTAGCTAGGCATGTGTATGGTCAGCCACCATAACTTTCCATTTTTGCACTAGAGTTCTCAAAAAATAGAATAGAATCAATAGATTGACTACCACTATAACAATGAAGTGAACATTTCAACGCTCCTATGGTTCATTAGGTAACATCAATTCACGTGTATTAAATTTCATATTTTCTTAGCAAAAGGAAAGACAAAAATAAAGTTCTGCTATCACTTATTAGTTTAGCTTATAAGTTATAACCAGTGAGTAGGCATAGGCTTTTTTATGTTGAAATCTTAATAATTATGATACATTGTATTCCATTAATTCGTAAAAACTCTAGCAGTTGATGCTGAAAGGTGAACTAGTCATTTTATTAAAAATAGCATGATATATGACAAAGTCAAAAAGTTGATTCTCCATCAAATGAATGTCAAATATCTCAAATTGCGAGTTTTAAACGGATATAAAGTTAAGTAATTACATTAAATAAAAAGAGAAATAAGATCTTGATAAGTGGAAAAAAAAATCATTAACCTAATGTCCTAAAGTTTTGAATTAAAATGTGCAGTCAAATATGTTCATTAGACATCACAGTATGATAGGTGCATCTCGGATTCTCGGTTCAGCATTCTCTTTCTGAATTTATTCTTATATTTGGCGGGGATGAAAAATTAATGCTAACCCAGCCCTCGTCAAAGGTTAGGAAAACCTGATACGTACTTTTTTTGGTTCAAATTCTTGAGGCCAAAAAATCTATCCTTGTTCCACTCAAGCGTTTTTCAACTAATAAATTATATATTGAGTGCATTTTAACTCTAAAAATACAGATGGACATACACTTTATAAAGTAGAAATTTTAGATCCAAATTATATAAATTTTATGGTTTTAATCCTTATATAATTCAGGTTATAGAATTAAATTTGACTTTTTTTTTTAACATGATCCAATTAGGTTTAGTTTTTGTAAAAATCTACTAAATATTTGCAAAAATGTAAATTTTAGCGAATTTAGACACGACTTTTGCAACCCTGAGTTAAATTTAAAATTTTTAACTAACTAATTAAAGTCTATTGCTTGTGATGGGTTGATCCCAATTAATAGAACAACCTGTTTGTTATAGGTTTGAGGTCCAGTCGAGATATGTATTTTCCCAAGCTTATCTTTACCATGTCATTGACATTTTCGGGTTAACTCTAATCCAAATTTTCCTATTATCAAAGTCAAAATAAAAAAGTGAGTATAAATATTGATTTCTTTGTCATGTTTATAATTCATTTATATATATATATATTATTTTTTATTTTTTATTTTTTTTACTTTTTCCTTTGTGATTCTTATTTTAGAAAATGTTATTTATTTTAATTTTTCAAATGTTGTTGAAGATATAGAATAAAAATTAAAATAAATAGAATTTATACAATTAAAGACTTGGATTACAATTCAATTAGGAGTTAAAATAATTAGAATTTATAATTTTAAATATTAAAATAACATTTTATTCAATTTAAAATAACGTTATAAAGTAAAATTTATAATTGAACATTTCAATTTAATTGAACAAGATAGTTGTTACAATATTAACATACTACTCACAACTATACACAACTATATTGATAGTTTCAATCTGTTTTTCACTCAATTGATAAATGTGTGTGTGATTTTTTTCAAAAAAAAATAATAATAATGAAAGAAGAATTAACTTAGTAAATTGTAACATGAGTACTTATAAAATTCAAGATAATGGACTTAGTCTAAAAATAATTAGAAAAATTAATATGACTTTATTGGATAAAAGAATTTGAAATATGATAAACAAAAATGACAAACTCTAGACCTAACTGTTTGTAGAAAAATATATGAAAGAATATAATTTATTTGATCATAATAAAAATAGAAAATCTTATTAATGGTAATCAATCAAAAAATTAAAAATATTATAAGGGATGGGTTCATTTTTTGACTTGGTAATGGATAAGTTTTCTTGTGTTATCATGACTCGTTAAGATTGGACAAATCATGTGACCACAATTCCTATGTCAATATTTAAGATATAGAGTTACATGTTAAAGATGTTTTGAGCCAACAAGGGTGAAATTTTTCTTAAATTATCACTTTAATACCAATATCAATTAATTTAATTATTCATCAGTCTAACTTGTTAATTAATTGTTATGTTAAGTATAATTTTATTTAGTCAAATTATTTGGAGAAAAGTTATATAGCTAAATATGATTTTAACTGGCTCGTTAGTAAGAGAACTTCGTACCTTGTATTAGTACATTAGTTTAAGGTGAATTTTTTGCCTTTTGGTGAGAAAGAAATTAAATTACTAATTTCACTTATTTGTTGTGATGCCCTTCTTATAAATTAATTAAGACATTATAGGAATTTGACGTTTTCACTCATTTACTCAAATGTCACATTTATACTCATGACACTCTTCACTATATTTAAAAACTGTTTGACAACTAAGGAAATCTTGATTTGTACAAGTCTATGTAATAAATGATTTACAACCTCCTTTGATGCTAATAATTAAATTATGACTCAAAATAAAAGTAATCTTCTCTTATTTTTAGTTACACTATGATAGATATGAAGAGACAAGAATGTTGATTGCATTATTGAAAAAAATATTTCAATTTATAAAATTAAGTATAATGTTATTAACCTTATTAATCAATTCATTTATATGAACAAATGCAACAATCTCAATATCGCCTAGAGCATTAGGTTTGTTGGGAGGATGAAAGGAGGCTGATGAGAATTTTGAATTTATTTTTAATGTTAATGAGAGTGTTTAGAAAGTCTAGAAAGAATTTATTTCGGTTCTCTTATTAGAAATAGAGATATAAATTGATTTAGAAAAACTTTTAGGTTTATTAAAATTTTTAATAATATTCATATTGAACTTATAGTTATAAGTTAAGAATTAAAAATGACTTTAAATTTAAATATTTGACATCTCTTATATTATTATGATATAACCAATGTCATACTTTGTGATAAAAATTCTTTCATCTTTCTACAAGTATGTTAATTTTGTTTGGAATATAAAAAAATAATTAAAAAAATTTGATAAATCACTATTAAGCACACTCTATATAAAAACATGTATACATATTTTTTAGCTAAATTGATAACTTCTTTATCGTATTTTTAAATATTTGATCTTACTTTCTACAAATTTTAAATTATTTTTTTAAAACTAATAATAAGAGAGTCATGTTTAATATTATAATTTTTTTGTTTATTTTTTATTTTTCTCTATATGAAAAATCAAATTTTATATAAACTTAGAAATAGCAAAGAGTAAGTCAATTTATCATTGAGCTCTTTGTTTTGAGGCAATGCATGCGGCTTCGCCTTCTAAATTTCTTATTGTTAAAAAAAAAAAAATTAAAATTAATTTACATTTTTGTTTGATAAAAATCTTAACCTTTAGTATTAAAGATAAGTAATTCAAAATAATATATTAAAAAATTATTTTTTATTTTTATAATATAATAAATGTTATATTTTAACAAAACATTATTATTTATTAGTGTTTAAATTGATCTTAAAAGTTTAAAGTTAATAAAATTAATACTTATTATTTTGCTAAGAATTAAAAATACTGTAATATAATTTTATTTATTATTTTTAATCAATATTTTATGAACAAGTAAAAAATCATTGAATTTTTAATATATATTTAATCAAATATATTAAATAATTATTTTTAATTAAAAATTAAAAAATTTAATATTATCAATACATTAAATTTTATAATTTTTATAAAAACTTATTATACGTAAAATACTAAAATGTAGTATATATTTTTAAGTAAACATAAAAATATTAATTTTTTATTATTTAAATCATGGTATTTAAATACATGGAGTATTTATTGCCACTAGGCTAGTTGGTCAAAAGTCAAAAACTGAAATGACACAAAACACTGTCGTTTAATAGGGACTCTTGAGGCATGAGCGTTACATAAAGACCACTGCGTCTAAGCTCTCTCTGAAGCGAATAAGCCATGGCCTCTCTTGCTCGTGGAGCCGCATCTCTAAGCCGCATCGGTATTTCCACCGCCAAAACGCCGATTCAACTCATCCACCGCCGTGGCCTCGCCGGAGCCGCTGGTAATTTTTCCGATCCCATCCAAATCGCTTTCTCCTCATTTTTTTGCTTTTCAATTTCTCAAACCCCGACCACTCAAGTCAATTCCATTTTATGCATTCACAATATTCAAAATCGAAAACATCGAATTTTTCCACTCACTTTCTATTGGGTGGTCGGTTTTTTTCCCGAAAACCTAGAAATCGGTGGTGGATTGCACCTATGCGATTGTTAGAAGTGGGGTTTCTGTTAGAAACTGAGATTTTAAAGATGGATTTTTTAATGCTTTCAAGCAAGTTTAAATAGATAAATAACTTGATTAAAGTTAATCTAGGTTTTAAATCTGGTTTATTTATTTCTTGATCGTGTAACAAGACAAGGACTTTGATTTTTATAATGCAATGTGGCTTCATGAATCCAATTCAATAATATTGTTTAATCAATAGATGCTTGGCCTTTCTGTTATTTTGGTATTCTGTGAGGAGATTGATTTTGTGTGTTGAAGGTTTGTGTTTAGTTAGTGCACAATTCTGATATGTGTGGAATGGGTATATCGTTTGATTGTTGTAGATCACCATGGTCCCCCTAAAGTTGATTGTTGGAAGGACCCAATGAGCCCGTCTAAATGGAAGGAAGAGCACGTGAGTATCTAGTTTTGTGTTTGAAGATCCGCTGAACCTAATCGGGTCATTAATTTTTGAAGATCATTATTTTGGAAATTGAAAACGTGTGTAAATGTTCATTTGTTTGGTGGTTTTATGCTCGCAGTTTGTGATTGTATCCTTAGCTGGCTGGGGATTACTCATCTTTGGGGGATACAAGTTTTTCAGTGGAGGCAAAGACAAGAAAGAAAAGGTACTTTCAGTTTTCGTTTAGTTATTATTACAGCTGAGAAATTATTAATCGGATAGAAATCATGGAGGCAACATGAGATATGGGTGCGATACAAACATGATATATGAAAAGTTGGTAAAATTAGGACATGGCACGATTGTAGTATAATATGTAAAATTAACATAAAATGCAAATCTTAAATCAACGCAGAGAATTGATGTTTTAAAAATAGGCATGAGTTGTTGTAGACTTTATAAGATGCTACGATTTATCTAATTAATATGATATTATAATCTGGTTGTATAAAAATATTAAAAACAAAAAGTTACATACAGCTATGGCCTGGAAGTATTCAAAATGCTTGTAATGTATCTAACATGGATATGTGTCTGACACAAAAATGCACGACACGACACAGCTAATATTGTGAGGTGTCTGTGCTTGTAGTCCTGTAGATAAGTCCTTTACAAGTCTCTCTTACGTTGTTCGTTTTAACTGAGCTATGCAATGCTGTTATCCTGTGTCAGTCAGAAGTATCTTTCTTTCCCATCATTTACCAATCTAAAATTTTTGCCTAGTTTTTAGTTTGTACTGAAGGCAGTTTTTTTCATTTTTTATATGCAATATCTCAAGGCAAGATAATAATCAGATCAGTTCAGAGTGTGCAATAATTCAATGGATCAGGGGGTCGAGAAACGGATAAAATGTTTATATTTCTCGATTGCTTTTTGTATGTTATAATATTTGGGTTAAAGTATTGAAAATTATTCAAGCATAGCTGCTGGTGGTGAATTCTATCATATTGTTCGTAAAAATTTATCATCTACAAGGCTATATATATAGAACACTAATGTTTAAAACACTTTAAGTGAACCTTCTAATCCTAATTTGATGAATGCTCTTAATATTTGCAGGAATTGGTGAAAGCAACAAACTAAGGTTTGTACAATATTTAAGATCCAGTGTTCCTGCTAATAATGCGTGCGCCCGGACTTTTCCGAAAATTTCTGATTCAAGTCCTGTTCGATGACAAACAAATCTTGAGTTATCCATTAATCTTTGCAGACAATGAATGTTGGCAGATTTTTTTCCTGAAAAAGGTGTTACGTTTGACTTCATAATGAAAGCAATTACTTTTATTGACATTAAAATCCCGAAGGAAGCTAGGTTACGTAATCAATATACTTGAATAATCCGAGTGCTAAGGCCGAAAAAAGCATTCAGTTTATCACTAAAGTAATTGTTTTTCGTTAAGTTGATATTCGATAAATTAATTGGGTGCACAGATCCTATAGGCCGTGCAATTTCAGTAAGCCATTGTGTTCTGCATTGTGTTTTGAATCCCATTATCACTTTTATATTCCTCCTCAAGCATGATCATGAAAAGCCTGCGGACAGTGAAGTTCTTTGGGTGTTTAGGAAAGCCTGATCATTTGAACAACATTAACTAAGGTCGTTTAACAAGTGTCAATGTCATGAAAGTTCCAAAGTTTGAGTAGCTAAAGAAATTAATTTAAATGTAAACTGAAACACCTGATATTACTAAATACAAACATAAAGAGGGAAGTCATGTTTTACTCACTTCCTCCTCCTAAGATGATACCCCATTGCATGTTGTAAGTTGAAATGTTTCTAAGAACTCAGTTCATGCCTACTACTCTATTACACAACGACATAGTAAATACAGTTTAATTACAAACCAGGCTGAAATTCTGATTCGTCTATCTCTTCTTTGTATTCGTCCTTCTCATCTTCAAATTCAGATTGGGATTCTTTAAAATCATCGTCATCGTCCTCATTACCCCTATCAATTCCATCTCTTTCTTGCTTTTGTACATCCAAAACCTCTAATTTTTCAGGCTCTTCTTGAGCCATGTTTGGTTTTATTTGATCAGCATTCTTGTCTTCTTTGTTGATATGCTTCGTGCTCCAGTTTCGTTGGATAAATCTGTCCTCATGATCTTCTGACAATTTGTGTTCAACCTGTCTTTGATTTTCTGGGTAAATGTTAATTCCATTATTTGTCTCCTGGTGATTTGTATTATTCACTCTCATGTTACTGACATATCTGTTTTCATGGTTTTGAGGCTTTAGTAAATGGGCCTGTGGCTTGTCTTTTCTTTGGTCATCATCCTCCTTTCTCTCATCATTTCTTGCAAGCTTTTCCTCATCAAAGATTTTACCAATTTTTATATCTGTCGACTCACCTTTCTCATCTCTGTAAACCTTCCTATTTCCCTTGTTTACCTTTCCATAACTTTCAAAAATCCCATTGTTCTCCATTAACCTATTCTTGACAATGGTTCTCCAGCGCTTCCCCTTTGTTCTACTTGCATGGCCATGTTTCCTCTTCACACCAGCCAATTGTTTCACATCAACATCCTTACCTTCACCATCTGTATTATTCACTAGTTGTGCCAGCTCCTCTTCTCTGATTGCTTTATTTTCTCTACCATCCACCACTTCATCCTCAATATCCTTTGCAGCAGCCACACCTGCACCACCACCATCATCTCGAGGCTCTTCATTTTTCTTTCCTAGCTCCTGATCAGTCCTAGTTTCATCTTTTATTTCATCTGTAACCTCTTCATCTTGGAACTTGTCATCACCGTCATATTTGACACTGGCAGATTCTCGTAAATTTTCATTTTCTTTATTCTCGCTCTCAGTTTTATCTTGTGCTGCCATTGTTCCATTTACTGTCACAATTTCAGGAACAATGGGCGAATGATCATTGATGCTTGACGGGTGTTTCTTAAATGGAGTTTCAAGACGGCGCTTCAAGTCCTTTATCTCTGCTTCCTTATGCTTAAGATTCTCTCTTAGTGCTATTATTTGAGAGCCTCCTTGTTCGACTTTGCTCCCTTTTTCTTGCATTGTTCTGAGCTCATTCTGATTCTCCTCAAATGCGGATTCCATCACTTTCTGTTCATCTCTCAGCGAATCCAAAGTGGATTTCATCTCTACAACTGTTCTAGCAAGCTCCGTCTTTTGACTTCTAAGGGAGTATATTTTCCCCCTCATCTCTTCGTTCTTTCCTCTCAATTCATTGGTGCGATCTCTTTCTTTCTATATGATTGAAAAACTAAGATTAAGGTAACAGAGACACAGCTGATCTGATTAAAGAACTTAACTACAACCTAAGATTTTAAGCAGAATTGAATTGAAGGGTTATTAAAATATGCAACATCTATATTATTCTTCATCCTATTTAGAAATTTTTTCAAAAAATGACACTGCTTCCCACAACAAAACCAAAGAGCAAATGTTTATTATTGAATTGGTGATGGTTCATTTTATTTGATTTGAAGTTTTCCTCCCTACGTATCTGATTAATTCATCTAGTGAGTAAGCATTAAGAGAATTGGAAAATTAGAAAAGATTGCGAATTTGCTATTGCTTCAAAAGTCCCTCAACACCCAAAACCCCCTTTTCTGGTGAACTAGGCTTTTAACAGCGTTTTGGAAATTTTTTAATGCATGTTGCACAATACGTGTCCTGAGGATTGCATGACACGTAAAAGTAAGCAGCAGAAACCAAGAAAGACAAGACTGAGGAGGGTTACTGACCTGCAAGAGAAGCTGAAGGGCAAGAAGTTGCTGATCTCTCTCTTTGATAAGAAGGTTGTAGATGCGCCTCTCTCTGAGCTTGTGAAGCACCATTACCCCAAGGAGTGCAGCTCCAAATGTGATCAGCAATATCAACACATAAGACCTTCCTCTATGACTCCCTCCACTGCTTCCATGCAACCCCTTGTTGTAAGCCATCCCTCTCTCCCTCCCCAAGAGGGTGAAGATCAAGATTTAAGAGCACTACCAAGTCAAGCAAGTATATATGAATGAATGGCTTCTTTGGTTTTTCTAGTCCTTGTGAAGGGAAATGATGAAGAATGAAGAGGCTTTTTCTCCTCTCTCTCTCTCTCTCTCTCTCTCTCTCTGTCTGTCTCAGAAGAGTTCAGATGATGGCTTAATTAAAGTGCTTATTTTGGGGTGCTTGTCATGCAAAAAGAACGTGCCACCTACTCATACCTGGCACTCTATCCGTGGTTGCGGAGTTCACTAAGCTGAGAATGCATGGAAATTGTGTCAGGGCGCTGATTCTGGGACTGCAACTTTATGTTTCCCGTGTTCTCCTTATTTTCACTCTGTAAATACTAATAAGTGCTCCATAAAATTAAAAATGAGGTTTTTTAATATATATATATAGGATTATTCTTTTATATATGGCTTTTAGAAATTATATATTTGAAAAAAACCATATTTTTATAATTAAAAAAACCATACAGAAAAAAAAAAACCTATATATATATATATATTCATAATATTTAATAATTTTTTTTATCAAAACGCTACCCAGAAAGACCACATGAATGTAACACCCTGCTAAAAATAATTTATTCTTTTAAAATATAGCATTTTGTTTCTGCCTTATTATTTTTTAATAAGAAAATATATATCGGTCTGCCCATAATGTGCGGTAATTAAAAGTGTATTCATCATTAAAAAATGAATTGATAAATTTAAAAATTATTAATTTCAACGGTTAAAATTAAGTTTAAGTATTTAATATTAGTAAAATTTATCAAAAAAATTATTATATTTTTATAATTTTAATATAATGAATTGTTCTTTAATAAAAAATTATTATTTTTTATATGTTTAAACTCAATTTTAAATGCTGAAGTTAATAAAATTTATAAATTAATGAGTTTTTTATCTTTAATTTTTATATTTAAACATTCAAAATAATAAACACTTTATTTAACTTTAATATAATAAATATATTTTAATAAAGTATTGTTATTATTATTTAAAGTGAATTTTAAAGGTTAAGATTCTAAAGTTTTCTTAAATTTATTGCTTCAGTTACGTATGTATCGGGTCCAATGCAAATAGAACTGACGAGTAACTTCCGGTTGAAGACATGAAAGTCATGGTACTCATGTGCGAAGTGGTGGTGGATGATGCCATTACACCTTTTTACTTTTTTAGTTTAAAGGTATTTTCATTTCTAAGTTATTATTATTTACAATCCCTTTGCATTCTTCTGTGGGTATAGTCTACTTGTTAAAACCTCAAATATTGAATAGGTGAGGTTATTTCTACTACTAAAATTTTCTACCACTTTTGGTGAGATTAATTGAGAAATATTTTTAATAAAATTTAGTTAATAAAAAAGATTTTGTTTTTACAATTGAACTAAATAGACGGTCAATCCTTTATAATTTTCTTTAGATTTTAAAAATAAACTGATTTCATCTCTTATTTTATCTCCCAATAATAATAATAACAACAATAAATGTGTATAAACTGCTCACATTTGAGCATTGTAGCATACGTTAAATCATGCTATTGTCTCTTTTGGCGTGAATGCGTGTGCCAGATTCGTTTTTGATTTATTGGGCACTTGCATTCGTAACAAAAGTTATGTCAAAAATTATATTTTCACTTTTCCCCCCTTCCTGGCTGCTTTAACGGCTTCATTGATATTTACTGCATTATTTTATACTACACATTTTTTCAGATTTAAGGTAGAAATTAATGCGCGATTTGGGAGATTTTACAATTTTAGTGAAGTTGAATTCTTTCAAATTCATGACAATAGGAATAGGAGATAAAAAGATATCATTTGTGCTAAATATAAGTAGTAAACCACCCATTAGGTTATAATTAATTATGACAGATTTTTATTGGATAAAATTTATATGTCTCTCTAATATGATCATATTATATTATATACAAAGAAAATTGAAATTCAATTTAAATATAAATTTCAACATTTGACTGATTTGTTTCTAGCCATTCTGGGAAATTCTCTTAAATACAAAATTGATCAATCTCTGCTCAGTGGAGCAATTTCTTTCACTACCTCCACTGTTATATACTAAGCTTCTATTTGTTGAAACTTTCCCTTGTTCATACATGACTTAATCCCACACTATAAACTATCTTTTGTATGCCAATCATATTTTTTTCCAAGTATATATCTTTTGCATATTAATGATCATTAAATTCCTTGCAGTTCCTGCTTTTTTCTTTAAGGAGCATAGCATAAAGAGTGGAAGACACTTGAATCAATCAGAAGAATATTTGGTTATTTCAAGCCAAACTGAAATGAAAACCAGTAGAATGGAGGGACGAAATAAAAAATATTGCCACTGAATGCAGATAGTGGTCCAGCCCAAGTGATCGCAGCAAAAAGTGTAGTGGTCATAAGAGCAACCAATTGGGTTGATAACGTATGTATGTGACATTCATCAATATGAGTACAATACATATGTGTATCTGCCACTGTTTAATTATTAGTTCTCTTTTTTTATAGGTTATAAAATTTATTAAAATGTTTTCTTATTTTTAAGGATTTTTAATGAAATTATTATTTAACTAGGATTTGATCAAGATTATATAATATTCAATAAGCATACATAAATAAATATAATCTAGTTAATATATACTGTCGTACCCATTTTCTAATATTTTGAAAATTTTCATATTTAAGTATCATATTGTTCCTAAACTGTCTTCTAATATTGGTTCTGTTAATAGAATCACAAAATGGGTTAATGGGCAGAGGATTTCCTTTCTGCACAATTGATGGCACTTGTACATGGTAAAGTTGTCATTGAGGTAACCTCTGATTTGTTCAAAACAAATAAAATCGTTGGTGAAAGTGTGCAAAAAGAAGTTGAATGCTTTGCTAGGGAAGAGGGAAGTTCTGTGGGGAGGGTATCCTTCAGTGACATTTCAAAGGATGAAATAGTTCTAAGTTACTTGAAGCGAAGTCACATTGTTTAAGGAGAGAATTTGATGCCAATGAACCGTTGTTTCTTGTATTGGGAATTCGATAAGTACTATAGTGATGAAAGTTAATTTCTCATGCTTAGGATAGTTTTTGGGCTTTGAAATAACAACGTGCAATAGAACATAGGATGATGGATGAACCCCAGCTAATTGATACCACCCAATTAGTTGGCAAAGTTATACATCCCAATTAACATAGATTGAGATATGACATACCATGATAATTTTGTTTTGCCGAAAAGAATAATGCTGTCGTGTTTACTTGTACATGCACTACCTTACACATACACACTTTTCACCTGCTGATTTCAGTAGGTCCCGCCAAACTATTTTGGCACCTGCACTTTGATTTTGCTACCTATATAGTATATTATCGTTAAGACGGGTGAATTGGGTGATCTATAAGAAGCACTATTCTTCTCAAGAAAATCACTATATAACTTTTCTTGGTACTGTGTTTTCTATTGTTTAGCTTCAAAATTTACACCTCATTATTTTAATACATGGTAATATAAAAATTTATGGGAAACATAATAATTTAAAGTTTGAAGCACATGCAGTAAAGTTGACAGGAGCAAAAATTTCAAAAATGGGGTACTCTATCCTAGGTCCATGTGCATCCAATGGTGGATTATACATGATGACTAATGTCCTATCATGTGAAGTGCCTGTTATGCTCGAGTTTGAACTAAAGGTATGTCCCTTAAATTGCGCTCTACAACTTTCCAATCATGTTCACGGATGTACAGCAGCACAAGGATTGCATGCATGACTCTTGGAGCAGCCAATGGTGCAAACACTGGTGCTTGCTCGTCAAATATTCAAATGAAATAGTTTGCAAGCTGTTGGAACCTAACCAGATGGCAGCATCAAACCACAGAGTTCATAACTGGAATTGTTAATATGCTAGGTGCTAGCAAAAGATTGGATGTAGAAAAAGGATAATTCATGGACTTGTCTCCAGAAAAATAAAATCAACCAATCTCTGCTGACAGATCTTTATCATCCCTCAAGAAAGAAATCCTTATGTGCTACCTATAATGCTTATCACAGACAACATTCCATTTAACAATCGACATATGTAAATGCATTTCTAACATGATCCCTTAACAGGTGTTCAAGGTTTAATTGAATCAAGTGCCTATAATAAGTAACGCCTCCCAAAAATTTTATCCATAAGAAAATAGATAACCCCAGTCAAAAGTTCACCGTGAAATTTAATTTCCTTTTGTAACTCAGCAAAAAAGTTGTAATTGCATAAATGGTTGGCCGGAATTGCAACCAAAAGCGTAACTAAACTAAACCAAAACAAGCACCAAAACTGCTGCTGTGCGTGCTTGTTGCTTCTTAATATGAACCTATATTGAACACAAAATTCTGACCTTTTATATCAAATCTATATGATCTAAAACCACCCTTATGTACAGTTGACATCATCCTACTCGGGAGGTACCCCTTTGTCACAAACACTGCTTGCTTAAAAATTCTTTAGATAACAGCACTTGAATCAGCTCATGTAGCCTCTCAGCACCAGGGCCTGGCCTAAACACGGTATCATTGCCACGTACAGAACAAGGGTCAGCACCACCATCTGAGGTCCCGACACACCATGCCCCAGGTGAAAATCTATGCGTGCGCCCCAAAAGTTCTTTGTCAATCTTGTCTAGCACAGGATCATTCCTCGCAAACTTGCGGGCAAAGGGTGCATTGCTTTTAACCATTTTGGCAAAGTCCTTCGCAGTTAAAGAGATTGGATGTTGCTTTGGGGGAGTGTCCCAAGCAATGTAGTGAAGATCATGACCTATTGCTGTATGTCGGAATTCTTCAGTGTTACAAATGACAGTGTGAAAATATCCCTCTGGCGAGGAGATAAAATTCGTATAATACATTAGCATAGTCCTTGGAAAGTTATCCCATCCCCATATACAGTACTCCACAAAGGATCGAGTCAGCACAACCCAAGCTGAACCTGTTCACATAGCATAGACAAAAATATAGGGATGTACCAAGTTGATTGCCAATCTATATGCGAAAAATATGTAATACAGGTAGCTAACTAGATGTTTTACAGCCATAGCACTGCTAAACGTTGAAAGGTCCTCAATATGTCGTAGAAAATAAAATTTATAAATGTATATAGGTTATAGATATATATAGACATACCAGTGAACAGTTTAAAAGTCGTGGGAAGTGTTCTTCGTTGAGTAGTCAACGCTAAATCAGATTTCTTAGATAAATAAAGGGCAGGATCAACAATGATTGGTCTTGCTCTTTGGTTCCTGCATTTAAGCAGTAATACAAAAAAATCTCAACCAACTAATATAGTAAACCGGGAAAAAAATGCCCGGGAGTGTATTATTTCCAGCAATTTTTAAATGAGTAATAATACAATCCACTTACAGTTTCCAACCAGCAATGCGTGTATGTTCTATGAAATTGAGATCTCTTGATAGATTCGAAAAAACATGAAGCAAATCTGAAAAAGCAGGAAACAGATATCAGATGACTTACAAAGCATCTAGAATTCAATCAATCTCAGACTATAAACAGCCTGGAATGAACTATATGAATATTGATTTGCCGAATGATAGAATATCAATATATTTGCAGAACAGAAAATGCTGAGACCAGAAGGCTCAAATTATTGACTACAAAATATCCCCAAGCAAATTGTTTAGTGGAATTAAAGCACCTACAAAATAAAGGATTTGTTTCTTCCTTTATTTTGGATTTGTTATGAAAACTGAATTTATTTTGCATTTGACAACAACCCAACACAAATTAAGAATTTAATATGGATTTAAATAATCTACTTCATAGGGAGTTATCTTGAATATTTTACTCTTTTGTCCAGCTCATACTTCGTTTCCAGTAGTATATTGCCATATTGGCTATTGTAATGAAAAGAATAAACCTAATCATATTATATAACCCATGTCCCACATGTATTCATAATTGAAGTTTAGATTTCTCCAGCAACTGCTTAGATTGGAAAAAAATCCTCTATAGTTTGTCTCTTAAGTGAGCAAGGGTAAGCAGTAATCACCCTTAATCTTAGAGGATTCAGACCATGAATTTTAAATTAATTCAAGGGTGGAAGAGGATATACCCTTGCTCACATTAGAGACAAACTCACATGGCATGTCCACCAATATTAGAGTATACATAAGTTTTTCAGAATAAAAGATTCAGACTTTTCACAAAAAAAATGACTATTTATGGAAAAGAAACACTGTCAAACATCTGCTGTAGTAAAGAAGATATTGAAACACCTTGTTTAGCATCTCTTTGCTAGAAGTTCTAGTTTGTGAATGTAATCCAGCAGGTATCAACAACACGAGAGACCTTGATAATATCCAAACAAATATTTCAAATATCTAGATATGCACATGGAGGAACTCCGGGAGATATTCAGGGGTGGTTTTGGCAAAATTGCAAACATCAAATTTTCAACAACTTCAAAATATGACATAAAGCAGAATAAAACTTGGTTGTTGCCTTACAGAGCTGAACAATGCTAAGTTGCTAACTGATGGAGATTGAAATTGACATCCCTTGTGTTTGTTGGGGACTAGGGGTAACCACTAAACCAAATCTAGTAGCAATGATTTCAATGCCAAAATAGCCTGAATAGTACCAATTACCAAAGTAGAATTACAAAGATTTACATTACTTTTAGAGCATATTGCCCTTAAGCACATCAAAGAGGCTATATGAGGTAGCTAATTTATGTCTTATTTTAGGAGCAAGAGTGCAAAACTCCTCCCTGAATTACAGAAAACAATTATGCTTTAGGCTAGAATGACTGTGATGGAAGATTCAAAGGACTATGCAAAAGAGGATTTCCAGGGATTAGCAACATAATTAAACAATAGAAATACAGAGAAAAAAGTAAAAATGAGGCAATGAAAACAGCAAATGAACTTAATTCCTTAGCTTAACCCGAATTTCACTGGTTAGTCTTCTACTATTAAAGACATGTGGAAGCAACAACAATGTTTGAGAGTACATAACCCATTAATTCAATCATTCGTTATTTGAACAAACCTAATGATGTTACATAGAGATCTATCCTGAAACATCAGCAATCACCAAGAGATGGGATGTTCATTCATCAGTGCCTACTTTAATAATGGTTTCTGTCCTCAAAATAATAGTGTAGTGCTCAGGGGAAATAAGTTAACAACATCTTAAAATAAAAGGCAAACTACACATGATGCAGCAACCTAACTATTACTTGCCATTTGTCATACATCGCCACAATACACCCAAAGCCATATGGTCTTCAAATTTTTAAAATCTTTGCAAAACAGCATCATGTTTTAAAATCTGTAGGACAAGTTTGTAAAGGCTCACTACATCCTTCCATAATCAGCAAGGCCATAGTTTATGCAAGCATTTTGACAGGAATAACAACAAATAGCATCAATAAGCAGATAAAGGTCAGTTACTAACCATCCTGTGTCACAAGAGGATAATCTGAGGCACTGAGATTTATAAACCAGTCCCACCCTGAACTCTCCTTCAATAAAATTGCAATAGCCTGGAGGGTACATGCAATCATTGTTGGACCCTTATAAGTTACTAAATTGGATTGAGACATAACACGCACATTCTCTACTTCGTGAAATATTGGATCAGCTCTCACTGCATTTGCCAATTCCAACCTTTCCCGGGGTGGCGCCTCAAGATCTAAATGCAAGATGTATTGATTCCTTGGGTGGTACACTGCCTGTAATGTCCTCATCATCCTTAGACTATCACCCTTGGTGCCTGAAATAAGATATGCAAACCTAGGTGCCTCCATTTTCACAACCACACTATCATTAAAAGACCTTTCTATATCTGATTCCACAAAATATCCACCAGAATCCTGCGATCCCTTGAACGAAATGATTTCAAACGGTGACTGCTCTACCCCACCAGTAGAACTAAGCACCCCAACAATAGCTGTCAGAACCAGACTCACAGACACCAGCAAACTTGCAAAAAAGGGGATAATCCACTTCCTGTCACTAAACATCCTTCCTGAATGAGAACCAGCATTTTTCCTCATACTCTTGTAGCACAGCTAAATCAAAATCAAATTTTGGAACCCTTTCACTTCAAGGGCAAGAACCAAGATCTCAGTCTGTGTTCAGCTCCTGAAGATGAGTAGAAAGTTGAAACCCAAGGCAGCAAGAACCCCACAAAATTTAGAAGATAAGAGAAACACAATAAGAAGTACAATGGTTCAGCCAGAGGACAACCACCCTTTTAGCCAAGAATAGCATGGTTAGCACTTAGCATTTAACCAAAAAGGGGTCCATGTTTTCTGCAGGATAAAACATGGTTTTCAAGCAGAGATGCTTATTCTAAATCGGTATCAATCCACACCCAATGCCAAAGATTTTGATTTGGGAGCTATACAAGTAACATAAGATATGACAAAGTGACAATGGTTTGGTTTGGAGAGTTGGGACCCACCTTCAGATAATAGGCTCAGATCTGATTACCCTCAACAGAAAGAAACAATTTTTGAAGGCACAAAAGGTGGAGGAAACTTCACAATAAGTCAATCTTCAATCACTTTACAAGTAACCTATATTGGAACCTAACCCAGAAAAAAACAATCTTCAGTTCAGATTTCACCTGCAAGGATTTAAATGGAACTTGTTCAATTTGCTCTCCTTTACTTCTGATCAGCAAAACTGTGTCCAAACCAAGATCTATGCCACCCCAAAATTAATTACACTAATATAAGGAACACAGCACACTTGAAAGGCAAGTTTTTGGCAACTTCAGAATCAAGAGATGATTTTTATTTTAGTTTAAAGAAAATGGTCCAAACCAAGAAGAATAAGAGAGAGACAGGATTCAATGAAGATTCAAAGTGATGGGGTTTTTCAATTTTCAAAATTTTTATGATATGTTTGAGGGTTAAGAGGAGGATGTCAGGAATTGGCTTTCTAGAAAGAGTGGTGAGATTGTGCTGTACTTTGTGTTGTTTTGGCCACTCTCATTCTGGGTGGCCACAGATTCAGGAGTGGTGACTTTGCTTTGTTAGTTGGCAAAATTTCATTATTGACGTTAATTTGTGGATTTTAATATTCATGTTTGGTTTTGATGAGGATAATAATAACGATAAAACACGCTTCCGTTGTAACGTTGGTTGCTTTACACGTTAGTTTCCTCTTCAAGGTGTTCGTGTTTTTGGTGTTTAAAATTGTATTAAGGCGAACATCGAATTTGATGGCCTCCATTTTCAAACTGCATTATTTATTTCTCTTTCCTTTTTCAATCGGAATCACCGTCGCGTTACACTGTGGGCACATGGAAGAATATTTTATTTTATTTTTTTCATAATAACTGCAAATAGCTAAATACAAAAGAGAGGAAAAAAATAATTTGTTGAAAAGTTAACCTTTCAATATCAAGTTCACACCAGGTCTTTTAGAATTTGGACCGGTGATAGTTTGATTAAAAATTTATTGGTTTTTTTATTGTGTATTTTCATTTAACCATATTTTTTCTTTAAATATATTTTCTTTTCATGAACTCTTCCCAACATAATTTGGGAAAAATTCAGTGAAAATTAGATAACTTGAAATCAAGTATGCATATAAGTTGAGGATAATGTTTTTATATTATTTTTTACAAGACATTTTTTTTTAATATTTTACAAGACAATATTTATGTTAAAAAAGACATTAACACTTCATTAAGTGCAGACTTGTTTAGAAGAAGAATTTTATCATTTGTGATCTCATCCATCTCAATTCGAATTAATCAGATACTCAATTCGATATTCAGATAATAGTAATTTTAAACCAAAAGAAAATGTTAATACAAATGAAGGGTGGGGACTAAGGTGTACCACCTAAAATGTGATGTAGTGGTACTGCTTTGTTATAGTCATTGGATGTAACATTTCAAAAGGAATGGCTTTGGTTGATTATGCTAAATTTGTTAAACATGTAAATTTTCCAATTCTATAAAATTACAAGTTGACCCTTTTGCTTCTCTGATAGCTTATACTAAATCTCTTAATCTTGAACCTCGCATCAACTTCTGCCAACTTTCATGTCGTCATCTTCACCATGCAATGTACACAATAGAGGATTCAAAATGTAGATAATTAGAAGAACATGTGAAGATAGGAGCTCAAAAATGAGTATCCTAAAAATAACCATCCCCGTAAGATGTAATCTTTTATGGCGGTCCCATGGGAAATATATATTGAATATAAGATTATCTAATACCTTAGTTTTGATGAAAACAATCATAAGTATGATTAATGAATATGGAAGAAATTCGAAAAAGTTAAATTAAGTGTGCAAGATTATTAACTATTTTTTTTTCTTTCACTACTGTGCATACATACATATATATATATATATATATATAATATTTGTTTGTTATATTACTACTAGTATTTTTCTCTTTTTTTCACAATACGAAAAATTATTGACTCTAAGAAATTAATAAAAAAATTAGTTATTTGAGTACAATTCTCTTTGATCTATTACTGTATCACACTCAGCAATATTACTACATTAGTTCACTCTTTATCTTTTGTATTGGGAGTTGAACTTGAAAGCTTCTCTAATAAGTCAAGTGAAAATCTTATTATTTATATTTTCTTTTAATTTTTATCATCAATACTTATCACATTTTAAGTTTTTTTTTTCTAACTTTAAGCAATAGCGACTCAGCAAGACAGACAACAACGAGAGAAAGAAGCAATAATTGTAGCCTTTTGCGTTTTGATTTTTGAAGTCACCCAAATAAAAAACTTGTGGTCTACTACCGTGTGCTCTAAATTTAGACAAAGAACCCCTCAAAGTCAAAATGTCCAAATTTACCTGTTATTTTTATATAAACAAATTAAGAATTTTGAAGTAATAATTGTTTGTTTTATTCTTTTATAGGTGATTCAAAATTTGAAGAGAGACAATCAGACAAAAGTTAAAAAAGAGTCTTGAATCTTGAATACAAAAATTAGTGGTATACTAATATATTTTAAGCTTTATTTATTTATGTTTTTACTTTGCTCGATAAATAAATTCTAAACTATTTTTAATGTCATTGTTATTGTAGGATGAAATTATGAGTAAAAAATCAACAATTGAAGCATATTTTAAAAGAAAAGTCGATGAGTATCCTTAGGCTAACTTTTCTGCTCTTTCATCAACTACAGAAATAGCAGCCATTGAACAACATCAATCTAAAGTACTTAAAACAGAAGAAGTTGATATTTCTCTTTTAGAGAAAGATCCAGGCAAACGACAATCAATTTGGCAATATCCAATTGACCAACGTGACAAGATTCGAAGAGCTTATATAAAAGCAGGACCATATCAACCTACAAATATGAATTTTCCAGCTTCTGGTGAGGGAAAGCATAGTCGACACTTTCAGCCTGCTTGGTTTAAAAAGCTTCCTAGTTGGTTAGAATATTCACCTCTTAAGGATGTTGCATTTTGTTTACCTTGCTATTTATTCAATAATAATCATGGTAATCAAAATGATGGAAGAAATGCTTTTGTTGAAGTAGGATTTAGAGATTGAAAAAAAGTCAATGATGGAAAGAATTGTGCATTCATATGTCATGAAGGAGTTGGTCCTAATTCATTGCATAAAAAGTGTCTAAAATTTTGTGATGATTTAATGGACTAAGCTCAACATATTCAAAAAGTATTCAATAGGCAGAGTGTTGAAATTATTGCAAACAATCGTTTAAGGTTTAAGGCTTCCATTGATGTTGTTCAGTGGCTCACATTTCAAGTATGTGCTTTTAGAAGTAATGATGAAAGTATCAACTCATTGAATAGAGAGAACTTTGTTGAGCTTGTAAAGCTTTTGGCTTCTTATAATCCTAGTGTGGCTAATGTTGTCCTTGAAAATGCTCCTGGAAATGCTCAATATATATCACCTAGTATTAAAAAAGAAATATTGTATATTTTTGCTTGAAAGATACGTGCTGCCATACGTGAAGAGATTGGTTATTCTAAATTTTGTCTTATCATTGATGAATCTAGGAATGAATCAAATAGAGAACAAATGGCCATAGTTTTGAGATTTGTGGATAAAGATGTGTGTTCAAGAGAGATTTTTTTTATAATGTTCATGTTTCAGACACTTCTTATTTGATATTAAAAAATAAAATTTCAAGTGTTCTTTCTCATCATTGTCTTGATATTCAAAGTCTTCGTGGTCAAGGATAGGATGAAGCTAGTAACATATGTAGTGAATGGAATGGGTTACAAGCTTTGTTCTTGAAAGAATGTCATTATGCATATTATGTTCATTGTCTTGCTCGTTGACTGGAATTAGCACTAGTTGCAGTTGCTAGAGAAGTTAGTCATGTTCATTAATTTTTCCTCAAATTTAACATTGATTATGAATATTATGACTGCTTCTACTAAGCGACATGATCAATTACAAGCGACTCAAGCAACAATTGTTGTAAATTTGGTTACTAATAATGATATTCAGACAGGTAGTAGACTTAATCAAAGAGGCACTCTAAAAAAGAGCTGGAGATACATGGTGGAGATCTCATTTAAGTTCAACTCAGAGTTTACTGTGGATGTATAATGCTATATGTGAAGTTCTTCAAAGAGTTACAAAAGAAGGTAACTATTCCCTTTGTGGTAATACTAATAGTGCTTATGATATTCTCACATCTTTTGAGTTTATTTTTCTATTACATCTTATGAGAGATATCTTGGAAGTTAATGATGAGCTTTGTCAAGCTTTGGAATGTAAGAGACAAGACATATTGAATGCAATGTCTTTGGTTTTCTCTACTAAAACTTTGATCCAAAGAATGAGGGAGTCAGGTTGGGAATTTTTTTTTTAAAGAAGTCATGTCATTTTATGAAAATCATGAAATTAATGTCCCTGAGATAACAAGCTTCTACATTCTCAGGAGAAGTCAAGCTCATCAAAATATTGACAAAATTACAATTGAGCACCATTACAGAGTTAATATGTTCATTGCTACTATTGATACACAGTTGCAAGACCTTAATAGTTGATTTTGTGACAATATGATTGATTTGCTTACTTTAAGCTCAACTTTAGATCCAAAAGATTTTTACAAATCATTCAATGTAGACAAGATCTATGAATTGGCGACAAAGTTTTATCCTTCTGATTTCACTGAGCGAGAAAAAATGCATCTTAAAATACAAGCTCAACATTATAAACTTGATATTCCTTTATATTCTGAATTGAAAAATCTATCAACAATTTCTAAATTATGTCAAGGATTGATGAAAACAAGAAAGAAATTGTGTTATCCTTTGGTTGATCGTTTAATTCACTGGGTATTGATTCTTTCCATTTCAGTGGCTACTATTGAGAGATTATTTTTAGCCATGAACATTATGAAAAATAGACTTAGAAACAAGATAGAAGATGAATTTTGAATATAATGTTTGACATTGATTCCATTATTAACATGAAGGAACGACGTGTACGACTTAAATAAAAAGGTACATTGTATTTAATTTATATTTAATATATAATATTCTTATTATTAAATTTATTTTCTTTCGACTCCTTTAAATAGTTTCTGGATTCGTCGCTGTCTAAAGCATAACGATTTGAATGAAGAAACGGATGGTCAGATGAATTTCATCTGGTCTTGCTATATGAAGGACTTTACATTGTATTCAAAACTTTCTTAATATGCTTCACTACATAAGTGATTCATTACTAAACGTATGTCTTGGACTCCATGTCTGACAGATAGAAAGAGGCACGACAACAAAAACTATTATTATTTTACTATTTGCCTCAATGGCCAAAATGAAAAGTTGCACTAAAATTACACCATAATTAGGAGTGTTAATTATCTGACTTAGGTTGAATACGGTGAAAAAATATTTAATTCAATTAAAATTATTTTATTTTTCATGACTTTTAATATGTGATCGAATCAATTCAATTGCAAAGGATTGAGTCATTAAGTTTATACTTAAAAAATAAAATTATAATCTATAGAAATAAATAATTCTCAAGTTAAAGTTAAACAAATCTATCAGTATTTTATATAAAAAATATTGATTTATATTAAAATAATAAATT